ACAGGATATCACATACAAGTCGCATATATTTGGAAATATGAACGGCAACGTAAAAAAATCGGGTGTAAAAAAAAAAATCGGAATTGAGCATCAAGGCCTGCAGTATGAACGTAGCCATAATGTCAATCATTGCTATTTCTGTCTTTTGTTTTTTGTGTTGCAGTCTCTTAGAGAACCATCATAAAAAATACAACATGCCTTGTAACCATTTTTACTTTTTACAAATAAAAATCTGCTAAATTTATTTTTTATGCATTTAGGCACTCTGCATATAAACCCCTAAATGAATCTTAAAGCATTGTTCAGCCGTAGAAATTGTATAGTTGCAAACCTACCAAGGAATGTAAATAAACAGTCAGAGATGTAGTGAGCATTAGTCCAAAAAAAAAAAAAGAGGTCCATGGAAACTCTGGAGGAGCTGCAGAGATGCACAGATGAGGTGACAGAATCCTAAGCTAACCATTACCAGTGAACTTATCTAATCTAACCATTATGTAGGGATGAGCAGAAAAATGCCATCACTGAAAAAAGGTCATAAAAATTCCTGTCTGTAGTTTGCTATTAGCTATCTAGGGGACACAGCAAACACATGGAAAAGTGGAACACTGCAGATCCAGTATAAGCACCACATCATGCTTACCACCACCGTGCTTCACCTGCATCATTCTGTAGGATTACTTTGCCTTAGCAGAGAGGAAGCTGAGGAGATTCCAAGCTAATGGGGAGACGAATGAAGGCAAGGCAGTTATAATGAAACATTTCTTAAATGCTGAAAAAAGCTTAGATGCTTTGGTGGAAGTCCAGTTTCCAGCAGGAAAAACAACCATTAATACACATTTTGACCTACAATGGTTAATTAAGACATACAGTAATGGTCCAATCCGAGCCCAGACCTGAATCTAACTCTATCTAGAAAAATATATTTTAATTGTGCAAAGTTTGTAGACTATTTAGAAAACCATGTTTCATTTTAACATATACGGGTCTGTCAAATAAAATCTATTGAACTCTTTCAATTCAACTTATTAAAATCCCCCCAAAATTCAAGGTTTTCAACACTTGTGGGCTTATGCAAGATAATGTATGACTGTGGTTGTATTACAGTGGGAAACTGTTGGTCTTGTGCAATATTTGGGTTTTAGTTACAAGAAAAGCTACAGTAGCAGCCCCAAAACAAACAGAAACCTGTCTAGTTCATTTTATCCGTTCACTGTAGGGGTGGTAATTACATTTTCTCTTTCGAAAGTTTAAATCATAGGTTTCATGTGGCTTTTGTCTTAGGAGATGTTTGTTTTGTTTTTAGTAATATAAGCTAAAGCACTCAAATATCACACATTTTCTAATATTATATTAGGGCAATTGGCCTGTCGGTATAATGTTTAATAACATGATATACTGTTTTGATAACCCTCAGACCTTCTAAACACGCCCAATGTTAAGTCTCATACAGACTTCCTGGTCTCTTATGTCCCTCAGATTTGAACTTGGGAACTTGCATTTGATTACATTTGTCCCTTTTCATTCTTCTCCAAATTACAGCCTGTGAAATTACGTATGTCCCTCAAAGAGCGGCCTCGTGCCAGGTAATGGCAGGAGTTTAATTTGAGGGTAATGACATTCTTTACCTGATGCTCTTGTTATTAATGAGCAGCACTGTAGGCCTCAGCAGGGTCTACAGATACTGCAGGTTATTTTAGAGTATTTTCAACAGCCACTCAGGCAAAGGAGCAAAATTCACACTTTAAATGGGCTTCATTAAACGCTACAGTGGTTCAGTCTTAGATATAGCAAGCACGTACAACGTTTCAGTTTGAATTACATATTTAACAACCCTCTCATGCACAGATTTCCTTTTAGTTTTAGCCCCAATTTCTTGACCGTATCTCTGACTAACCTGAATGTACAAGCAGACAAGCTTGAAGCACAGCTCTTCCTCTTATACATGGTGATTCACAAAAAGTATTCATAGCCTTTAAACCTTTTTCCCTGTTTTTTCACGTTAAAACCACAAACCACAATGTATTTCAATTGAATTTTATCTGGCAGCTGTACACAAATTAGTGCATAATTAAAGGAAAAATTTGTGCATATACATTCAGCCACCTTTACCATCCTAAAATAAAATCTTTCAGGCTGAATATTTTTGATCATACCGAAGGGACCTTAAGGGCTGTGTTTACTCCCGCAGCAGTCTGTCGCAGCTGGCTTGTCGCAGGTACATGTATGACACAGACATTTTTGACTTATGTTTTGATTTTGAAGCATGGCCTGCGCTATGTTATTCCACACCACAACACAAGAGGGACAATCACAAACTAGCTAGGATTGGGGGCGTGGTGGGTGGCGTATTTCTCTTCTGTGAATTGCTTGAATATGTGCTGTCCTCGCGGTGTGGAGAACGAAAGTCGTACAGATGTGGGTACTTCCTCACATCTTCGCAGACTCGTTCTTCTAGCTGCTCCATCTTCATGAGTCGTTTTCCACAATGGCGGTCATACAAACAAAACAAGCCGGTAAGGTGCCAAACAGGAAATACACATAGCATAGAGCGGATGTAGAATTGACCAATCAGAGGTCTATCTGATCTGATTGGTCAGTTAACACATATCTGCGTTACTGCGACAGACAACCTGGTGTCTGAGCATAAACCAGGCTTAATACTCTACCCTTTTAATAAGTTATGTAGCCCTTAACATATTTTCATAGACTAGACTAGAATAGAATAGGGATGGAACGGTTTATGAAAACCGTCCGAACCGTTCGATTCGACTGTCTCTGTTCGATTCGCCTGTGTTGCGTTCGGTTCATGCGCAGCTCCTTTTTCTCATAGGTGAAGCGGTTACACTCCAGAGCAGAAGGTGGCGGTACTGCAACCAAAGCCAACCACCAGTAGTAAACAAGAAGAAGAAGAAGAAGCAAAGCCGCTTAGCCAGGTGTAGCAGAAAAAAAATCAGTTGTTGTGGAGAATTGTGTGGGTATGGCGAGTGGGAAACAACAGGAGTTGGAAGATGCGCCAGCAGCACTTTATAGGTCTGCTGTATGGGACCACTTTGCATTTAGAGTGACCTACGATGACAGCGGAAAGAAAGTTGTGGATAAAAACAGTGTGCAAGCATTATGCAACACGTTTTGTTTATGCTAACAGCAACACGACCAACATGTCAGGCTAACAATCAACATATACCGAACCGAACCGAAAACCGTGATTAGAAACCGTGAACCGAACCGAACCGTGGATTTTGTGAACCGTTCCACCCCTAGAATAGAATAGAAATATATATAACATTTTGTAATCTTACCAATAGTTTAAGCTCTTTGCACTATAGCCACATTACCCCACATTCATAAACAAACACCCAAATCGTTAAGGAGCTATTGTTATGTGCCTTGCGCAGGGGCATAGTGAAATATAACAAGAGGAAGCTGGAATCAAACTAACAATAGGTAATATTTCTGTTACAGGACAGCTACTCTCCCTACTGAGTCCCGTTGGAAATTAATTTGTGTCATCAGCAAAGTGATAGTTAAATGCAATAACAGAGATACATATAAATATGGTAATAAAACAAACAGCAGCATAAGATAAATGCACTTTTATGAAAAAGGATTCTAAGAAATGTTCAACTGAATAAGATAATTTAGTACAAACTGTGCCCTGCATGTTAGAAAGTAGCAAACTTTTTGCAGGTAACGAAATTTACAGTTGTTGCAGATTAATAATAGTTATATGTGTGGTTCTATATTCTTCCAAGATTTGCCTTGAATATATTTCCACAGTATCAACTCCAGGAATCATGGGCTGATATCCTGCCTCCTTTAGACATCTCACTGCTCTTACTCCCCAGATCAAAGACCTGGTCATTAACGGGGCTCTTTAAGGCTTTATTGGAAGCCAATGAGGCGATTCGGCCATTTGTTCCAGCTGTGCTGGACAGGAAGAGATCTAAAGGATTAAGGACACAGATCCTATAAAACTGGAATATGACAGCCCTTATTTAGTCGATTGCACTTTCCATCAACTCTAATCAAGCTCTCTGCTCAAACTGCAGGAAAGCAATGCCTCATCATGATGCAGCCACCACCATAAACGCTCTCCAACAAACCTCCCATGTCGTCATACAATTATATGTGTACTGATATATGGATATGCATAGACTGGCTACTAACTATGATAATTAAGAGGAAAATTAGTTGCAGTAATTTGATTTAAGGATGTCATTGCAGAAGGGGAGGCAAACAAAAGCCTCAGAGATTTTAAAAACCATATATTCTTTGTCTTTCAACGTTTAAGTGTACAGTAGTTTGTGTTAGTTTATTGCATGAAATCAGGTTAAAAAAAATATTTTTATAAGATGAGGAAATATGAAGAAGTCCTATTGGTGTGAGTAATTTAGCTTTTCAAATTCTCAACAATTTCTTCTAGTCATCAAATCACTAGCTGAGAGTTTCTAAGCTCTGCAGCAGCAGGCAGCAGACTAAATAAACCAACAAGCTGTCAACCTGGAGGGGATCATTGAAGAGATAAAGGTTATATCCCGCCCCTGGTACATTTATCCCACTGAGGTCCCAGAGCAGTGGGTCCCTGTGCCTAGGTTCTCCACTGTGTCATTAATACGAGTCGTCCCAGCAGAGCGTGCAGTGGTGGCAGAGGGTTTAATCACAGCCAGGAGGCAAGAGAACAAGCCTCAGCAGCCCTCCTAATCTCCTTTGTGGCTAGACGTATTTGGTCAGGGGGGCTTTGAACTTTACATCTGCTCATATCTGATACCTTGGAGGCTTTATTTGATTCAATATGTAAATCCAATAGGGATTGATGAATTAGCTCATAAGGGCCATTCTCTGAGATATATTATGTCTTTGTTTAGCCGTCATGATCTGATTTCCCTCACACACAATTTGGCTTGATTAAAGTCCTTATTAAATCAAAATTGTATGCTGTATTGTGTTATCCAGATTGTGTTTTTATTAACTGATCTCTCGCTGTGATGCTCCATCCTCAGGCTCGTGTGTCGCACCAGGAGGTCTGAACATGACAGGACGGATTCTGTTCGTGTGGAAGTGGATCAGAGCGGGATGGGGATGTCAAAGGAAAGCTTTGCATACTTGGTGAGTATTCATCAGCCTCCGACTCTCCTGTTGGTGTTTTGCTTTCCCTTCTGTCCGTTTCTTCCTCCTCATTCTTCTCTTTTCTTTTCCTTCCCACTGGGAAGGCCTTCCCAAGAGTGTCAGCTGAGTGTTAACAGATGTGTTTTATGGTTCAGAGGAATGCTGGTGTGTGGGAATCTTCAAACATCCATCTGAGCTGAAGCTAGGAGCAATTGTCATGTAGTTTTCTCTTCCAACAAAAACAAATATAGAGACTGCTAAAATGCCCCCTTTACTCTGAATTTATCAGTGGCCAAGGGAACCTGGCCAGGGCTGTGGAAATTAACCTCTGCCCACGCAAACATCTCATTGGAGTAAGGACATTCAGCCTGTGGAAATACCCATGTAAGCCATTTGTTTCTGTGTGTTCATAGACAAAGAGTCTTTCATAATTCACAGCATCGTTTCAGAAGCTTCTGAGGGCAGCTCTGTCCATGAGTCATCCCGCAGAGAAATAACCCCAATCTGAAAACCCATCATGATACATAAAGATGAAGAAACTGTAACAGAGAGTTTAGAGGAGGGTTTCTGCTGTGGGAACTCCTCTTAGGCTTTTTTTTCCTTTTTATCTCTAAGATGCTCAATGAGAGAGCAAGGCTGAAGGGGAAGATATAGGGAAAAAGGGGAAAAACTGTTTAGGAGACAGGATGTGTGTCGCTGCTGCATCTCCTTCCTCAAAATTCTAAACGGAAACATCTGCTTCCTTCCACCCACATTGACACAGAGAAGCACAATAGGTCTGCCCCATCCCTGCTCACTGAGGAAGTGAATCCTGTCAGCAAGGATAAGAGCCATCTCTGGAGGCAAGGTTCATGGAGGGGATAGAAAGTTTTGAAAAAGCAGGAATGCTGATTCGGTAGCTTCAGATATGAATGAGGATGTTTCGCCCCAGGACTATCTTTATATATACATATAGTTTCTATGTATATAGGTTGTGTGTCCATGCATACTTTTTTGCATACACATTCATCAGCAGCTTTATATAAAAAAAAACATTTTCCCAACCATATACTACAGTTTGTTTTGAGATTTCATGTCCTACACTGCAAAAATGTTAAATCTTAATAAGTCTTTTTTTTTTTTTTATAAGTGCATTTTATCTTGAATTGAGGAGGTAAGTGAGACACTTTTCCAATGGAACAAGACAATTTACATTTGAAATAAGAAAAAACAATTGCATTGTCTTATTTCAAGTGCATATTATCTAATTATATTATTTTAAGAGTAAACATACTAATTTCATTGGCAGATACCTACTGAAATTAAGGGTAAATACACTATATATTTTTTTACTTATTTGTAGATTGTTTTTGCAGTGTACACAAACACATAAGTGAAAACATAAATTATTTGCAAATGAAAAATGCTCCCTCCCCATGACTATACTTGCTTTCATCGCTTTACTTTACAGCTGCAAGTTTTGTAGTTTTTCTCTCTTCAGCTTTTCATATTTAAGCAAGCCTCACCTCTGATTGGCTTTCATATCCCATGTCCAATAGATACTCTTAACATGTTTCTCAATGGGGATTGTTTGTTCAGCTTGATGCTCAGTGACAGTTTTCCTATATTACATAGTATTTTGAATATTAGCCAAAATGTTCAGTTCATGTTGTATGCAACCAGAACATCTTCCACATGTTTGCTGTGTACCTTACATGAAACTCATTATAAACTGGTAATCTTGTGGTTCTATTTTAGTAATGTTTTTTTTTCTTTCCAATTGTGCACTTAGGCCAGATTTATGAAGTCCACAAATGATAGTTGTGTTGACAGATTGAAACTATGGCTCTCTCTCTGTTCATAGCTATAAAGCCTCCCCACTGACTTGTTTGTTTTTTCTTTCTCTGTCTCGGAGTGATGTGCTCCGCCTTCTTAGTTGTAGTTAGGATGCAGGCGGCAGCATCCTGGATCAACTGCAGCTGTCCGATTGACTTTCTAGACAGACCTGTGAAGACACTGTTGTCTTAATCAACTCTAAACATTGAGATGTTCTTTAGGTGGTGGAAGACAGGCTTTTCTAGTGTCTTAATGTGCCTTTAAAGGTCCACCAATACACCTAGATTTCAAACCTAATTAGTGGTTTCTAGTTTTATTAACTGAAGTGATGTGCTAACTTTTAAACACTTCATTTGGACCTAAAATATTACTTCAGTTTTGTTCTGATTCCAATGAAGAACATTGTTTGCAAATCCATGTGTTGATGTCTTTGAATAGGAGAGGCCATAAGATGGACCCTTGAGAAAAGTCATGTGGGATTTTTGTGATCTCTCTCCTGCTGACAAAAAAAGTCCCCATCCTTCAAGTAGGATTATTATTATCAGTCCAGTGCTATAAGATGGAGAAATGAGTGGCAGGTGACACGGTGGTTAGCGCGCACGACCCATGTATGAAGGCCTTAGTCCTCGACGCGGCCAACCTGGGTTTGAATCCGACCTGTATTCCTTTGCCGCATTTCTCCCCCCCTCTCTCATATCCCATTTCCTTTCAGCCTACTGTTGAAAAATGAACCACTAGTGCCTCAAAATTAAATAAAAATGGAGAAATCAACTTTAGACCTTGACAAGAGCAAACTCCATACTGTAGTGCGCACAGAAACCTGAAGACATGGAAGCTGCTGTTCATTGTTAGGAAGGAGTTTAGCTGTTTAAACCTTCTGTGCCATGCATGATTTCAAACTATGACATCTTAGTGTATTACCAACAGCAAGCTTAAAAACGGTGGTCCCACCTTTTTTCAGTTCATTGACCAGCTCCTCCTTTTTAGTTCTGGGGTGATTTCTCACCTTTCTTAAGATCATTGAGATCCCATGAGGTGAGATCTTGCATGAAGCACCAGCCCGAGGGAGATTGGCAGTCATACTTAGTTTCTTCCATTTTCTAATGATTGCTCCAACAGTGGACCTTTTTTGCTTGGCAATTTCCCTAAAGTCCTTTCCAGCCTTGTGGAGGTGTACAATTTTGTCTCTAGTCTCTTTGGACAGCTCTTTGGTCTTGGCCTTGTTACTGTAGTAGTTGGACTCTTACTGGTTTTATGTGTCTTTTGCAGCCAACGATCTCAAACATATGCATCTAATTTAGGATAATAAATGGAGTGGAGGTGGACATTTTGAAGGAAAACTAACAGGCAGAATTCTAGCTGATAGATACTGTAGGTGTTCTGAAATTCATATGCAGCTGTATCATACAAATGCACCTACGATGACAATTTCAGACGCCCTCCATGATTTCGAAGTGGGAGAGCTTGCAAAATAGCAGTGATCAAATACTTATTTTCCTCACCGTATAATGAACCTGGAGTCCAGACTGTGGCCACCTGTGTTCAACTTTTTTACATTCCCAGTTTTCACTTCTTATGTTGGAGCACTTTTCTTTTCATCTTTTTTCCTCCCAGTAGCAACCTTGACTTTAATTTGAGCCAATTGAATAATAATGTCCAAGATTTTCTAAATGAACATCGAAAGTAGATTTTATTTTGGGGCATCCAAGTAAAATCCAGCAGTATTAACTGCATTTTGTAAAAATACTGCAAGAAAGTACAGAGTTGTTGAACTAGTTTGGCCTGGGCCAGCTAATGGCTTCAGCAGCACAGAAACGTGCTGCAACGTGGGCTGTCTTCACAGTTTTATTCATGTCTCTGCTGTTATAGTCACCACCATCTCTGCCAATCTGCAGAAATTGGACATTTAAATCTCTGTGAAGTGGTTTTATGTGTTGCAAAGAAAAGCATCATGAAGAAGAAATTTTGTCTAATTAAGCCAGTGAGAGACATTGCTGTGTGTCCCGTTATAAATCCGCTGTCTTGTTTTCTGTGTGTTGCATCGTTATTCTGAACGCAGGTCCCCAGTGTGCAGTTCATAGATCCAAAGAATGGTTCTTCTGCTGGAGGAACCAGAGTGACAATTCATGGAAAACATTTAGACATTGGTTCACAGGTTAGAGTCAAGGTCAACAAAACACAGGAATGCACCATCACAGAGTGAGTACAAGCTAGTTTTTAACCTTTTCCTTTTCAAGTTGTCTGCTTTGCAAGTTTCTAACCATTACAATTAGAAATCATTTGCATGGTTTCTTTCTCCTTTCCACATAATAGCTTTCCTTTTTCAATAGCAGATATTAAATGCATGAAGAGACAATTAAATATTCAGAGTGCATTGCTTTACAAGTTCTGCATAACTTCTCACAAGATTAAATTCAGCACTTCTAGCTGTTGCCATAGCGCATACCAAAATAGCTCCACCATTCTTGTGAAAGTCTGCCAAGCAGCACAAAATGTAACTGCAGCTGTAATCAGAAACATTTTTTGGATTAAACTTTTTTCTCTAAAAATCTCGAGTGTTGATATTTATGTCTTTTGACATATTTTTCTTTCCAGAAAAACAGATCAAATGATTAAATGCATCATGCCTCCAACCTTGGAGGTGGATTCTGAGCCGGTGACCGTGTGTGTGGAGTTTGAGGACCATCCTTGTCAGGAAATGGAGCTAAGCGAAATGTACATCTATGAGAAGAACCCAACTATCAGCTCCATCCACCCAACTAAGAGCTTCCTCAGGTGTATACCCTGTTTGAACACTCTGAGGGAATTATGGACTTCTCTTTCTGATTAAAATGTAAAAATTATTTTGTGTTTGTGTTGCAGTGGTGGCAGGACCATCACAGTTAAAGGTCAAGGGTTTAATCTGGTTCAGAGTGTCATCATGCATGTTCTGGAAATAGGGCAAACAGTAAGCGATGCATCAGCCATCCTACATGCAAAACACAATATTATTATCTAAAAAGTCTTAGATTTATATCTGTCCTAATCTGTTGCAGAACTGCACCGTGCAATCCACCTCTACTATCATCTGTCTGTCTCCGGAGTCCAGCCAGTCCCAGGAAACATCTGTGCAGTTTATATTGAATGGGGTCCGCTACACGGGGGACAGCCCCAGCTTCTCTGATGACAGGACTGTGGAGAATGACAGAGAGAATCATAAAGAGCACTTTCAGTTGGGATATGTGGAGGACCCTCAGTTCTTCACCGCCAACAAGGAGAAGCAGATCAAACACCATTCAGGAGAGCCGCTGACCCTAATCATCAATGTGAGTAAAGATGGAGAGACATGCTGGTCTGTTTTTTTTTTCATATTGAACAGCTTTTTTGATGACATCTCCTTGATATTTGTAGTAGATAATTAAGAATTATTCAAGTTAATCAGTAAGTGTATGTTGTTTTCTTTTCTTTTGTTTACTCTGTTTGATTTCCTTAAAGCCATCCGGTTCAGCCATAAAAGCGTACCTGAGTTTATTCAGAGACTTGGTTTCCCATTGGTTTGACGATGTCGGTGAATTCAGTTTAACTTAAATATTGGGAAAAGGCTGGTACAGCTGCCTGCCATATATTGGCATCACTTATTGAAGTGGGAATGAAGATCTAAACAGTCTTGCTATTTAATGTTTTCCCACGTCAATGTATGATGCTTTTTTTTGTTTTGAGAGAATTACCATTCAGGTGACAAATCTACTCTCAGTTCCTCTCTGGTTGGCAAAGGAGCAACCATTGCTGCCCTAAAGCAGAGCATAAACTACAAGTTTATATATATATATATATATATATATATATATATATATATATATATATATATATATATATATATATATATATATATATATATATATATATATATTCCTTTCAAAGAAAATCACGTGATTGAAAGCTTGCTGATTCAGGGATAGACTTTCACATGTCTGTTTTTCAATTATTTCTTCTCATAACTATTATTATAGTTTTAGTCTTAGCTCAATGACTAAGCTCTGAACTTCACGTTAAGGCCTATTCTCTAACATTGTTTTGTGTCATGCTGGAGCTCTAAGCCACTTCCTATCTTCTACCTGCTCAGCCAACCAGACCCAATAACAGAGCCTGTCAAGTTGGTTTAGAGTAAACCAGAATAATTACCTGTATTGTTAATAGATTAGATAGAACATAGAATATCTACTCATTAAGTCTTTAACTTGGGCAGGTTTATTGTTTTTTTATGATTTGATCCTGAGTCTCCCCCATGTAATTACAAGTTCAGAAACCCCTTTTACCTGGCACTTAGTCATTATAACATTAAACATGATTTATTCAAACATATGTAAAAAAGCAAGGTTTCTACCAGAGCTGCACACATGCAGGAAATTCAAAAGTAAACATAAAGAATCTCTATCATGAGCGCCATGTTTTATTATTGAATTATACAGAGTAATATGAACTGAGGGTTGACTGAAAATATTTTTATGGTTTTATGTCGATTCTTGTTTCTCTTTGCATTTCATTTCCCACCAGTATTCAATCTTTTGTTTTAATACAGAAACAAAAACAACAGAAACACGCTAGCTGTTAAATTATATTCAGCTGTCACATTCTCACCTCAGGTTCCACTCTGCCTGTGCATAGAAAAACAAAACTCTGCATTGTAATTTTGTGCAGGTATAAGGTGGAGTTTCTTAGCTGTGCATGTGAGTTTATTAGCATTTATGCTGTGCTTTTAATGTTAATTTAAAAGTAAAGTAGAGTACAAACATTAGCATTTCTGAAAAAAGTACAAATATCAGGTATATAGGTTGCGCTTGTAAAACTGTTTGCCCAGAGAAGAACAGAGAACCTCCCTTACTATCCTGGTAACTGTGTGGTATTGTAAAGTAAACGTGGGTCCTTCTCAAACCTCTTTTGTCATAGCTCCAGTGCCCTCATATTTTTGTTTTATAATAGCTGCTTTCTGTCTTGTGGATGGTATGTTTTCTTGCATTTACCCTTTTGAAGATAACGTGAAAGAAATAAGCTTTTGTGTGATGATATACACTATATTGCCAAAAGTATTTGCTCACCCATCCAAATTATTGGAATCAGGTGTTCCAATCACTTCCATGGCCACAGGTGTATAAATTCAAGCACCTAGGCATGCAGACTGTTTTTACAAACATTTGTGAAAGAATGGGTCGCTCTCAGGAGCTCAGTGAATTCCAGCGTGGAACTGTGATAGGATGCCACCTGTGCAACAAATCCAGTCGTGAAATTTCCTCGCTCCTAAATATTCCACAGTCAACTGTCAGCTGTATTATAAGAAAATGGAAGTGTTTGGGAACGACAGCAACTCAGCCACGAAGTGGTAGGCCACGTAAACTGACGGAGCGGGGTCAGCGGATGCTGACGCGCATAGTGCGAAGAGGTCGCCAACTTTCTGCAGAGTCAATCACTACAGACCTCCAAACTTCATGTGGCCTTCAGATTAGCTCAAGAACAGTGCGCAGAGAGCTTCATGGAATGGGTTTCCATGGTCGAGCAGCTGCATCCAAGCCATACATCACCAAGTGCAATGCAAAGCGTCGGATGCGGTGGTGTAAAGCACGCCGCCACTGGACTCTAGAGCAGTGGAGACGCGTTCTCTGGAGTGACGAATCGCGCTTCTCCATCTGGCAATCTGATGGACGGGTCTGGGTTTGGCGGTTGCCAGGAGAACGGTACTTGTCTGACTGCATTGTGCCAAGTGTAAAGTTTGGTGGAGGGGGGATTATGGTGTGGGGTTGTTTTTCAGGAGCTGGGCTTGGCCCCTTAGTTCCAGTGAAAGGAACTCTGAATGCTTCAGCATACCAAGACATTTTGGACAATTCCATGCTCCCAACTTTGTGGGAACAGTTTGGAGCTGGCCCCTTCCTCTTCCAACATGACTGTGCACCAGTGCACAAAGCAAGGTCCATAAAGACATGGATGACAGAGTCTGGTGTGGATGAACTTGACTGGCCTGCACAGAGTCCTGACCTCAACCCGATAGAACACCTTTGGGATGAATTAGAGCGGAGACTGAGAGCCAGGCCTTCTCGTCCAACATCAGTGTGCGACCTCACAAATGCGCTTCTGGAAGAATGGTCAAAAATTCCCATAAACACACTCCTAAACCTTGTGGACAGCCTTCCCAGAAGAGTTGAAGCTGTTCTAGCTGCAAAGGGTGGACCGACGTCATATTGAACCCTATGGATTAGGAACGGGATGTCACTTAAGCTCATATGTGAGTCAAGGCAGGTGAGCAAATACTTTTGGCAATATAGTGTATTTGCAGCCAATCAAACAGGAAAGCATCACTATGAAATGTTCTTTAACCCTTTAATTCTCTTGAAAACAACAAAAAGGTGCATCAGAGGTGTTAGAGATACCAATAACTGGGGTATCAGTAATAATTAAGTAAGTAGTAATATGTCAAAAACTGTATTTCTATAAAGTGAGCTATAATCTTCAACTTAACCAATGTACTCAAGTTAGACAATTTTGGATTTTCAAAGTTTGACTGATCTTCCATGCTAAAATATTCATTTATTTCAAGACTTTTGCATATCTTAATTCAGGCTGCTAACTATGGAGGGCACTGTAGCTATTAATTGTGTGCTTAGAAATCCTAATTGTTGATTTGATTAACAGAGAGGCTGAAAAGTAAGTTTTATGTCATGTCAAAGTATTGTAGAGGCAGAATTCATCCTGCAAGTCATCGTGTTTTTCTATAGAGACTGAGCCAGTCTGGTCTGTCAGCTGACCAAGCTAACCCACTAACAAGAATATTTCTGAAGACTAAAAACCACCAACAAGTGATGATATTTCCTTTTTTCTGTTTTGCATCTTTACTTAAAAGTGTACATCAGAGAGAGCCGAGTGTGTCCTTATTTATATTCGCATAAACCAGAGGCACATAAAACACATCAAAGACCCTTCCCTCCTTAGCATGTTGATTTCTGTTGGAGGTGTGAGTGGGGTAGGAAGGAGCGTGGTGGCAGCTCAGTGGGAGGCCCCATGTTTGTGCGTTCTGGCTGATTTAAGCACCTGTCTGCTTGAATCCATCACGTTAAAGGGCTGCCGGCTGTGACATTGCACGACACGCACATGGAACAGCACAGACAAGGATGTCTGAACATGATGCCACCTCCGCTTCATGTGTGAGTGTGTGCTGGGAGGAGGTTGCTGCAGGAATCGCTGTCTCAGCCTGCCTACATGGGTGACTTGTCTGTTGTTTCCTGCTTTATTTAGGAGGGTGGATTCCAGTTGTGATGGACCTGAGGGGAGGGGAGGCTGCAGAAAGAATGTGTTTGTTTAATAGGAAGCTTGTTAGTCAGCCAGGATCAGAGGTGTGGATGTGCTCTGCATCTTTCTTTGGATTTATGAAAAATCTGCTTGATCCAACCATGTTTTTTGTGAAAATATAACACATTTTCTCCATATCAATCAAAACCTCATTTATTTTGTGTATGTGTTTGGTATGACAAAGCAGTTTTTGACAGAGATTTAAGAGGCTGCATCCTGTAGGGACCCTCTGGGTGTAATCACAGAAAGGAGACCCCTCTGGAGATACACACGCACACACTTCCTCACTTGGCCTAATTGTATTGAAGGAAGTTGCAGTTTTAAATGAATGGGGCAGATTCTTTGTAGGTCTGGTCATCCTTTTAATAAGTAATCAAAGCATGCTTCAGTCATGTGATCATGATGAGTTTCCATAAAGAATAAAAGGTACATGTTAAAATACATCTCTACTACTTTTGGAGTTTCCATTTTGTATTGCATTAAAAATATTTTTCTCACTTTAAAGATTGACCTTATTAAAATGTTAAAGGTCGTATATCATCCTTTTTGCAACATTTACGTTATACTTAATGAAGGAGGGTCATAAATGTGGACAGCAGTGAATTTCCAACATAATTGCTGCTAAGGGAAAGGACCACCCTTTGCAAAAGTCCTGTTTATATCTTGAATCCATCTGAAATGCTATAGAATCAAGTGTTTAAAGTTCAGGGGTCAAACCGGAGGCACATTTCAGGATGATGGAAAAAGACAGGGAGCAATGATGCTGTTGGGTTCTTTAACCTAATCTAAACTGACAGGCTTGTGATGCCAAACTCAGCTGAGCATTTTGGTTTTTGACAAAATGCAGATTAAGGACAACTAGACTAAGCTCAAAGAGAGAGGAAGAGAGGAAGAAGAAGCTCTAGTCCCAATAGTCAATAGAGCTTTGATGCTGTGATCATTTCATCTAAAGTGCTCTAAAGCCATATAAGGTCCAACTTTACAGAAGATTCAAGATTTTCTGCAGAACACTCAACTGGCTGGACCTTTGATGCAGAGCCCTAATCTTGAAAAGGAACAACCACCACTGATCAGAACAGAGTGTTTTTGCATTGAACAAGTTAAGCAGTAAAAATGAGACCCAATAAAAAATCCCTGCAGGCCCAAATTAACTGTCTGCAGAAGAAGCTCTAAGTAGAAATCCATAAAACCCACAGAGTCTTTATGTATTTCACATTAAAGGAATAATCCACCAATTTAATCTCATCCTTTCAGATCACTTTGGAATTTGCAGCAGATGCATAAATGTGAGATGAAGTAGAAAATGCTGATCTATCCTCACTTTTAGATTAATAGACATGCTTGGAATGACTTTAGATGAGGCCCAGCTTTACAAATTTCCCAAAATGCTTCCTAATTAAAAATGTTACTGAACCCTAACTGGCAGATAAACATCCTTCACTTTCCAAGCCAACAGTGTGTAAAGCCCAAAGCAGTGGAGACGATGTCACCTGCAGTAGGAATCATCTCTTTCAGACTGTAGAAAGCTCCCTGTGGACCTCAAGAAGACAAAGTGGAACTGTATTAAACGGTTGAGGTCTGCCACTCCGCATGACTTAAAGTCACACGTAAAGCGGAAAATCAGAGGAGGGTCCCTTTAATTACCATATCTCCCAGCAGTGAGGAAGATGAGGAGGATGGGGGGCGTGGATAGAAGTAGGACAGTGAGATTTATTGCTACAGATTTCTGTAAAGGCGCTGAGACTGTAATTCTGGACTCAGACAGGATCAGTGGGATTGTTTGGGGAAAGGTAAAGTTCAATCAAGCATTTCATTAAAACTTCTAGTCATAAATATATTTTTTAAGTAAAAAGAAATTCACATAATGCATTTCAGTTTTTTTTTACATTTGAAATATAAAAACATGATGTGCTTATATTTTAACCCCTTTACTCTCCTTATGATAAATGTATATGTATCCTGTTTCCTATAATAATCACATAATCAGTAAATAGTGTGTGTAATTTTTAAACTGAGCACTACACCCTTTGCTGTAATTAGCAGCAAGACTTTAGCAGCAAGCTTTGGACATTTAGAGAAGAAGATATAAGCTCATTCCTATTTTTCTAAGATCCGTCAGACTGGATGGAGAGCATCTGTAATCAGCAGTTTTGACATCTCACCATCGCTTCTCTGCTGGATTTAGGTTAACACTTTGACTGGGTTATTCTAGAATGTTGATCTGCTCTATGCTAAACCATCCCATTAAAGCGCTGGTTGTTTTATTAGCTCTATTATCTATCACACTGGATGTTGTACCCATTTTCCAATTAACTGAAATCTGAAGGAAACTGTTTCCAATGGGTTGTATTCTGTAGAATGATTGTAGAGGATTCTAAATAAAAAAAAGCACATTACTCTTTTCAGGTATTTTAATGGTTGAACATTTGTGTGGGTCTATCTAACAGAATTACCCTGTAAAATGTGAACATTTATTCAATAGGACAAATGGTAGTATTACAGCCTGCTTTACATTGAGTGAAAGATTTGCATCTATATGATCCAGGCCTGTTCAAAGTGGACCCAAATCTCAGCGCTGCACAGCTGATATTGCTTTTTAAATTTCTTCTGCAGCAGAAAGTGCCGAGCGAGCTCGAGCTAGTGCCGGAGGAATACTTGGTGATGATTGGCTCCTATCCTTGTAACATCAGCTTCCATAATGACCAGCTGTTCCACTGCACCATCAACGGGCAGCTGAGTTCCAGCGAAAGTGAACTTCCTGTCACCGTAAGTATGAACAACACAGCCATACTCTATCTAATCTCCTTTTGAAAATATTGCTCAACAGACCTTAATAATTCCAGCTCCTCACCCATCTGTCATTTAGCATTTAAGCCAAATATTTAGTCAGAATCAGGACCATCTGTGATGTTAACTCAAACAGATCTGGTGTGCATAAACCCATGCGCCGAATGTAAGATGTCTTAGCCACACAGTGTTAGTGTTTTATGAATGGTTTCGGGTATCCTACCATGACACTATAACATTAGCTGGAGTGTTGAGCTGTCACTTAGTGACACAACGTAACAACAAAACAGTGACATGCTGTATTTATCAACAGATCTTTACGCCTTTCTGTTTTCTCACTCACGTTGCTGCACCATTATTCTGAGTCAGTGGTGATCTAACTTCCCAGTGGGATTGTTTTTCTTCCAAGTTAGAAAATAAAAGCATAAATCTGTCCTACTAACGGGTTTCTATCTTTCACACGTTGCTATCCATTTTGGTCTGTTTTAGGAGAGCTTTATTAGGAGTAAAGCATTTCAACCATATTTTAAATGAGCTGAACTGATTGGGGTTTGATAAGATAGCTCTGAAATTTCCTCAGCTGAGTTGTGCTCTGAGAGCATTTTCCTCCATTTTCTTTTTACAGAAATAGGAATAAGAAACTCATTACTCCCTCAGTTCCCTCTTGTGTACCTGTGGCATGCTCAGGTAGCTGCCCGCCCCTTCTGTCGATCAAGATCACTCAGAATAAACAGGGGTAATTAGCAACCACTTGAACGGAGGGCAAGGGTCAGAGGAGGTGTCATAACAGTAATGGGTGGGCTGTCTGCACATGAGCAATCGAGAAGTGTGGGGATTTGACAAGGCTGTAAATATAGCCCTAGCATTTATTTTCTTTTGTGTCGGCAGATTTAAATAAATGCCTATATGCTGCGTTCAGGCAAAGTTTTGCGGCCATTAGTGTTTTTTTCTCTTACTTTCAGAGGCAGATCTATTTTTGCATGCCTGTGTTGTGCTTGGCTCTGAAGTACAGCAGCAGTAGACGTGAGGAAGCAATGTTTTTCTACCCTGAGCAAAACAAGAACATGGAACAATGGCATTTTCCCCTCCATTACACCGGGTCACAGCAGTGAAGTCTCTGGAAAAAGAAGGCCTTCTCCGGCTGTGCCGTGTAAATAAGCACCAAAACTGGAAGAAGGATGAAGGAATGCTGACAGCAGAGAGCCCAATGAGTTTGGTTCCCCCAGAGAGTAGTATGAAGAAGGATTTGGTGTGAGGATTGGAGGGTTTTTTATCTGAGTCTCTTTTTATGAAGTATGCTGGGATTGCAGATGAGGAGGGAGAAAGGACCACAGAGAACCGTGCTGACTTATCAAAAGCAAGAAGGGAAAGTTCGCATCTTAACAAATCTGGGTTAGTTTGAGCTGGGCGACTCTTCAGAACAGAGGGAAGATTTTTCATAACCTACAGTATGGGTTTCTATTTGCATCTGCACCTGTCTCCATTACAAAATGGATGGGCATTTCTCTGTATGAACCAGCACCTGTGCCCTTATTAAGGAATGCTTAGCTGCACATGCTTTAAGTAGGGTACTTAGAAAAATGTGTTCTTGTTTTTTAGAAACTAAATATGCATTGTGGAATAAATGTGAAAGGCTGAAACCAAGTCCTAAGAATAGATATTAAATATATGCTGTATATTTGAACTATTGTGGCTTTCAATCATCATTTTGAACAAAAAAAATTATTTTGCTGCTATTTTTTGGAGTATATATCAAAGTATATCCATTACTTTTGAACAGGTGGTAATGGTAAGATAAGTACAGTAATATTTTTGAAATTTCTAGTACAAAAGACCAAGCCTGTGATCAAGTACAAAAACCTTTTTTATTCTTTTTTTTTCCTTAAGCTTTGCTTCTTGCTCCATTGATCTTCTCAGACCAGCTTCCGAATCCCTGCTAAGCAAAATTGCTACAATAACATTGTCATGATGGGTTAACGGAGGCAAGCCCAAGATGCAGAACACACACGGAGGAGGCAGGGGAAAAGTTCAAAATGTTTAATAAAGTCCAAAATCACAAAGTTTAACACTGGGACTGAAATGGGTCTGGGTCTGGTTCACTGGAGTCTGTGCAGGGAGCGGGGGATGGCTGGATAACAGAACAACAGGGGATAGTCCACATGGGAACCTCTAGGGAAACTCCTCAAAGAAGTCTTCAAGTTCAAACCACGTAGGGATCCTCGGGTTGGCTCAACAGGGCGGGTTAGCAGGTTGGGCTTTCCAAGAGCTTCTGACTTGAGACTGGTTTCCTGTGACACAGCTCTCCCAGAGCTGCAGACCAGAGACAGGGTTCCAGTGAGGGTGCTCTCCCAGAGCTTCACAAGGAGACAGGAGGTTAAGCTCATCCAGAGCTTTCACGAAGAAACAGGAGGTTAAGCTCATCCTGAGCTTTCACGAGGAGTCTGGGGTTTAAGCTCATCCAGTGCTTAACGAGGAGACAGGATTCCTGAGAGGCACAGAAAAGGAGAGATTAGAATCTGGTCTCAACCTAGGAACAACCAAGACTCAGTCTATAGCAGAAGGTTCAGGAAGCTAACCAACTAAGATCAACACTGCGGTGTGGGATCAAGGTCAGGCAGGAGCTTATAAAGGAGAGGTCTTCTAATGAGAGGATTAGGAACAGGTGTGCAGGAAAGTTCCAGCTCCAGAAGACCCACAGCGCATCCTGCTGGAGAAAGAGGGTAATCTCCAGATCCCCACAGTAACTCCAAACCTAAGGGAAAAAACAAAGAGAGCAGAAGAGGATCCTCGGCGCCCTCTGGTGGGCAAGCCTGAGGATCCCAACAAACATGACGTTTCTACTACTGGGTTTCAGATTGTGGGACAAAAAGTTCTCATTTTGTCTCATCTAACCATAGCAGTTTCTTCCAGATATCTGCTGGATCCCTTATGTGTCTTGAGGAACACTTTTAGCCTAAGTTCTTTCATGTTTCCTTAAACTATCTTCCTACCTGCCTTCCAAAGAGGTAAGCTTTGTGGAGAACATGACTAATAGGTTTCCTGTCTTCAGATTCTCCAACCTGAATTTAGGATTTCTGCAGCTCCTTCAGAATAACCCAGAGATTCTTGGTTTTCTGTATGATTATTGCTCTGATTATTCAACCTGCCAGTTTAGTTGGACTTCAATGTCTTGGTAGGTTTGCAGTTGTGCCGATATGAAGAATATCAAATTATATATATTTTGTTTTATAATTTAAACCTACTTATTTAAACTTCTCCCCAATTTTCCCTGACATGTGAGCTGTGTTTCTAAATCTTCATGGTATTTCTTCACATATTCTCCAACAAACCTCTGAAGTAATTAGATTACTGAAATAAACTGGTCTCACTGTAGTTTGTTTTGGGGTTTCAAAAGATTTTTGAAACCCCAAAAATCCTTGTAGGGGAAATTGTAGATTTTTATTTGAAATATTTTACTTCCTTTCCGCAGTTTAACAGCCCTTTGTGTTGAACTAACAAATAAAAATCACAACAAAATAAAGTTTGCGTTGTAATGAGGAAAAAATTTAAAAAGTTCAAGGGATGTGAATGATATTACCCAGCACTGTAGATTAGAAAAGTTTTTTTTTCGAAATCATTAAAAAAATAATTACTTGGTGGGCTTGCAGTGGGCTTTTAGAGGCTCCACTTTGCAGCTAAAAGGGGCAAAGGTTTCAGCAAAGCCTGGGAGTAAAGAGACTGAAAAAGACAAGAGCTTAAAGGGCTTGTTCATGACTTAAGATTAACTGTGAAGCTGCATAAAGCACAGGGGGGAAAAAGTATTTTCATATGTGAATCTGAATGTGCTATTCTGGTGCAGTTCTGGGATAAAAATATACTAAATGACTCCTTTAATGTTGTTCCTTCTTATACCTGCTCTGTTTTCCTTATCTTTCTCTCTTCATCTTTGTATCTGTCTTTCAAATACACTTTACCGCCTGTATGTTGTGGGATAGAAATTTAAAAGAAAAGGAAAATAAAAGGTTATTATACCTCAAGCACATACCCAGGGACAGTAGCTAAAATTAACTCACCTTGAGAAGTTTATTCCTTTATTTCATTTTATTTAGTCTACAGCAGCTTTATTTACCGCTGCTAACATCCACTGCTCGTTTTAAGCCTGTCTGAAACGCTGATGCATTGATTTTATCCTCTAGTTATGTTTAGTTAGTTATGATGATTCCGAATAAACTGCACACTTAATAAATATATATATATATAATATATGGAGTATTAATATTGCTAAACTAATATATGTCAAAGTATGCAATGTTACAATTTTATTTAAATAGCCTTTGTTGTAAACCTAACAGCCAGGTTGTAATAAAGTTTAATTTATTTCAGTACATGAGGATTTTAACTCTGAAAATGAAGTCAGAGAGTTATCTATAGGCTGTAAATATTGTACTTTGATGCTGATGGGATTTTGAACTTTGGTAAACAAGCTTTAAACTTGGTGGAAATCTGATTAAATTCAGAGGGAAACTATTGTTGTTCTCTGAAAGCAGGTCACAGACATGTTGGACAAAGGTCATGAGGATATTATGAACACACAGCTTAGAAAAGTGAGAATCTATTTTATTTTTAGGCTCAATATGAATTCAGACGTATGTTTATGCTCAGTGGGTAGCACTGCTGCCTTGCAGCAAGAAGGTTGCAGGTTCAATTCCCAACCTGGGTACTTTTTGCATTGAATTTACGGGATGAAGATAAAATTTTTCCAAGTTTCTCACCAAGAGAAGACATTTGAAAGCACCCAAAATATTTACACTATGCTTTTTTTTCATTAATTAATAAGAAGATTAAAACATTGTTTTCTACATTTACTGCATTTCTAAACAAAAATCTATTTTTTATGGTTTCAAGATGTAAAAGGAAATTTCAACTAGCAACATTTCATTCCAACCCAAACATTAGAATTCATATGCCTAATATGCTTTGGTTTTTACTTGTATTGTTTTTATCTCATTAATTCACTTTACAGTTTCAACATCAAGCATGTCTCTATTGTGTTTGACTTTTTCAGTGACTGACTTGGTAAGCTATCTACCAGGTCAGTCACTAAGAAAAAAAAAACCTTAGGTAGCACAGTAGGTCCAGCACCAGCACTTTTCTTCAGTTCCCTGTCATTAAACTGGAGGCAGTATACATTTAAATAATGATATGTTTAAGTAAAAGTACCACATCATGCCATTATTTACCCAGAGTTAAAATAGAAATGTGATGTACAGTAGGTGTTAACAACAAGACCATAAAAGCAACAGTTATTCTTTCTGCTGCTAAAATGATGAAACATCTCGATTACAAACTTCTGTGAATTTAAATCCTGTCACCTTAATAGAGTGACTTGTGTTATCCTTCACCTTCAACACCATTACTCTGTGTTTTGCACATCCAAAAATATTTCCAAGTGATTACATTTGTCATCCATGTAAGTTATAGAGAAGTCCAGGAGCCTTATTCTGGCATCTAACTAGCACCTGGCATCACTTCAGTAAACATTCATTTGGCGCAAGGACCTAAAACCATATGAATGTCATGTTGTTAATCTTTAAAACTTCAACCCTTTATTATCTTGGCCAGCCCATAACTAAGTGTCATTTAAGTTTTTTTTTTTATTTGTTTTTATTCACTACATCTCGTTTGAATAGTTTAATTTAATAACAATTAATAATTCTTCGTTTAAAGCCATTCATTGTCTTAAAACTTTATTTTTATAGCTGTTTTTGAGGATTTAAAGAACAGAACAGCTTGCCATTGGTAGACTATTAGACTGGCTAATAGTTGATATAAACATTTCCTGTAAATCTGCCTAAGTAACATCAGCTGCAGTTATACTGAAGTTCAAGAACTGGGGTTAAATGATATCATCCAAATTGTTACATTTGTGATTTAATTATATTTCAATCATATTTAATTAAACACAGCTGTTGTTTCTGCATTTGTGCTTCCTATATCATGTTCATTTTCATCAAAAGCTACACACTGATAAAATGATAGAGGGAAGTACTAAAACCATCACATTTCATGGTCATTATGACCGTTGGTTTTTAGGATTACCTCAGTAAGATAAGATAATAACAAAAAGGTAGGAATGATGTTCAGGAAATGTGACCCAGTTTTCAATGCTGCTTTTCTTTCTCTTCCAGGTGCAAGTGGGGAACTTTCGCCACATGATCACCAAAGTGCAGCTTGGCGGCAGCGAGATGGCCATCGTGGTGTCCATTGTGGTGTGCTGTGTGCTGCTGCTGTTGTGCACAGTGGGTAGGTCCAGCACACACGCACAAGTGCTTTTCCAGAGGATGATGGATGTTTGCCTGCTGCAGCAATGGATGCTCCAGATGTGGAAAGCGATAAAAGGAATTCTAGGCTTGTAGTTTCCTGCAATTGCTTCATCCCACTTTAGTATCAGACACACAAAGACTGTAGTGTTACTCCCTTTGTCTTTGTGTGTGTCCGTGTGCTGTTCATTGTTATCAGAGACTGATGTGGTCTGCTTGCCAGGTGTATGGTTGAAAATTAGTGCCAGTGTGTATTTTCACACCGTTTTCTATTTTGGATCATATATTCACAAAAGCCCTTCTGTTTTCTGCCAGACATTTTATCGGTGATGCTAGTGATGTGAGGCTGGGAGCATGAATTATATTTAGCTGTTACACAACATGGATAATGTTTCATTCTATCTGTAACAAATTGAATTTATTTAAAAAAACAATGAAAGAGAAGCTTTGTTCTGAAAACTGTTAATGAATATCTTTTGGAGCCTTTTTGACTCCTTAGTATGTGAAACAGGGGTTGTTCTTCTCACTCTTTGCTGTTGTTTGCAGCTCTTGTTGTTTACTGCACAAAGAGCCGGAGAGCTGAACGCTACTGGCAGAAAACTCTTCTCCAAATGGAAGAGATGGAGTCCCAGATCAGAGATGAGATCCGGAAAGGTAGGTTTAGATGACGAACACTGACTTTCTAGACCTCGTTTGTGCCTGTTTCAATATGTCCTTGTGTTTGCGTGCAAAAGGGCATTTGATTTTAAGGTTGTCTCCTCTGAAGTGGGAAGGAGACACAAAAGTGGACAGATTTGTGCCTAGTAAGCATGACTCATAAAACACATAAAATGACAAATGATCAGTCACACACATACGCATGTGGCCACATCGTCCGTCCTGCATATAGGAAGAGTGCCACTGTGCATCTTTACGTTTATGTGTTCATCTGAGCAAAAGAGGAGACCAGAGTGAAGGCCACTGCATGTCTGAGTGCCCAGATTTATGGAGCAGAGATGGGGGGGATAGAGAAAAAAGAAAAATGGAGGGAGGAAGCGATAGGAACGAGAATGAGAGACCCAAGCAGGGGGAAGAAGCAGAGGCGTGGGAGGGAGAAGAGAAGCGAGGTTATTTAGTCAGAGGACACAGATAGATTTGTAGACGAGTTCATGGTGAGTGCGCACCAAACGAGGGATCCTGCTGCTTAGGGGAAAGTAGCACTTCAAAAAAAAGGAGGGCTAAAAGGCGACAGGAAACTAATGGTTCAGATATTGCTTTAAACAGGAAGATTTGTGTGAAAATAGAAGCACAGGGATGGCTTGTGATGTGACCTTTTTCATCTAATCTAGACTAAACAATGTTATCTGGTTTAAGAGATAACTTAAATAGGTGCACAGTAGCTACAGTATTTGCCTGTGCACAAAAAAAATTATTTGATCGAGATAAAATAAGGTTATACATCTCAAGCTTTCATCTTGATAGTGTTTTGATAGTCCCTTTTGAGCCTAAATAGAATTTCAGCAATAGGAGCAATGAGCCAACATAAATAGTAATGTCACCGTCTGCTATTTAAGTAGCTCATAAGGACAGCAGTTTGAACACCAATTCATACTGCATTCCAAATGCTGTTAATTTTACCCCTCTTTCAATATCATTTTTTTGTGTATTTTTTTTGACACTGGATCTTAGACCTTTCTTCATTATTTTCATACATCACTAGGAGGTGTGAATTGATGGCTTAGCTGCAGTATGCCTCTTCCTTGTTTACCTGCTGCATCACGCACAGTACTGAACCGGAATTGTTATTGTAAATATACACAAAGGGCTTTATTTATTAAAAAACTGAGCAAAAAAGTGTAATAATGAAAAAAGTAGCAAATAATAGCCCTGCAGTAATTCTTTAGAGGAACTTTTTATGAAACTAGAGTGGTCTTACTGGAGCATACATGAAGAAAATGGTTTATAACATGGCTATGCAGATGGAAAAAAGCTCAACTCCAAGGCTTTGAGACTGTTTAGAGCACTTATTCATTCACAGAACCTTTTTTTTCCTACAAGCAGGAGAAAAAAGGCACATCATCTCAAACAATCTATTTCAGCAGTGAAAGCATGATGGAGGAAATATCATGCTGTAGTGTAACTTCTTTTTAGCAGAGACAAGGAGGTTGCTTAAAAAATAGTGTTGAGCAAGAACAGATTAGTTCAGATCAAATCAGATCTATGGGACAGAAATACCTGGTCAAAGTCTGGACTGAAATCCAGAGACCGTGTGAAGTCACCATCTGTTCTAACTTAACTTAGGCTATTTTAGAGAACACTGGGCAAAAAACTTTCGGCATACCCCTGAATACATGAAGAAAATGGATTCAACTAAGTTTTGAAAATATTTCTATTAAATAACAGATTATAGAGGTAATGTCTTAAAAGCAATTGGTCACACTCGATTTTATCTGTCTTATTTAAGTGTTCTTATTTGGATTTTTTTTTAAACAATGCTCTCTTTTCTTTCTCATAAAAAAGCTTGCACTGCTTAGTGGTGGTCTGAAATAAAATCCAAACAAAAAAACATCAAGATTTGTGGTTGTAATGTGAAAATATGATGAAAGGAAAAAGTCCAGCCTTTTGTAAGGTGCTCTGAAATCACTCTAGTCTGCTATTTTATTGTTTCACAATAGACAGACTCCAACAAAATTACAAATATAACCCAAATACGTCTCCCCTGTTTTGAAATGAAGCATGTTCCCATAAAACATTTGCAGGCCCTCATTAGAGGAGAGCTTTATCCTCTGCTGAAACATAGCCCTGCTGCAGCATTGGTGTGTAGGTAGGAGCCAGTGCCTGGACATGCTGATACTGTTTCTGCATGTAAACCTCTGCCTGCACATATGTTTTGGATCAAATCCTCAGCCGGATTTGGTTGGTGTGATTGGCATTTGGTAAATATTTGCCTCCGTACTGAGATGGGCTGCACAATCTGGCAAAGAAACAGGGAAAAAGATCACAGGATTACACTTTTCTCTGTTTAATATTCATCAAGGATATGACCCTGCACTGTAAACATAGCATCAGAACCCAGACGCATTTTATATATTTTTCTTTGTAAAAAAAAGTTTTGTGATTCAGAAATCAGGTTTCATAGTTCTTTTTGTTGTTTTGTTTTTTGTTTTTCATCCTTGCAGGCTTTGCAGAGCTGCAAACAGACATGACAGATCTGACCAAAGAGCTGAATCGCAGCCAGGGCATCCCCTTCTTGGAGTACAAACAGTTTGTCACTCGCACTTTCTTCCCCAAGGTGAGAAACCTTTTTTTAGCCTGTTATCTGAGTCCGCCTGGCAGACTGACACTGCCATTTTTCTCACCGGGGGTTTTCATATTTGTATTACTCCCTATCCGCCTCTCTCTTTTAAACATTTTCCACTGCTGGTAATATGCAGGATACAAATTCACCTTGGAACTTTTAAACACATGATAAATGTTGAGTAAACTTGGCTCAGTTTAGTATCCTGCAGGAGAGTTAATGTGTTCCCAATAGGTAGGCATTTTTCCTGATCTGAGATCTGGCACTTAGGTAAACTGTGGGCAAATTTCTGTTTTTTTCTACACATACAGACAAAACTTTCAAGGATACAGAACAATGACGGGCAATGAGACAAGCAAATTTTCCTCTCTCAGCTCACCCACTCTCTGTTTTGCAACCATAGATGACATTGCACAATTTCAAGCCATACTGGTTGTAGAGTGGACACTAGATGGATGGAGTCTGCACTTAGAATTGGGTTGTTGTATCCCTGCCATCATATATCAAAAGTTTTCCCACAAAACAGCAAACACTGTCCCTTATGCCCCAGAAGAGCATTTGGCTGTCTGAGATTACACACACAAAGCAGCGTTAGACGCAGTCAGAACACAGGCCAAATGTAGCTGTCCTCAAATGACAGACTGAGCTGAGAAGGCTGCTTTTTAGCTCAGCTTCACTTTGTCTAGAAAAGCTTTCTCTGTTCCTAACTTCTGGTTTTACCACAATTTGATTCTTTCACACAATCTTTTAATAACTTCTCTTTTTTTTATTTCTGGACGCCAGTGCAAACGGCAACAACCAGAGCCCAGCTCATTATTTTCCCTCCTAGTCTCTCCTTCCTGTGTTTACAAAAAAAACCAGCATACTTTGTTTTAAAGTTGTTCTGTGTGTGTCTTTATGTGCGTTTTCAGATGTGTTCAGATTATGAGAACAGCCTGGTTCGTCACAACTACGAGAATGACTCTCTGGGACCTCGGGCACTGCCAGAGACACACCCGCTGCTTCAGGACTGGCAGGTGAAGGTCTGCTATTGTCATTCTTAGGCAAGGTCCACATCAAAGAGAGATATTTTGCCAAAAATAGATTTTTGCTTTTCATCTCCTCAATTTTTATGAATGGTTTCTAAAGTGGGGACCATCCATATCATCTGTACAGATTCCCCTTTGTGAGATATAAATAACTTGTTGTTTGGGCTTTTTTACATCTCAGCTCATGATTTCTTTCGAACATTGATTAAATAAATGCTCTCTGTGTTCCATTTGTAGGACTGGTTTAGGTAAAGTGTTTTAATGTGAACCCTGATAACTGTTTATGCAGAGTAAAGAGGAGAATCATATCCATTAAATAAAAACTAAAAAAAACAGGATCTCATTCTCTGCTAGATAACATTCAGTCTTTCTGAGGATTCATGGTGATCTTATCAATGATTAGCACTCAGGACAACCTTATTGAGATTTGTGACTTTATCTTAATGCCGATATGACGGCCATTGTGCTATTTGATGGTTTTTAGACAGTGGTATATCTTTAAAATCCTCCCCTATGAGCAAATTTATCTTCAGTAAGCTAATTAAAGCCAAATATAGGAAGATGTTGGCTCATTGGCTGAAACTAGATGAGGTGCTCTAACCACACACATTCTTTTTCATATGAAAAAGGACAATAGATTGACAGATTGATCTACAACCAATTGTAAGTTTTAAATAATTATCTTTTGTCATTGCTAAAAGGTTCCCTAAAAATATTATCTGTACTACAAGTCTGCATGTCATTAATCTTTTTGCCAATAAATACCAACATTTCATGCCCATGCATGTATACCCCTAAGAAACCATATTCCTGTATGTATATCAGTTTTTTCCCCCATTTTTCATTAGTCATAGGGAGATGAATAGTCATAAACATATTCAGACATAGCAGCATAATTTCAGTGTATTTTATATCTGATCCTTGATTGGGTTAGTTGCCTATAATAAGATATGATAGATTGAAGAGGGTTAATGCTGGATTCAACGTAAAATTACTTTGAGTTACCTTGTCTGGTAAATTATAATAATAACAACACAAAAAAAAAAACATTTCCTTACAGGCTGAATACCTTACAGAAAACTACTCAGTATTCATGGGGTGCAGAAAGTAATCCAGGCAGGTATAACCAGAGCTGTGGTTTGTATGAAATGATCCATGCTTGACAAATCTATTTTAACCAAAAAAGGTTGTTTACAAAACTACAATGGGAGGAATAATTTTCAATAAACCTTATTTTAATATATAAATAAATCAGTCTATCGACCTACGTATATCATAATGATAAAAACAAATCTGTTAAAATTTAGTCCAAAGGATCAATTGTCTATAACTCAAGTGAGTAGACTGTTCAAATTTGGAAAGAGTACACAATATATTTTATTTTTTTCAGAATTTAGATGAAAGGAAAAAACCTTTATGGAAAATTGACAGTGGAACAAAGCTACCATAAAATCTACAAATGTTAACTTGCTGCAGATTAATAAAACCTAAAGAATAAAACAGCTTAACCTGCAGAGGACTTTGTAATGTTAAAGTGAGAAGCATTAAAAGAGCACTAGAGCTTCAACAGTTTAAGGTGTTAAAGATTGAGATATCTCTAGTTGGTCTATTAAAGTAGCAAGAAAAGCAAAGAGTCTCTGGAGATGAAAGGTCAAACTACAGTGTGAAGTGGTGAAGAACCCCAAATCAGAATCTAACAGGAGCACGCCCGCGATAAAAAAAAACATTCACAATATATTTAAATAATGATGAAGAATGCAAATAGAGCTTTTGGTGTATGAAGGTAAGTTAGGTTATAACATTTTGAACTAGTGGTGAGTTGTATAACTAAAAAAAAAAAAATTAACAAACTACACAACTAACCCGATATGGGCTTATAACTTTCATATAAAATAGTGTAATAACAATCGTCCATTTATTAAAAAACATTAGAAGCCCAGGCTGCTGCCCCTGAAAGCCCTTTGTAGAATCTAACCTTTGCTTTGGGTGAACGGGTGCACTTTCACACATGGGTGTTAACATGTGCTGAGTGTGAAAGCACACGCATGTGTGTGTGCAGAGTCTTAACGAGGGAAGGTAAAGATTGCAGCGCTGGTTTTAGGTCGGCAGCCAGGGGAGACTGGCTGACGGTGATGAAGTGCCTTGGATCCAGATTGTCTTCGCAGGAAGTGTTTTCCAGGTCACTGCGAATACATCTCAGAGGCGGGCATTTATCTTAATGGACACCCCTGTTCTCCTTCTGTCAGGCTGCAAACCACACCATATGGCTGCGGTCCAGAGGGAAGACTTCATCACGCCGCTGCTTAGTCGCACCCATTGATAGACCACACTCATTAAGTCGACTCCGCACATTTAGCGACAATCAAACACTGTAAGGGGCTGGGGGGGGGGGCTACTGTAGCGAAAAACCTGGAGGATCGGAGGAAAGAGGATGCGCTAGAAAGATGAGGTGTTCGCAGAATAGGTCACATGAGAGGAGAGGTGTTGGAAATGATAAGTGAGGGCACAGCAGGTGTGTAATCCAGTTAGGGTGAAATCATGCAGGGAAGTAAATGTTTCACCCAGCCTCTGTCATCTTCTGTCACCAGGCCAACAACACGACACAACCTAATGTGGAGGAGGGCATCACCCTGTTCTCCACTCTGCTTAATAACAAGCACTTCTTGATCACTTTCGTCCACGCCTTGGAGCAGCAGAAGGACTTCGCTGTGAGAGACAGGTAAATGCAAAATGTACTGCTTCAATGCTGTGCAGGCTTTAGTTGTAATAGAATACACATATATTGACATATTGAATGATATTACATTAAAGCCTGAGATACCTACTCATCTTACGTTGCAGCAGTTATCTCTCACTAAAAAGTGACAGTAAAAAATGTTTGATTAAGCATATTTAATGTGTGGTAAAAGAAACCCCACTTTAAGAATTATTTTGGGTTTTTATTATTATTATTATCTTTGTGGCAGTAGTGGCCTTTTTTTTTTTAAAGTTAACAGTCAGGAAATGGGATCGAGGGGGGAAGAAAACATGCGGCACAGACTGGACCTGAAACGGCCATGTAGAGGACTAAGGATTCAGTATATGTGTTTGTTTTTAATACATTCACTGATAGCGCACTACTATATAGTTTATTCTAGTGGATAAGAGTCTTGAGAAACATTGAACTGGTATTACGCAACTCCCTGCTTACGTGGGGAAAAAAGTCATCAAATTTGAAAGAAATTCTCATTCCCTTTAGTCACACCTCAAGACTGGGAAATACAACAGAACATACAGTTCATGGTAGATCTGTGTTTAGTTACTCATCTGAAATTTCCCATCTTTACAGTTGTATCAGTAATTAGAAAGAGGAACCAGGTTTATCTTGCCATTATGCACAGTTAGCAGGATGATAAGTAAGGGAAATTAAATCTCCTAAAGCTCACAGCTTGAGAGCTGCGCCAGATATTGGATCATGAAGTGTTTGTAAAAAAAAAAAAAAAGAAGCCAAGTTATTTATTGGGAATGTCAGGAAAAAGCCTTTTTTGTTCTACAATCATAAATGCAAACAGCTGATTAAAATTGCATCCTTTTGTCAAATCGGTCTAAAAAAATTGATTTTTACCCAGAAAACTCTCCAGGTAAGCTTGGTTTAAAGCAAAAGACGAAAACTTGGAAGAGCAGCTCATGGCCATGGTAGGTATGGTGAAAGATCTGTGATGCTGTGGGCTTTTCCCTCTTCAGTACCTAGTTCAAGGAACCTCAGCTTACACTTTGAAATGGAAAAAGAAAATTTGGGGGCATTTGGTAGGAAAAAAAAAAACATTTATCAAGACTGAAGTTCTGTACAAAATTAAAAAACAACAACAAAGGTACCGCCAATTTGTCTCACCTATGGTCTTCATAGACAATATTGTTGCAACAGGATATTATATTTCAGGACATATGTTTGAAATGCCATTAAGGGTTGTGAAATTTCGAACAGTAAATATTATTCCTACCTTTATTTTTCTGATATAAAATCTAAACTACATTGCTCTGTCTGAAGGTTAAAGCAGACCATTAAAAATGACTTAGCCTTTTGTTTGGAGTTGACCTTTGCAAAGTGGCCACTTATACAGCTCAGCCACCACTGACAGACTCAGACAAACACTAACAGAGGGAGCTGTCTGGGGATTCAAACACAATAGGTCATCTGCTAAGCTATAGTAAGCCATAAGAGAACCAGACATTTAATACATATAGATACATGTACGTCCTTTTCTATATTTAAACATACATAGGTATGTACCTTATTGTAAACTAAGCAGACTCTTCTTTACCTTAACAATAAAGATGCTCGTAGCAGGCTTTACCAACTTGCAGATTTCTTTGAGGTTTGAGGCGCTGGTAATGATTTTAACAATTATTTTTATTTCCTATAAACTGTAAGTCTCATAAGACAAATAAAGGGCTGCAGCTTCTTTAATAGTTCGTTTTAAGTCTGGATTAAACTAACTATGTGGTCATAAGTGGGTCCCCTAATGTTTATCCAATTGAAAAAAAAAAGAAATTATCAAAGAATAAACTGCATAATTGCCTTCATTGACCGAAAATGATTGGAGTTTTTCCTCATACATTTTAACCTGCTGGTTAGAGAGCCGTAAAAAAATGGCTAATTGACTGGTGCACGTTTTTTCCCACAACAGCTAGACAAGTAAAATTGTTAATAATGACCTAGTTCCAGGGTTAGTGGAATTTTAACCACTTCTGGGGCATTCTTTAGTTTTTCTGACTGACATTGTTCTTTTTTATTCGCTCTGCTCTCTGCGTCGTTCCTCTGAAAAGCAGTTTGTCACATTAGCTGCCTTGCAGCAAGAAGATATCAACAGAAAAGAAGGTGATGAAAACAATGGACGTTCTTTTTTAGCTAAGGCATGATAAAAATAAGGGCAACAAAAAAAGAAAATATTTGCCTTAAGTAAGAAACTCCTGCTGAATGCCAGATGTTACTCTGTTTTTCTCAAACAAATTATTTATGACAACATGTAAAATGCTTCTACCGCGCTTAGTGTTGTGTTTTCTATTTTTGCTGCACAAACACACACACATGCTCACACAGGCAGAAACAGGTCAAGTCAATATTGAGGTAAACTAAATAATTGTTGAGGTTTTCCAATGTTAGGCAGTCACCGTGAATCAGAAAGAATTTCCAGAGGCAGACCGCATCCCTGTCCCTGCACAGCGTCAGCACTTACTGACTGATGGAGCCTCTTCCTGCTGGATTAAAGAGGCTTTGTTAGGGAAAATCCCCTGGCCGTAGCTCTGGACACTGACTCAGACACTCCCTGCTTTAGATCAGATCTTTTTTTGGCTCTGCAGTCACAGGTGCAGTGGGCTGAGCAAAATCTTGTTTTGGTTCCCGTGATTTATTATTTTTAAATCTCCTCTGACCACAAATTGATGGACCATATTTGCACAACTGTGTTTTTGTGGGTTTTTTAGGGAGGGAGGGGTCTTTTTGTGTGTCCTCTGCTAATCGTTTTCTGACCCCCACCTCTCCTTCAGATGCAGCCTGGCATCCTTGCTCACCATCGCCCTCCATGGCAAACTGGAATATTATACCAGCATCATGAAAGACCTGCTGGTGGATCTGATTGATGCTTCAGCTTCTAAGAACCCCAAACTGATGCTGCGGCGCACAGAGTCCGTCGTGGAGAAGATGCTGACCAACTGGATGTCCATCTGTATGTTCAGCTACCTGAAAGTAAGGATCAAAAGGAATGCTGAGAGGGGATTTGATTCAAAGAAAGATTTGCTGACTTGAGTCTTATTTTCTAGGAAACGGTGGGCGAGCCTTTTTTCCTGCTTCTTTGTGCAATCAAGCAGCAGATCAACAAGGGCTCAATAGACGTCCTCACAGGGAAAGCCCGCTACACCCTCAACGAGGAGTGGCTTCTCCGTGAGAACATTGAGGCCAAGCCACAGGTCCCAGAACTCCGACACTTGCTGCTCATTTTTCACCAAACAATCCATTCAGTTTAAGTGACACACTTTTTGTTTATTTTTGGTCTGCAGAACATCAACGTGTCCTTCCAGGGCTGTGGCATGGACTCGCTGTCAGTCAGGGTCATGAACACTGACACGATCTGCCAAGTTAAAGAAAAAATTATTGAAGCCTTTTATAAAAACCTGCCTTTCTCTCAGTGGCCTCGAGCGGAGGATGTGGACCTGGGTAAGAACACATTTCCTCTGATTATTTCCATCCTTTCCCCTCCTCAAGCTCTCCAAGATATAGTAATCTCCTTTGCAAAAAGGTCAATTCTTCTCATGAAGCCCAACTAACCTGAGGCTGCAATATAATAAATGACAAAATGCATTGAGGAGAGTGTACAGTCATAATCACAAAGAGTTATTGCTTTCAGAGGCTGCAGAGCCTGCAGAGCTGATTTGATTAATGGCCTGAGAATATTTCCACAGGTCAAGACATAGAGCTGAAGCATGGCTGCCATTTGTCTCGCCTATTCTTCTCCAAATTTAAAAATGAAATTGTCTCAGATTTCCACCTTCTTCATCCCATTCCTCCTTACAGAGTGGTTTGACTCAGGGAGCAACAGCAAGCTCCTGCAGGATCTGGACAACTCCTCAGTGATGGAGGATGGTCGAAAGAAACTCAACACAGTCTTCCATTACCAGGTGGGCGTGTTTGTGTGTGGTTGTGTGTGTATGTGGGCACGGCAGCTAATGTGGGTAATGTTACATTAGTGGTCTGTTAAAGGAGAAAATTCAATGGAAATTATATTTCTGGGCTTCCTTTGGTTTGTTTGCAGCACTGTTAGCTGCCGTTTTGCAAGGGCCACTTCTATATGCCGTGCTGGTCAAAAATTTACATGCACTTGTCGTTTAAACCGCTTATTTGTCAGACTGGAATTACAGAACAACACAAAACATCAGTTAGGCTAAAAAAAGCAAGAGCCTGGTGCAGAATTTACATTTATTGCAGATTGTCTTTCATTTATACAGGATCAGAAATATAAATGTGCTTCATTTATATACACACACACCTCCATGATATTTAGCTAAAGGTCTCTTAACCAAAGCCTTTTTTTTTGTATCCAATTACAACGTCCTGTCTTGATTCTAGTTGGGTATATGAGCTCTCTGTATGTCAGAAACGCTAGAGCTCATTTAAATCATCACAGTTTGGTTTAGACATATTTCATACGGAATAAAACCAAAGTGATCACAGATGGCAAATGTTAGCAGACTATATCCAGTTCTAAAGCAGCTTGCTGTGTTTTTGAGATCATTATCCTCCTGAAAAACCCAGCTGCTTTCAGTCATCTGATTACTTTCTACAGGAGAAGCTGACATATTTGTCAGTCCTCCTCCTTCATTGTGCCTTACTGTATTTACCACAGAGGAAGTGTGTATGAAAGCAGACCCTTAGAATGATGCTGCTACCGCCATGCATGAGTGAAAGCCTCGTCTTGGCATTTTTTTCTATCACGGTGTTTAAATGTCTTAATCTTTATTTTGTCTGATTATAGACTTTTCTCCAGAATGTGTTTGGCTTGTCTTTGCATATTTCCGTTGAGCTTGAAGGTTTTGGTTTAGGAGCGGCGAGTTTTAGTCTACGTTGTTTTAAAATTCACTTTACAGCAGATTGTGACATCAGTTTTTAGATTTTGACAGATAGTAACCCTGGTTTGTTGTTCCTGGGTCATTCTGGGACATTGTAACCAATTTGTTTTTGTCTGGGGGTTAAATTTGTATTCACCCTCACCTCAGCTCTTATATCTATATAAAATCTATATAAAATCTATATAAAATCAGTCAGAATTAAATGTGTTTATTTTTTAACAAGACCATTTTTTTTTTGCTTTTTTTTTTTTTTTTTGCAAAAAAACAAAACTTCGATGTGGTTAAGGCAGAACTTTTCATGGGATAGTTTAATATTTCATATGCATTTAGGTAGAGCAGGTTGAAAACAAATTTCCATAGAAATGCAATATTGTGCCACAGGACTATTTCTTTTGTTTTTATTTTATGTCACCTGACCAACACAATATAATATCAAATGCATCTGTAAACTTCTGACCAGAAACCCAGCTGACCATTTCTTTGTGACTTTCAGTTTTAACATTACGAACTTGTTTATTAACTCGACATCATACCAGAGGTCAAGGTTAGACATGGGAGTGTACGTGAGTGTATTATTCCATGTGTATGTGAGTCACAACAGAGGAAGAAATGCTTATAGATCTTGTAAGGTTCATGCTTAAAGGTCAGTAAAACAAGCAGCCTGATGTAAACAGGGTTAGGCATTTCCCACTTCCATGAACATAACTGCCACATGCGCTATGGGGGAAAAATATCTTAAACTCATGCTTCTGTTGAGCTTCTGACTTTACTGTAATTGGCTGTCATACCTTGACGATTTCGCCAGCGTATGCCTGACGTACGTCAAATCTGGCAAAAACTCTGGCTTGCATTGGATAAGTTACGGGTAAGCTGAAGCATGCTAAAGCACACGTTGACATAAGGCAAGTACGTCGGGAAATTGCCATATATCAGCGTATGCTCATACATGAGGCATAAGTTACAGGTAAGTTATCTGATCGTGACATAGGTTAAGTGTAAGTTACTCATAAGTCGTGGTGTCAAGCTTATCTAAAACCTATGAGCAGTAGACGAGTTGTTAAAAAAAAGGGGGGGTGGATTATTTTTTTTTTTTATTTATTTATTTTTTTGGAAGTATACATAGCCTAATTAATATATAATATTAACCTAAAGCAATATGCATGGTATGGTTGTTACATGTTAGGTATGGCAGTCATTGAGCCTGACCAAGGAACCTTACTGTAGAACTGCAGTTAGTCCCTGGACTGGCATGGCTATCATTGCCCCTACATAGTTAGGGACAAATCTACCACTGGGATCAGCTTCATAGTCATGGTAGGCCACTTCTTGGATTTTATTGACACTTGCTGCTCATTTTTCACCAAACTGTTGATGAGAGGAGACGAGAAGAGAAGCTATTGAAGGAACCTTTAAAATTTGACCAAAAAAAAGTGTTTAAAAAAAATAAATGAAAAAAATATATAATTAAATTGAAATGTGTCTTAGAGTTCACAAAGTTATTGTTCTCCACACATCCCATACTGCTGAGTTCTGTATTGTGGCATTTTAAAACAAGTTTGTAAAGAAGAGCCAGTACCATTGCAGCCATGCAAAATTCTGCAGGCAACTGTTAGGACAGCTCAGAGACAGCACTGGGGGGATATTTCATAGTTGGGATATTAAAGAAATATTGTCCAAATATGTTATAAATATGAAATATGTTAATTATAATTCCGGATGTGTGACTCTTTAAATGACAAATTAGATTACGCCATTTGAGATATCTCGAAATGCAGTTTGACTGTAATTAAAGATATCTTGAATTATTATTTTTCCCTACACATAATATAAAAATATAAAACATCATTAAGGGCAATCAAAATTTAGTAAATAATGTTTTTGTCTATTTTATTAAACTTTCTGTATCTCTATAATGGGTCTGTATTATGAGTTGTCTTCTCAATTCAGAGGGCCCCATGCCTGTCTTTGCCTAGGGCCCCAAATTCCCTAAATCCGCCCCTGCTTTGATTCTCTCCAGGTTTCCTCTGTCGTGCCGAGAATTACCTCCCCTGTCAAGGGAGCACGCATCGCCCTAAACTCATGTCCATTGATGAGAAAACAGTTTTAAAAATAAATGAAAACGGACATTTTAAACATATTCTTACTTTTTTCATATCTCCTATATGGGATACTTGGATGCCTTAAAATTGATCGTTTTGGTGGATAGATAAATTAGAATTAATAGGATTTTACTTGTATGGAGACACATTTCATGCGATGTGCTTCAGTCAGTCTGCGTGAATAAATTCTCTGCTCAGTGAATGGTGATTCCTGATTTTGCTATCAACACCATTCTAGATCATTTCTGACACTTTATTTGTTAAACTTAGAACCTGGAACCTGCCGAAGATTCCCTCCTCCCTTTATTTTCGCATTTATTATCCCAGACTTATGAAGTTCATACCACAATCACAAAGAACAGGTTTGATTATGTGGGGAAACTTGCATAATTGTAAACATATTATTTCTCAAACTGAGCAGGGGAGGGAGATCTTGGCAACTTAGAACCTGGAACCTGCGGAAGATTCCCTCCCTCCTTATTTTCACATTCCCTCAAATTGGCCGTGATGCTGTTCAGAACAGCGCAGGCTGTGCACTACTCGTAGCCTTCCAAATGTTAAAAGGGCAATATTATTGCCATTACCATTAATATATAATAGAAATGCACACATTCAGTGATGAAATGTCACAGGGGACGGTATGGGGGGATGGTCATTTAAGAAGGGGGATGATTTTTACGTTTTTTTTAAGAAAACCCCCCTCAGCTCGAGTACTGCGTATGAGTAACTTGTGCATAACTATATGTAACTTATCAAGAACTTACCTCCAACGCCTATCAACGTATTTGACATGTTCCAGATGAGCGCTGAACATGTTTCTAACTTACAGCTACTGTTTAATGGTGTCTTGGCAACATTTTGGTATAAAAGTGGGTTCACAGGAGTAAACAGCCAGTACTCCTCTAGACTTCATCCCCATCATAGGGTGTGTCATGGTGAGCGTGATGGATCCTCCCTGCGTTCACCCCTACGACCAATAAACTCTCTTGCAGACATAACGCTGAATCTGCCGCGTCTGCAAACCTTCTTTCTTTCTTTTTCTTTTCATTATTTCATCTTTTTTTTTTAGCAGGCAGTAAACAGCAGCTAGGTTGATACCGGGCAATCAAAGACATCATTTTATGCAGACTGGACGCCTCCAGGCACATTGCTGCCCCCCTCAGGAAGCTGGCTTTTGCATCATTTCATGGGCATTACGCTGCTGTGCGTTATGCATAAGTTAGGCGGTCGTTGGCATAAGTTCTAGACTCGTTATTAATACTTTATGTATACGCTCAAAACTGATAAGATACATAGAAAGTTCAGCGTATGTCAGCATTTTAGGAGATTCTGGGACGTCAGGCACACACTGGCTAAATCCTCAAGGTGTGACAGGGGCTTCAGAGAGTGGAAATTGTTGGGACATGTTAAATCTGGGGTAATATTTTAGTTTGGCAGAAACAGTGAAAGCAGACTCAGCAGACACCGTATGTAAATAATTACATTGAAGGTCAACCTTTGAACTAAAACAGCCATAAGCAAAACTTAACTGAGGTGATTCATTCAGTTTTGACCCTTAGTTTCTGTTAATTACTTTTGATCAGCATGTCTTTTAAGTCGTTGAAAAACAATATTCTCTCATTCATTTGAATTTTAGAGATCAATAAAGCTATAAATAAAAGTTTACAGTGGAAGAAAATTTGTACATGCTTTTAATGTATTCAAATACGGATGTTGCCTTCTATTAACACCTAAAGTTAAAACCCAGATATCAAAGTGAAACCCTGTTTCATGGTTTTCATGAAACTAAAATAATTTGTTTTGATGGACAGATTAACATAATATGGCTTTTCAAGTTAGGAACAATCTTTTTCTGCAACTACAAACATTTCCTCTAAAAGATGCTTGTCATAACTTAATGTGTGACTGTTTAATATAAAGCAAACGATCAAATTTAGATTGTAAATAATCAACATCAATATCCTGTCAATGTCTCCTTTGTTTAACATTTCTGCTCCTCTACCTTAATATATTAATTATATTTTTATATCTGTTATTTGAGTGAATGAAAAACTACAAATGCACCAACCAGTATTTTGTTGGCCATGTTTAAACACCAGTTTCTCTAAAGCTTTAACCCCCAAATTAACATTTTGAAAATATGCTTAAAATATGAGATCTCTGAAGGTTTACCAACATTTCCACATCTGGCCTGTTTTTTGACATTGAAAACTAAAAGTGGCAAAATAAAGCAAGTTCTTTTTAATAGATGGAGTAATGGAAATAGTTATTGGATTACCGCATCAAGTACTAACTATGCGTATAATTTCACTAAAACAGACAAAAGTAAATCTGGAATGTGTAAAACTTTGTTGTTTTTTTATACAATGCTGCTGATTTCGTTATCATCATGAAGATCATAGAAGTTGTCTAGAATTAAGCTCTTGAATTAAATTCTTGTGTTTGCATTTTTATCATTATATCTGCCCATCAATAAAGGTACAAGGAATACTGGAATGGAATAAAACATGATGTTATCATTTCGTTTTCTAATCAGGCAGTGACAACAGAAAGCTTTTAAAGATACTTCTCTGTCATCATGAAAGCCACCGTGTCTGTCTGTGTGTTTATGTCTGCGATGATTTGTGCATAATTAAACAAACCCTCCGGTTCCCCTCGACCTTTGAACTGTTACCTGCACTTTTGGTAAGTGTTGTACTGAGTTTTGCTGGGTGGTTGGAACGGAGCTGTGAGAGCAACGAGCCGGAGCTAGTACTAACAGTTTGGGTTCACTGGCAAAGCTGCTCAATCCATTTCACTGCAGGTTGACTTTAATGAGCCAAACCAGGCCTCTGTGAAACCGGCCACCGCTCCGGGTGCACGCAAGACCAACACGCATACACAAACATACAAACACTTGCAGCGCCGAGCGACATGTTGCCCTCCAGGGCGTTCTTAATGACACTGTTTTGGTGCACCCAAGCTAACCCCTGACCTCACGCCCTTTGGCCTCTCTCGCCTTTCTTTGCCCCCACCCCCTCATCCTTCTTCTCCTCCTTATTCCCCGCTTTACTAGATCCCTGAGGGTGCTTCGCTGGCCATGAGCATGAAAGACAAGAAAGAATGCACCCTGGAGAGAGGTAGGTAACCTTCAAACACACCCACTCTCTGTCACTTTGTCATGCACACTCACCCGAATGTGGAAAGGTGCACTCACATACTCAATCACTTGGAAACAGCACATGCTTAGGTGATCACCAAAACATGATCCGCTCATGTAAACATACGTGAAACCAAGCACCCCCCCCTCCCCTCATCCATGAAAAGACTGATATCTAAATACCCTCCCGTCTAATAAATCACAACAGGAAGTCTAACAACAGTAACTCATTGAAAGCGTTATTTTTTCCCCCCTACATGTTCTGGATGTAATCCATTAGCAGCTGTCAGACTGTCGGGGAAAAATGTGACACAATTTGGCCCGTTGTCCAGCATCCGCCGAGCTTCGCCTGTTGACAGATGAGTTTACATCGAGCCGTTAATGGGCTCCTGTGCTCGCTGTCCGGGGCCCACCTTACATAATCAGCTCCAGACCAGAGCTGGGTTCTCTTCAGGTTCTGTCCATCAAAGATGTTTCTCTCCATTCACGCGGTGCCAAAAATAGGCTCAAGCATACCAGACCTGGCTCCTGCCTCAAAGCGTCAAGGGGGTGCTATGAGCTTGTAGTGCTCCCTGGCTAATCTGAAACACTGTCCTGGCTGTCTGTGATCAGTGCTGAGGGTCTGGACTGTGGCCTGCTGGATGAGAGCATTTCTGGCAGAGTGGGCTGTAATGAGAAAACACACACCATGAAGGTGGCTGTTTGTGAGTGAGTGAGGATGTCTCAGCCTCTCTTTGTTTTAGCGTCTGTGCCATGCACAATAGATTGACTATATTTGTCTTTGAGCTTGTGTTTAAACACGAGTCTACAATCATCCCTGCTCTCATATCTGTTCATGCGTGTGCATGAATATGTTTTGTGTTGAGATCTATAAATAAACCAGCTAGATTTAATTCTTTTGTTCCCATCGTTGGCCGAGCTTTACCATCTCATTACAGCGGCTCCACAACCAGTCTCAAACTCCGTGCATCCCTCTCCCGTAATCTCTCCTTTCTCTCTCTCCCTTTGCTCGTAATCTTTCTCTTTCATTCTCTCAGACAGCTTCCCTCCCCTTCGGGCTCACAGTCCATCCTAATCACTTTCTTCTTTTTGCGTTCTTTTACTCTCCTGTCAGTCTTTTTTGTCTTACTTGTATCCCTCATTCTTCTATGTGCCTCAATTGTTTTTAGCTTGTTAAAGTCTACACCATCCTAATTGCATTTTTTAAATATAGTATGTTTTTTTGTCTTTATTTAGTTAAGGATCTGGACACAGAGAAATATGTGCACTTGGTGAGTATTTCTGTATAAGTAATTAGACTAAATTTGAAGAGTTTTTCCTGTGGGCAGCCCAGTGGCATGCCTGATGATGGAGAGAGTAGAGGGGGGGTTTGGGAAAGGAGGTGAGAGGGAAAGCTGCTGAGAGGACATGACAGCGCTAATGCTGCTTAAGCTCTTTCATAAACGTCAGCTAAGATATGGGCCCTTTGACTTTAATATAATGAGTTTCTTGGAATACAATTTGCCGGGTGAACGGTTAGTTTTACAGGAAAGTTCTGGAGTGGAGGAGCTGGAACATAAAGGGATAGTTTAGGGTTGTTTAAGTTAGGTTCTGTTAAAAGGTTATTCATACATTTTATCCATGCAGTGATAACTCTGTTGATGTTGTTATTTGGTAAAAATCCAGATTAGTGGAGGCTGGAGCTAACAGCTAGTTAGCATTGAGCATTGAGACTAAACAGTTAACCAAAAAATATCAAAGCAGCTTCTGATTAGGATGTTTTTTTTTTTTTTAAACAATCATAATTTTTTAATTGAGTGGTTATTTATACAGATGTAGAAAATCATACAGTAAACCCCGAAAATTACCATTTTTGTGAATTTTTGCAAAAAACCCAGCCCTCAGTAATTAAAAAAAAAACCCTATACAACCCTGTACCCGCTCCCGAGAGGGACCGCCTATTAAACGCGTGTGAGAGAATGCACGAGCCCATTTCTGCTTGTGCACGCTCTACTTAACAGTTGCAGTTTGCATCGCTCATACACACTTACTTTTCAAAAGGATATTTGCAATTTCTCCACTATGTCAGACTCACCACCGGTAAGTGAAAATAGGGACGAGCTCATAGGATGGCCTTACATAAACATATCACTAGAAAGATTGACAATTAGGAGGACCACTTATTTTGAACATCCTCCGCTATACGTTTAATTTTCCAGTTTGGAATGCCGACTGGGGACAGAAGAATTCTGTAAGAACTTTTCAGTTCAAAAAACATCCAAATGATGTCAAAATGGTCCAGAGATATGCCTTATGAAATGTTGATATATTTAAGTTAAAAGGAAAATTTCCTTAAAAATCTCTTTAATGGTTTTACAAATATAAACATAGACTTAGTTTAGATAAGTTTGAAAAGCAAAACAAGGAGCGAAAGGAGCTGTGCTCCAATGTTGGACCTTTCAGTTATTAGCACAGCGTCCTTAGCAGAGGAGATACACACACAGCTTCCAGGGTAGAAATGAAATACAAGTACCAGACTTTTCATATGTACCAGAGATTGTTTGTTGTTCTTATAAAAACAATGATATCTCTTTTATTGTTTAGTGGCTGCCACTCCAGAACAAAGTGGTTCTGGTTAGAGGTTAAAATCCTTGTTACTGTCAGACTACAGAATTTATGTAAACATGTTGACATATTTACTGCTACTCTCAATTATTAGACACAAAATAAACAGTAATAAAGAGGGGTATTTTTTGCCTTACATTGACAGCTCTATGTCTCACATGAAGAGATAAGTAAATCCATGCTAAATTAACCGTCTTTAGGTTGATTGTCATTAATCTTGAGCCTAAGATTAAATCACTTTTAAACCAGGAAGCCTACTTGCTCTAAAACTGTTCAAAATGTAAATATAAAGTATAAAGCTGCGTTTGTTATAACCTTTATATTGAGTCATGTCTATGAGATATATGTGTAGCCTTAGTGATGAAATACGGTTTGACGCTCAGTATGATGTAATGCATTTGTAAGGGTAAAACCACTCTGTCTAATTGTGATTGAGACATAAATGAAATATCTAAATCTGCTTGATTATTTTTTAAAATATACTCATGTCTAAATGAGGTATAAAAAAATTTAAGGTTTCATTTAATTGTTTCATAAAGGACATGTTTTCAGAATCATGTTGCTTTAAGTTAACTCATTTATACTTCAAAAACCAAAGTGTTCAACTATAAAAGCCACCAAAACTTGAATTAAAATACTGTGCATACCACGCTATGTAATTTAAAAGAAAAGATTAAAGCAGCATACGTGATTTTAAATGTCCTAAAATTAGTTTGTGAAATGGTTGTGTTTCTGATCATTACATAAAAAAGGCTCTCCAGGGGCATGGGAGAATAAACTATGATATCAAGGTTTGTGGGGTTTGGTTTGACAGCAGAAGCTGATAAAACAAGATATTGCTTGATTTTAGATATCTAGTTCTAAAGTGCTTAATGTCTTAGTCTAGTCAGTTTAATTCCAAACTAATCTGGAGTTACACTGAATAAAGACCCAGTTATTAACTAAAATGTTAACCATATATAATTATTTAACAAACCCCTTACTCAATGAAATGCTTAAGTATTTATTTGAAAAAAAATCATATAATCTAGTTTACTAAAAACAAAAAAAAAACAGCAAGGAAGAAAAAGTCCCTGAGAATTTCCTAACCTCTTTGGACTTCCCTAGTTCTGTTTGTCATCTAATGCTCCAAAAATACCCTGCATGTGTATCTGGATCATGTGACTCTTGCAAGAATGAGAAAAAAAATTCCAGTTCACAACTCATGCAGATTAAACACAGAGGCATGTTCACTTAGGTCCTTACTGCTGTAACCTTTGACCTCTGGTTTTCCAGGTTTTACCTCATGATGAGCTAATAGAGACCAAGAAGTCACACAGACACAGCCATCGCAAGAAAGTGCTGCCGGAAATCTATCTGACCCGCCTTCTATCTACAAAGGTAACCAGAAGCAAACTGTTGCCAACTTTGAAGTGAGGTCGAACATGAAGTCAAAACTAAGTTTAGTCAAAAATAGTTTTACTCCTTAAACCTTTTTTTCACACTTTTACAACTTTAACTTAATTTGGTGGAATTTAAATTCACATTTTTATTCCAGCCATCTTTTTTCTCTACCCTATAGAGCCAACTTCTGCAAAAATCACTGCTTCTAGTCTCTTTACCTAAGGCTTTAGCAGCTGTGCACACCTAAAGATGGACATTATACCTAATCTCTCTCTTGTTGGATGTGTCTGAACATCAATTTTGATCAATTTTTGCCAAAGGTCCAGTTCATTTCATTATATAGATATTCTTTGATCTAACTCATCATAGCTCTGGCTTCATGTTTAGGGCTATTATTCAGCTGGAAGATAAACAACAAGAACCAAGAGACCATGTGGCATATAGCTGAAAAAGATGTGTAATTTCAGTCTTATTTGATGCTCTCCTTTATGGGCTTTTTAGTTCAGATGACAGACATGTCTTGTCTCTTTCCTTTGCTTGCTGCAATGTTCAAAGCTTAAGATATTGTTTTGTAATCTAACCCTTCTTTAATCTTCCACTAAACTTTCTTCCTGTCTAGTGAGTTCCTTACTGCTCGAAAAAACCCTCCAAGGCTTTCCTGCAGAATTAAACTATACAGATGTAATCTTGGTAATCATAAGGTGATTTCTAGAGGAAACAGGTTCATTTTGTTTGTGTATCAGACTGAAAGTGGCTGAATACAAATGCATGCCACACTTTCCCATGTGTTTGTTTATTAAATAAAACTGAAGCCTCCATTATTTTTCTTCTTCCATATAGTTGTGTTCTTCTTTGTTTGTCTAACATAAGAATCCGGTAAATTACACTAAAGTTTGTACTTGTGGCAAACTGTCTAAAGGTTCAAAGGGTATGAATACTTGATGTGAATGCCCTTTACCTCCACAGGGAACTCTTCAGAAGTTCCTCGATGACCTCTTCCTGGCAATCCTCAGCATCCCTCCAGACCGTCCACCTCTGGCCATCAAATACTTTTTCGACTTCCTTGAGGAGCAAGCTGACAAACGCGGCATCACAGACCCAGACACCCTGCACATCTGGAAAACAAATAGGTAGTCTACTAAGCACTTTGATTTAAGACCCCATTGGTCTGCTTTTGTCCATGGGTGAAAGTCTTTAAAAAAATGATTCCCTCCTTATGTCTGTGCAGCTTACCTCTGCGTTTCTGGGTGAACATCCTGAAGAACCCCCAGTTTGTTTTTGATATTGATAAGACGGATCACATGGACGCCTGTCTGTCTGTCATCGCCCAGGCTTTCATTGATGCCTGCTCCATTTCTGATCTGCAGCTAGGAAAGGTGAGGCTCTCATTCACAGAGCTAGTATTAGCAGCTGCTGTGGAAAAAGAAACATGCTCAGACATGCATCTTCTCAACTTGCAAATTATTAGCTTTGGGCATGTTGGAAGATAAAGTGATTTCCTCCTGTTTATTCAACCTGAGACACCGTAGTTTAGAGTCTTACTGTAAGCCTGTTTTTATTTTTTTATTTGGGGGGGAGCAGGGGGGAGTGTGTATAAGGTCAAATCCATTAAGGAGAAAGTTCACAGGATATAAACTAGATTAGAAAGCAGTTTTAAATGATAGCATGTAATGCTGCGGAATGAATTGTAGTTGCAATATAATCACAATTTAGGAAATACAATTTTCAAATCACAGAGGCACTCAATTTGTAGTCACAATACGTTTAACAGGAGCAAGACACACTTTTTTTCCCGCAGCTCTTTAGGTGGTGGTAATACGATTAAAGTGGTTATGCTGTCGCACAGAAGGGAAGAGAGGATTCCAGCTAGCACCTAGATCTATGCATTATAGTAGAAGTCAGAACCTTTTCATGCTAATGTTGCAGTAAAGTCCTGCAAAACCTGACTGTGGAGAGGCAGGCTTTCAAGGCAATGAAAATAACTGAAACTTTGTGGTAAAACGTTGACATGCTTGTGCTTAGTGCAGAAGAAAATCGCAATAAAATCACAATATGTGTTGAAATTCATCACAATTCCAATTTTTGGCAAACTCTTAGTAGTGTGTTGTAATAACCAGTAAAAAGGGAGTCATTTTAACCAGTGGCTCAGAAGTAGCATTATCTCTTCTTACTCCCTGAAATCAGATGAAGGAATATATCTGATAGGAAACAGATTAATAAGCCTTAAGTTAAGATGTGCCATTTCATACTACTTTCTGTTTATTATGTACTATACTTTCAGGGTTTCTGCGGGTCATTAAAAATCATTAAAAGTCATTAAATAATTATTTTTTTAATTAAGGCCTTAATTGGCATTAAAATTCATTAAATGTGATTATCATGGCATTTAAAATGCTTTATTTTAAAAATTGTGAAATATATCAGATTTAACTGGTTCCATACAGTATGTTTGCGTGGAACTGCTACAGAAGCTCGAGGCACAGAAAAAGCTAGGGAATGGGAAAATGCAAATTTTAACATAAGTGGCTGGAAAACGAGAAATTCGGGGCATGGCTGCAGCCTGTCGATGGTAAAGATTACGAAGGATTTGGCCGTGTTTATATAAATATATATATGAGAGTAATGGGTACTTATTGATGGCATTAAAATTATTTCTAAGATCATTAAAAGAGCATTAAAAAGAATTAAATTAGAGTTCCTCCTTCCTGTGAAAACCCTGACTTTATTATTGGGAACAATTGTTTTTGCTTTAGTTCTCACATAGAACAGCAAATGCGCCGTCTCTGTCACCTTATAAAGAACTGAGTCATTTCACCTTCTTCACACCTAAACCTTAAATTATTTGTTCTCTAGCCATCAATCATTGTATCTACTGGACCCATTTAGCTTCCCAATAGCCAGTGCCACACACATAGTCACACCTCTTCAGCCCCCCCATCGTGAGCCCTCCTCCTAAGTCCTCAGATTGTCAGCTCCATCTACCTCTCCTCCTGTTATTCCAGCCCACTCGGTTGATCCAAGGTCATAAACACCAAGGATCTCTTTTGGTGCTGCGCGTGAGTTTGTGTGTGAGGGCACAAACATTTATCCATCTCTTTATTTTTAATCTCTCTTTCTATCTGCCTGTCTGCAATGTGCACGTTTGCATGTCAATGTCCTCGCTGCTAACAAATCTGTCTCATCCTTCAGACACCATGACCCTCAGCACGCTCTGCTTCCTGTCTCCTTCTGACTGGCTTCCTCCCTGGAGGGAGCCAAGACTCCTCACATAATGCTCTTTTCTCTGAGAAACAGGCTGATTTATGTGCCTTATCTCAGCAGCAAAACGCAGACGCTTTGCTCAAGTGTGCAAACAGGATAAACCGTGTCCACGGGTGCAAAAGACAAACATAAAACCTTCAAAGATGAGGCATGCGTCTGCAGCTTCCTCATTATAGGATCACATCTGGCTGTGTGTATGGGGAAACCACCAGGTTCAAGGATATGGTCACATGTCCTGCAGGTGAAGGAGAAAAGCAATGTCACGTCTCGTTTTGAGAGCTTCTGACCAGGCGACGGCTACAGGACCAGACAGTAAAGGGTAGAGGATCTGGATAAGCTGGAAACCTAGCAGCAGGAAACTCAGAGTCGGAAGCAGAGTCTTTCTTTCAGTGTATTTGGCGAGATATAAAGCGTACAGGGCTACACAGTCACAGGAGGCTTGGTGGACAGATGGACGAACAGCAGGAAGTGACCTTGTGGACGGGAAGAAAGAGGGTTCCTATTAGAAGGAGCAAATTTGGCTGCAGCCTCTCAGCTCCTCAGCACATTAAACTCAAACAATAAGTGACACAAATCAGTCATGACATGTGGAAATGCTAAGGTGCACTGTAAGCACCTTCAGTCCGGCTGAAAGCAGTAGCTACAAGCCTTTGTGTTCCCTGTCCTACTTTCTCTGTCCCTTTCTTTTCCCCACATTGCACTATGCTCACAGCAGTAGTCGCCACTAAAACCCAAACATGCCTTCAGCCTTTTAGGGCTTCTACTTCTCTTCCTGCTTGAATAAGCACCAGTGTGGGGAGATCTGTTCAGACTGGTGTGCTCTCCAGCTCTGACTGTGATTCCTGTTGTTGTGTAGAAAGGAAAATGTCTCAAGCCTCCATTGTCTTGATTTTTACTGGTTTTGACAGGACCATCAAAAATAAAACAAAGTTTAGATTAACATCTACCTCTGAGGCTACAGAAATTAAGAATGGTTTACCACATACATAGTTTGAAGCTTGAGATTTGCAAAATAGAGTCAGCTTATTCACAAAGGAAAAAAGAAAATAAAAAAATAATATCATCAAAAATAGCACACAGAATATAGAGATACAAATAGAGCTAAGATGGATGCCCCCACCCAAGGTCTTTGCATTTCTGATTTGTGTTTTTTTTTCTTCTTTTTTTTTGGTTTATGCAAAAATGAAAAGAAAAGGGGGGGGGAATATCTCAGCTTGAATACCTTAAACCTTAATAATATAATATCATAATCCTTACGAATTAAGCCTCTGAAAAAAAAAACTTTCAATCCATCACATTAATCTACAAGGATGCAAACATTGTCTATAGACTGCCATTATGGGGAACAGTTGGAATTCAGCGCTTTCATTCAAAAAGGCTAAAAATAAAAGTAAATTTTAAATAAGTAAATTTAAGAATAAGTTAAAGATTACAATTCAATGTCTTTCCCAGTCTTACATAGTGTAACTAATACAGGATTAATTATATTTCAAGGTATCAGTATCAACTTCAAAAATCATAGCTTTGTTCTGAGAAAACTCCAGGCAGTTTCTAAACCTACAACTTTTTAACATAAAAAAGCATTCATTTTATTTCAAGATTATGATACAGAAATTAATAACTGCATTTGTCATTAGCAAAATGATGATGAGATCTTTGGAACAGGTGAGCAATTTGGGAAAGTATATAATAAAGTCCAAAGAGGATCAAGGATTAATCCTTGAAGAATCCCATATGTTTAATTTTGTTATCATTTATACATTTACTGAGGGTATTTTTCTGAAACGTGGTTGCTTTTAAAACTAGATTGGTAAACACTGAATCAACTGCTTCAAAGACAAATGCATATTTAAATGATGGCACACAACCTTTCTGTCTGAAACTATTACATGTATTCTGTTCTTAGACAGGATATACGTTTGGAAAAATAGGTAATTCATAGTATCCTGCTGTGTGAGCAGCTATGAACAGTTTGTAGTGATTACGAATCATCAGTGTGAAGTAGCCTTTCAAGTATGAAGATATGATAACCTCTGGTGTTAGAATAAGGATAATGGTCAAACAAAGTGCCGACTGCGTATTCTTGCTCAACTTGAGCCTGATTGCATGGAGGTGGGTTTCGCAGTAGACCTAACAGCCGGATTGCAAAGATATTTGAAGCACAGCAAGGAGAAGTTATTATCTGGAGGAGGAGAAAAGAAGCAAGCGCACAGAGGATTGGAGATATATGCAGTGATTGTAAATGTAAGAAAGGCTGGCAAAAAAAATTAAACAGCTGGAGATAGAATACCTTAATTATTATTCAGTAAAGGTATAATGGAATAAAAGAGAAAAAAGATCTTCCTTCAAGTTATTATATTTAAAGTTTTATTAAAACTCAATTAGAGCAGATGCAGCATTAAAATTATTTATATTGTTAAATTATGCCTCAGTTTGATTAATCAGCTTGAACAGCCATTTAATCTTATCAGACTGTCGAAGCTGATTCAAGTTTATATAATTAAAGCCTTTAAACAAGAAATAAAAGGGGAAAAATTCTAGAACTGACTATTGAAGAGGTCCAGTGACTTTGTCATAGTGTTTTTTATCATTCTTCCTACATGGTTTGAGTCTGTGCCTTCTTAGGCTGAAGGGTCTTCATAAACCAATGCAAAGTGATGTCATCATTTTTCCACTGTGATTAGAATTTAGACACTGATGTCTGGGATGCTGCCCAATGATTACAACATCCAAATCCATTGAGCAAGCTGTGAGTAGGTTAATTAACTAAAGATGAATGTATTATTCAGTTTTGATTGAAAAAAGAGAAAGTCCACCCACTTGTATGTGTTTTTTTTGTTTTTATCAAATGCATTTAAGAATAACAAAAAGATCTGATCTGTCCCAGGCCCTAAAATGATTTAAAAATCAACTCAAAAGACCAAAAAACACGTGCGAGAATCTAAGAATACCCAACAATTTGGCCTTCTAGAAGTTTCTTTAGCAGCCATAACTTAGTGATGTCCTGTAAAACGTTAAGAAGTCTTTCATATACAGTCTTGCTTAATTAATTTAGTGAGATGAGCTTCATTGGTATTATTATTAATTGATTATTAATTGTTTTTATTACTCTCGTAGAGACACAGGTTCTCTTTAACAAGAGAGTTTTCCATATAGAAAGTTTCCATTTTGGCAGTGCATACTGGCACTGTGAAATCTTTTGCTTGTTTTGTACAAACTGAAATCTCGGAGAAAAGGTCGACTTTCTTTTTACCGTCTGTATTAGTGACACACAATCCTATATTTTTACTCCTCCTTCGCTTCATTTCAGTGCAATTTTAAGTGTGAACTTTTCCATTTGAATAAAGGTGTTGCATCTGTTTTAGGGATAAAAATTAAAGTGGCATAAATCTTCAGTGCAAGTGGGTCAAAGCACTGCAGGTGCAAAGCCCTGCAGAGACACGGTGGCTGCAAAATTAAACGTTTACATCAGTTTTTTGTTTTGTTTTTTTTATTACAGGATTCACCAACTAACAAGCTGCTGTATGCCAAGGAAATCCCTGAGTACAAGAAGAGAGTACAGTGCTACTACAAGCAGATCCAAGAAATGCCCCCTCTCAGTGAGCAGGAGATGAATGCTCACCTCGCTGAGGAGTCAAGAGTAAGTCAAATATTCAAAGGGTTCCTGCTTGTTTTATCTGTCTGGATCTTCAAAAGCCTGTTATGACACTAAAGTCTCATTTTGGAATTTGATCTGACTTGATATGGTGATGTCTGTCTTGCAGAAATACAGAAATGAGTTTAACACCCATCTGGCCTTGACAGAAATCTACAAATATGCCAAGAGATACAGAAACCAGGTGAGAGATTTGTTCCATTGTTCTCTGTTTTTGTGATCCAAGATGTGGATAAGATGTGTTTGGATGTTCATACTGGCCATTCTTCACAGCCTCAATGCTTCCACAGAGCTCACTTGTTGTATTAAGTTTCACTGATAGCTATCAGAGCTTGATGCATCAGTGCTACAGATCTCAGCTGCGATGGGAGATGTAACAGACTGTGGATTGCGTTGCAACTAGTCAATAAATAGAAGCATCTAAAAGCTGTTTTTCTTTTGTTAAAAGGGGAAACAATCAGATCTGGGCTTCCATCCAAGCAGTAGCAGCAGGAATTATTCAGTCTGCTCACTCATGTCTTCTGAGCCCACAGATACCTTTCACTTTAAGCAAACAGCGTGTTGTTTACCTTCTCATGAGCCGACACCCCCATCTGCCTAATGGCGCTGTTAAGTTGCCGCTTCATATCTCTCGTTTTGCTTTGAACTAGCCCTTTTCAGGCTCCCGCTGTCCTCCCCCATGATTCCACGCTGCTACGCCTTATTCTGCAGATAGAGGCTTAGTCAGTGGTGACTTTGCCTTCATGGAGCACCCTCACAATAATGCTGCTTAGCTCTGTCATGCTACTGTACTGACGTGGGCCAGGGGCTTAGACTGTGATTCACAGAGCTCTGTGAATGGCCCCTGATTGCCTATTCTTTTGCCCCGGCTCAGTTCACTCTGCCTGGTAGCACACTGCTGCTAAGAGCCCATAAATCCCACTGACACAGTGACAACTGTTGGGCATGAAAACCAGAGCAGATGTGGGTTTTATAAATATGTGAAGAGCAAGAGCTTTTGTGGTTATAAAGCGTGCATGACGGCAGGGAGAAGAGGCTGAAACACTTCTTTCTTTTCCCTGCTTTCCACTCACAAAAGCATTCATGCCCCTGAAGTTTTTATTTTATTTTATTTCCCCTTTATCCTAACACCCATGGATAAAATCCAGGACAGATAATTTTTTAATAGAATCAATGATTTTCTAATTATCTCTATAAATTCAGCTTTTCTGTAAAGATTTCAAAAGGAGCATTTTTCAATCCATGTTCTGGAAACGGAAAGAGTAAGACAAAACTACAAACCTACAAAGCCTAGACAAGCCATGTGAGGAGGGCAGTAATCATAGAGCCAAGATTGTGGTAACTATGGAGGAGCTACTGAGATTCACCACTCAGGTGGTTAAAAGTCCACTTCACAAATCTAGCATTTTGGTCTCCATGCAAAACATTATTTATGGAAGAAAAGGAAGATTAAATTTCACCCTAAAATATCACATGTGCAGTAGAACATGCTGTAGGAATGTTTTTTTTATTTTTATACAGGATTAGGAAAATTAGCCAGAGTGACAGAAATGTTCTTGGTGCTGGATTAATGATAATACTGGAAGAACATTTGGTAGAAGCTACATCAGAGTTGAGACTAGATTGGAAATGTACTTTTCTTTTAGGGCTGCAACTCTAAACACAAAGCCAGGTCCATCATAGAATGGTTAAGATCAAAGAGTTAGCAGCCGTTCAAAAGACACATTGTGGCTATAATAAAATTTGAAAAAGGACCAATATTTTCCAAGCACTTTATGGGGAAGGAGGTGGTAATTTTATTGCATATCTTTCTGTTTACGTAGGCAGATTTGATTGAATTCTCGACAGCTCCTGAAAGTCATTTTTGTTTTGTTTCTTCTATCTTCGCCGATCAGGTGGTGAACGCTCTGGAGGCCAACCCTACTGCACGTCGCACACAGCTGCACCACAAGTTCGAGCAGGTCATTGCTCTTGTGGAGGACAACATCTACGAGTGCTGCAGTGAAGCTTAAAGCTGTCAATCTCCTCTGCTCCCCACCACTCTTCTTCTGCCAGCTGCCCTCCTCCAAACTACACGGTTTCCAGAGAACGCCACTGAGGAGGAACTGCTCATGTATCTCTCTCCAACTGACTGTTGCAAGAGTGAAAACGGATTTTAATGCTGCCTCTCAAGCGTCATACGCTCACAATGCGTTTCCTAATCTTTTCCCACAACGCAACACAGAATTCCAGCCTAGTTCTGATTTACCTTAGAAGGAATTTGCAGGAGTTCAAAGCGGCAATTTCTGCACAATTAGCCCTGGTGGCCACCTTTAACGCACTGAGCCCTTTTTTTGAAGGGAAGGAGCCTAAGATGCACTGTACTGTAATATAATGTCTATAGCAATATTTATAGATGTGTTATAATGCTTTCAAGTGGCCTGTCCATCAGGATTAGCAGTGCCACAATGGACTCCTCCCATCTCCTAAAGCCTGCAACGATCTCAGGTCTGGCTGAAGATGGGCAACAGACTCCCATTGGTGCTTTGAACATTACGTCCCAATGTGCTCTGCAGGCTGATGACAGGTTGACAAGGAGCAGAGGGAAGGCCATAAAAGACTGCCAACAACTAATTCAGATGTTTTAATGTAGCTCACTGGGAAGAGCTGCATCAGTATAATCAGTGTGCTTGTGAATGGATGTAAGAATCTGATCGATTTAAAGAGGGATATTTACATTTAAAGGACAAAAATGTGTGAGCTCAATATAATCTGAGGAGAGACTGTAATCGTGATGCCAAATTATTTGTTTGTGAAATAAATTGCAGGAAATTAAGTATTTTAACAGAGTCTAATAATGCGATTTATTATAGCAGCTGGTGAAGAGCAACTCTCTTAAATGCATTACAGGATTTTAACAACATTTGACAGCCATTACAATCTGGCCTTTTACTCTGCCGCCCACAAATTAGCATCTGGAAGTTCTCAGGAAACACTGTGCATGTTGTCATGATAAAAAGAAAAAAAAAAGTGCAGGAAAAGGTGGTGCGGACATTCAGCTTTGTTTTTATTGCAACACACAAATCCTAACCTTTACACAACAAATAACATATCTCTTTATTAGGGGGGCCACATGCCGAAGGCATGGCCCACCTATTACTATTGCACATATTTATTCCGCGTATTATTATAGTTCTCCTCGTCCCCTAAAACTTCGGCGCGTAACTAGTCCCGCACGGTTTGTCGGATCGGGCCCAGAGTTGGCACACGCGTCGGGACCAATGGTGCGATGCGTGCTTGTATAAAACTTTCTCATTAGTCCGAAGGTTCGCGAATTATTAGCGAAAACGTCGCAAAAAAATCCCATAGGAAATGAATGGGGAGAGGTAAAAAAAAGCATAAAAAACAGCGCTTCACTGTGTCGGCATACATTCACTTAGAAAAACAGTTTAAAGCTCAGTTTGTAGATAAATCCTTCCTCTGCATAAAACTGAAGACGGCATGTTGATAACTGCTACGGTTTTTGTATAATCAGACCTCAAGCGCCACAAAGTTTTAGCAAAATCCACCCTTCTAGAGTGGAGAGACTGAAAAGCTAGAGTGTGAGGCAGCCGTTTTTTTAAGACCCAAAAACATTTTAAACTCGCCCTCACGGCCACATATTTATAGCTAGGGTCACCATTTTTGGTCAGTTTGTAGACTGAAACCTCTGGACCCACACAATGTCTTCGGAATTACGGTAGGATTAATACTTTTCCTTAAAAACCCTCCAGACCGACCTAAAGTTGATCAAAATCAGAGCCGTTTTTCATTGGTTTTGGAGCAGAAGAGGGGAGAAAAACGATTGACAGTATGTGTTTTAAACTCGTCATAAATATTGTTCTGAAAGACACACATACACCAAAGTTGGCATAGTTGGAGTTGAAGGATTGCTGACGCTCACGGTGAAGAAATTTTCTGAATAACTCATACGGTTTTTGCTCAGCAGTCGTTTGTTCGGAGGACATTTTAAGCACCAGAAAGCTGGGTGACTGACCTGCTGCAGCTAGCTCAATTAGAAGCTCAGCTGTGATGAAACGTTTTTTCTTTTTCTTTCTCTTCCCATTCAGGTTGTAGATGACCTACAGCCATGAAAGTTACTCCAATTGAAGACAAGATATAGCTGTCGCTTAGATAAAAAGAATTTTTCAGATATCATTTATGGTTTTTACTCAGCAGTCGTTTGTTCGGAGGGGTGCTTTAGCAGCTTAAAGGTGAGTGAGAGTGAGGTCCTGCAGTTAAAACAAAGGGAGGAGCAGGTGGGATCAGCCATTTTGTTTGTGCTTCGTTTTGGGTTGTGAAAGACCTACAGACATGAAAGTTACCCCAGTCTGAGACAAAGGATAGATGTTGCTTTCACTGAAAGAATTTTTCAGATACCTTTTATGGTTTTTGCTCAGCAGTCGTTTGTTTGGAGGGTAAGCACCTGGAAGCTAGCTGACAGTTAGCTTCTGCAGCAGCCTGCTACAGTGCAGCTGCTGAACTCTTAGTGTGAGGCAGCCATTTTTTTTAAGATAAAACATTTTGTTCTTGCCTCACGGCCACATATTTGGAGCTACAGTCACCATTTTTGGTCAGTTTGTAGGCTGAAACCTCTGGACTCACACAATGTCTTCGGAATTACGGTAGGATTAATACTTTTCCTTAAAAACCCTCCAGACCGACCTAAAGTCGATCAAAATCAGAGCCGTTTTTCATTGGTTTTGGAGCAGCAGTGGGGAGAAAAACGAATGACATTATGTGTTTTCAACTCGTCATAAATATTTTTCTGAATGACACACATACACCAAAGTTGGCATAGTTGGAGTCGAAGGATTGCTGATGCTCACGGTGAAGAAATCTTTTGAATAACTCATACGGTTTTTGCTCAGCAGTCGTTTGTTCGGAGCTGTTCCTCCCATTCAAAAAAGCCTGAGAGCTAAGGAACGATAGTGCTGCGCTTTTCTCTCTGTCACTGACAGGCTCGTTAAGCGTTGTCAAGGTAACCGTGCTTCAAACAGATTTTACCTCTGCTGTTTTAAACAGCACATATTAATCTAATGGAGGGTGAAAGCACTGATTTAACATTGGGAAATGGATACTATATGACTGCTGTCCATGACACTTCCCTTGCCACTCAACACTGATAGACTTTCAAAATAAGACTCCAGGGACCCTACAAAATAAAAGCCTCTATATTTTTTACATATATTTATTGCCCTATATGGCTCAACATTATGACCCAAACTCAACCCCATTTTAGAGAATAGACTCTAGGAGACTGTTTAAAACACACCCTATGGCAAATTTCAAAATAAAAGCCTCCCATTTCATCTTCATCTACTGCCCTAATAACATGGAAAAAAGAGTGATTTAACGATTGGAAAGTCATCAACTATCATTGCTGGGTCTGAACATTTTCTCTAAACACAACTCTGTTGGACTTTCAAAATAAGACTCCAGGGACCCTACAAAATAAAAGCCTCTAGATTATACTAATGCAATAATTGATGCAAATGGCTCAACATTATGACCCAAACTCTTTCAGGTTGTTTTTATTAGACTCTAGTGACCTTTTCAAAAACACACCCCAGAGCAAATTTCACAATAAAAGTCTCCCATTTACTCTGTAATACAGCAGCTATTCACCTAATAACATGGAAAACCAGTGATTTAACATTTGGAAATGGATTCTATATCACTGCTGGGCATGACCCATCTTTTGATGCACATCCATGATAGACTTTCAAAATAAGACTACAGGGACTCTACAGAATAAAAGCCTCTTCCTTATACACACTCATACATTCTGGCATATTGCTCATAGCCATTTTTAATTTCATCACTGCAATGGCTCTGAGCATGCGGGCGGAGCCCGCCATTGGTGATTTCATCACTGCAATGGCTCTTAGAAGGCGGGCGAAGCCCGCCAATTGCGCATTACCCACTGCGGTTCAATATGGACAACCCATATTACCCTTGTGCATCATATGCTGTGCACGTCTATTTCCCAGATTTCAGCTCAAGTGGCACACAGCTCTCTTTGCCCATGACCTAGCCCTCTTTCCTTCCCTCAGCAGCCCTCAAAGGCGTAAGCAGTTGGTCTGGGGAGCCCCAATGTCACTTGCCAGGGCCGTATTGGCCCAGTTACCCAGACGGGCAGTAGGTGGCCCCCCTCAAAATTTCTTTAGAAATTTTCTAGTTACATGTACTCTTAACATTTTGGCATTCATTCAGATACATAAACATCTGCAAAACACACACACATACACACAGACTCTATCATTCACTTCCACGGATGGCTGAGACAAAGAACGAGTCAACTCTCCCAGATTTATCATCATATACACCAGAGGAGAGAATAATCTGATGTACTAAAAAAAACATTAAACAAACGAATATCTAAATAAATCTAAAGACTTCAAAACTGGTTATTTATAGTGCGTACTTTGGGGATATATACTGAGGCAGTCAGAAATTCATGTGCACACATTATTGGCATGGATGCAATGTTTGTTCAGGGTGATAAGGCAATGAGTCTTAAGAGTGGAGAGCTCAGCATTTATTCTGGATTTTATTTTTCTCATCCAGACACAGTAAAGAAAAAGAACATTCAGACTTAAATTTAGATAAGAAAAGAAAGGAAAGAAAAGCAAGCAAGAAAGAAAAAATGTCTGTTAACATGGATGCAGAAAAAGGCAACATCTCTAAGCTTGACTGAGATGTGTAGACGTAGAATTTGTTTACAGATTTGAGATTGATTTTTTTGACGTAAGTAACAGGAAAAATATTTGGAGTGATGCTCTTCAACCTGAAACATTTTAGTTATGGGTAAGCATGGTGGTGTTAGCGTCATGCTGAGTGTCTGCTGTTGCATTGCATCAAATCATATGAAGCCAAACACACATCAAACTGGCTTTGAAATGTAAAGGACAACTAAAGAGCTAAGCTATTGGCCAAGACCACGGCCCAGTTAAAAAAATAATTGGAAGAAAATGAGGAGTGTATGTAGGAAACCAACCACTTTAACATTTCTGACTGAAAAAATGGTGAAACATGCAGCTAAGATTAAGTCAGAAACTTGTAAATGGCTAATGAAAAAATTACCATTTGTGGCCATTGTTGGGGGGGCAGCAGGGGAGCTTGGAATGTGTTCAGTCGAGATGGCAACCCTATAATGCCGGGTTAAAAATCAGCCAGGGCCGCTGAACGCTTTTCATAATTAAACAAGCTTAAAGTGCACATGCTGGCCTTTGATCCAGTCTGTCCCGCTGAACTTGCAGCCTAAGAGCCAACTGCAGCGAGGAAGAGTGAGGAGGTGAGTCCGGAGGAACCGGCCAATGGAACGTATCGCTGCTCGGTGGTGATAGGTCCCATGGTGAGCAGCAACAGATGGAGCAGATAGAAGAGGAAGTGAGGGGTCAAGCGGGGGCCACCTGGCTGGAGGAGACGGATGAAGTCTGGGTTTTGGAGACTGCGGCGGCTGCCTCATCGTCACCAAATGGGTTCTTTCCACAGCACACGGTGGTGATCATGCAGTTTCTGAACTGGAGGCAGCAGAATCAACCAAATCATTTTTTTCACCTCAGCACATTAGGTGTGTTAAATAAAACAAGACTCCAACATGTATACATTTTCACCGATGCCCAACATTAGACCTTGTTTAGGGTATTCAAATGAGTGTATTTGATCAGGATTAGATTCTTGATCATTTACAAGATAAACATGACAAATTTTGAAGGATTTCTCTTCTGCAAACATTTCAATCTTTTTTGTACTGCTTTCTAATTCTGCTTACACTGTTATCTGAATATAGCAGAGGCTTAAGAAACAAATATGGAGAGCAGCCAACAACTTATGGGTGGAAAAACTGTAAAGTTGTTCCCTATTACAGGGGATCTGAGAGTGGTACCAGCATGTTTTACAGTTCTATTATTCATGTTCAAGGTTTCTTTAGTGCCAAACACAAATCTTGGCCCAAACCTTGGTCTCATCAGCTCATACAACATATTCTAACGTGTCTTTAGGATATTTTATCTCTGGATGGATGATTTCTTTACGGGGGGAAATGGTCTTGCAATTCTACTTAGACCAGAAATGTGGAATATACAAAAGATTGTTTTCACATTTAGAACACAATCAGTGCTTGGAAGACGTCCCTGCAGCTCCTCCAGCTTCCTGGCAGCCTCATTTGCCAGTTTATGTCACATATTTTAAATGGTCTTAGAAAAATGTCTAGTTTTGTAAAGTTGATACATTTATTTCCAAATGTATGCTTGCCTGCCTTCACTGCAGAAACTCTAAGTATATAATGACTCAGATAATTTATGCTCCTGACCAGGCTGAGAACTTTTTATGATGAGATCATTTTGCTTCTTTACAACCTCTTTGAAACTCTGGTTTCAGCTAAAGTTTGTGAATGTCAGGAAATGTAAAAAGGAAAAAAGAAAATCCAACAAAATTGCCAAACTTTATTACTATTCTAGTATTGTCATACACTATATTGCCAAAAGTATTTGCTCACCTGCCTTGACTCACATATGAGCTTAAGTGACATCCCGTTCCTAATCCATAGGGTTCAATATGACGTCGGTCCACCCTTTGCAGCTAGAACAGCTTCAACTCTTCTGGGAAGGCTGTCCACAAGGTTTAGGAGTGTGTTTATGGGAATTTTTGACCATTCTTCCAGAAGCGCATTTGTGAGGTCGCACACTGATGTTGGACGAGAAGGCCTGGCTCTCAGTCTCCGCTCTAATTCATCCCAAAGGTGTTCTATCGGGTTGAGGTCAGGACTCTGTGCAGGCCAGTCAAGTTCATCCACACCAGACTCTGTCATCCATGTCTTTATGGACCTTGCTTTGTGCACTGGTGCACAGTCATGTTGGAAGAGGAAGGGGCCAGCTCCAAACTGTTCCCACAAAGTTGGGAGCATGGAATTGTCCAAAATGTCTTGGTATGCTGAAGCATTCAGAGTTCCTTTCACTGGAACTAAGGGGCCAAGCCCAGCTCCTGAAAAACAACCCCACACCATAATCCCCCCTCCACCAAACTTTACACTTGGCACAATGCAGTCAGACAAGTACCGTTCTCCTGGCAACCGCCAAACCCAGACCCGTCCATCAGATTGCCAGATGGAGAAGCGCGATTCGTCACTCCAGAGAACGCGTCTCCACTGCTCTAGAGTCCAGTGGCGGCGTGCTTTACACCACCGCATCCGACGCTTTGCATTGCACTTGGTGATGTATGGCTTGGATGCAGCTGCTCGACCATGGAAACCCATTCCATGAAGCTCTCTGCGCACTGTTCTTGAGCTAATCTGAAGGCCACATGAAGTTTGGAGGTCTGTAGTGATTGACTCAGCAGAAAGTTGGCGACCTCTTCGCACTATGCGCTTCAGCATCCGCTGACCCCGCTCCGTCAGTTTACGTGGCCTACCACTTCGTGGCTGAGTTGCTGTCGTTCCCAAACACTTCCATTTTCTTATAATACAGCTGACAGTTGACTGTGGAATATTTAGGAGCGAGGAAATTTCACGACTGGATTTGTTGCACAGGTGGCATCCTATCACAGTTCCACGCTGGAATTCACTGAGCTCCTGAGAGCGACCCATTCTTTCACAAATGTTTGTAAAAACAGTCTGCATGCCTAGGTGCTTGAATTTATACACCTGTGGCCATGGAAGTGATTGGAACACCTGATTCCAATAATTTGGATGGGTGAGCAAATACTTTTGGCAATATAGTGTAAGTTAGAGGTCTGAACTCAGGGGACTGAATACATTTTCTTCTTGCACTTTACTATACAGCTAAAAGCTACACATTTATGTAAAATATTTCATTAAAAAGGTGGAATCTAACATGTTGGCTATAAAGTAAAAAGATCTATTCGCGAAGAACAAATATAAATGGTGTCTGTTCTCTTAACTTTCTGTAGGGGAGTTTGCTTCATTAAAAACATATATTAGACACAATTATTTTCTAGACATACCTGTTTGTTTAGCAGAATGTAGATGACTGGATTATACAGAGCAGCACTTTTGGCAAAAAAGGCTGGCGCTGTCATGAATACTGGTCCAAACTCAATTCCCTGGTTGGCAAAGATGTACCAAGCCACAGTGGCGTAGGGCACCCAGCACACCAGGAAGGAGATCACCATCACTATGACCATGCGTGTCACCTCCTTCTCTGCTCTTTGGGTGGTCTCTGACTCCTGCTGCTGAGCTGCAGCCTAAACACAAACGCACAAAACTTAAATCGGCATTTTAAAATGTGCGAAAAGAAGCCATTTCATCTAATATTTTTAACAACTAAAAATAAAACCGAGAAAAAACATAATTGTTAATTTGATGCGTTTCCAGGTTCAAGTTAGATTTTTACATGTGTTCCTTATGCAAATGAATGTGAAAATTATGTTTGGAAAACCAGTTAGTTTCCACGATGAAGAGATGTAGCAAATTACATGCTCTGATACCCCGTACCTTCACACTTAACTTAAATGTACAGCTATGCATGGGTGCAAATATGTACGTAGAAAAGATCTACAGGATGGACAAGGTCAATGTCACAATGTCAAGACAAATGTTTGAAGGAATCAAAATGAGGCTTTCAAAGCCTAGAACATTGTTCCCACTGTTAAACATGGCAGTGACAGCATGATGCTGAGGATATTATCATCTGGTTTTTACCATAAAGAAGGGAAAATAAATGAGGACCTTAAGATTTTGTATAAACCTGAGCTGAAATTAACAGCTTGATGATCCAACAGAGAATGACCCTAAAGACATTTAAAAAGGCAAATGCTAAGATACCAACATAATCACAACTTCAATGCGTTCATAAATGTATGAACTGAACTTAGGTCATCTCTGTGGCAAGACACCAAATTATTTAATTAAAATGCTAATATACCAAAAACAGATACACTTAATACCAGAAATGGTATTTCTGCCTCCTTTAACAGTACAATGGGTACCGCTGTAAATTATTTGACAATGGCAGCAATAACATCAAATATTCAAATATGTTATAAACTTTCAATATGACAACATAAGACAAAGAAATTCCTGTCAGTTTGTGCTTTTGAGCTTGTCTCAATTGATACAAACCATAATCGATAATTTCTTAGATTCAAGAACAAGCTGTATTGTTTGTTTCTATTCTTTCCCAGAAAATAAATATTAACACCCCTTTACCGTGTAAGGATGCTGAATACTGATGACATTAAACATACGTAATACTAAATGCAAAGGCTCTGATCTATTAAGATTCCAAGAATCTGAGCTAAATTTCTTGTGTAAACAAAACATTGTACGTCTAGATAGTGTAGGTAATCTAATAAATTTGCATACGTGATTGATAGCAAGCCCTATTTAAATCAGGATTTAGCATTTGTTAGTTGCTACTATGGAGACTTTGGGAGCACCGGGGGGAGTTAGTGTGTGTGTCCCAAAAAAAGCCACAATATACAACAGCATTGTGCACAGATAGAACTCATGTAACCTACCTAGAGAGGATGCAGGTGGAGGAGAGAAAAAGGACCTTCTCTGTTTATGTGAGATGAAAAAAAACAGCACCTACTGACTATAAGCCAGGGGTTGCAAATCGAAATCCTAAAAATCTCATAGCGCTGGTGTCCTGTAGCTGTGTCCCTTGCCCTACACACCTAGTCAAAATTGCTAAGCTAACTCGTAAGAGTTCTGTTAATGAGCTCATATTGAAGTCATATCTGTTTAAGCAGAGATGCATCTGAAAGGTCCGGGAAATCATCCCTTATGGACTGAATTTTGAAACCTGTGCTGTAAGTATTCTGAGGCAAAAATTAGGCAAATATAATTGCAGATAATGACACTTAATGAAAAAATGAACAATTTATCAAAATTACATGGAAAATATTTGCAAAACCAAAATATTATTGTCATATTTTAATTTGTTTCACAACTGAACAACTGCTAGAGGATTAAGCTGTTTGTAAAATCAGTTTATCTTCAAAAGCAACAACAGAGACAGTATGTAGCTGTTGCCTCAATAGAATAATAGTTTCAAACTACTAATGCCTCATGAACAGAAGGTGAGTTCTGGGTATTAAATTAGAAAATTTTCTAATTTAAAATGCCTACATATGGGGTTGGTTCCAAAGGAAGGATAGCATAGGGCATTCAAGCCTTTTGTAAGAAGAATTGCAAACCCAACTACAGTAAGTACATTGACGGAGCTTTTTGGAGATTATGCACATTTACAGCATACCACTGGTTATGAAAAAAGCTTTTACCTTGAATGATTCCAAATGAATAATTAAAATTTTACTGATATTATGAAGGGCATGACGATCACACAGTCTGGAAGCTGAATGCCCTTTAGCATGAGAACCTCACTACAAGCTGCCACGTTGGCAATCATCTGCCCTCCTGAAGTGTCCTTGAGCCTCTAAATCCCCTTACATCCCCTGAGACTCCATGATGCTCTGCCCTCCTTCAGATGGAGGAAAAAAATCTAACCTGATAATCTATCATATCTTAAAAAAAACAAAACAAAGAAAAAACAGCATGGATGGTGATATTCTTACCGCTCGCACAGTGCAGAGCAGGCGACTGTAGCAGAAGAAAATGATGAAGAGGGGGATGCAGAAGTGGAGGACGAACATATAGATGACGAATGAGGTGTTGTTGATCTCGGGCTTCGGCGTGTAGTAGTCAATCCCACAGGAACACTGCATGCCCTCTGGGATGTACCTGCATCCACGCACACCAACAGAGCATGCAATTATAAGATGACGCAAACATGCATTAATGTAACAAACTACAACAATAAAAGGTGAATATTTCTGCAGGAAAGGCAGACAGTACCGCGACCATCCAAACAGAGGTGGAGCAGCACAGGTCAGAGCCATGACCCAGGAGAACCCCAGTCCAGCAATGGCGTGTTTCTCCTCAAAGCGAAAGTTTGTCATTGGCTTACAGACCACGACATAGCGCTCAACTGCCAAAACTACCAGAGACCAGAGGCCAATCTCCCCTAAGATATTAAATAAGACAATAAGATATGGGTCAGAAATGTTTTACACAGCATTAGTTTTTTTAGGATAGTTTCTCACCTCCTAAGGTGGCAAAGAATCCCTCAATGTTGCAGCCACTGACACCGAGGATGAAGTATCCGTGCAGAGCCGTGTACAGGGTCACCGTGAATCCTCCAATTATCATCAAGAGGTCGGCCACCGCCAGGTTGAGCAGGACGTAGTTCAGCGGGGTTCTCAGCTTTTTGTGCTTGACAGTGACATGAAGGGTGAGGAAGTTAATTGGGAAGGCAGTGATGATGAGGAACAGCATGTATGCAGCCAGAAGAGAGTACTTCCACGGCTCGGCTAGGTAGTACTGAGGGTGCTCAAATGGGCTGCGCACCAACCCAGTCTTATTAGACATGGGTACATAAAAGTTGGGTCCTTCTGTGCCATTCATGGCTGTGTCTGTTGATGATGTCTTTTCTTCTCTCAGAGACCTGGGCAAAAGAGCCTGTGCCTCTCAGAGCAAAGCACAGCTGGGATGTCTTTTGGTGCAGTGGAGGTGGAAATTAGGAGGAAAAATACAGATGGACGCCTGTATCCTGAGGAAATAAGATGTTGTCTGGAGCCCCCCGAGGAGGTGCAGCACCTTTTAATAGTCTGGCTGGATTAGGGACGAGGGATGGAGTGAGGTGTTAGCAGAGATGGAATTAAGACACACTCTCAGAATCCTTGCACACATTAACAAACACACACAGATACACAAGGCATCACAGGGGAACGCTCTGAAAAATACACAGCTCATAAAAGATGTGAAGCATTTTCTCAGTGAGAAGTAAGAACCACGGTTAAATAAACCCATTAATTACTGTCATGTGCATCAGCGCTGCATGAGAATTAGCTGAGAGGACCGAGTGGGAGGGGAGGCGGAGGAACGGTTTGTGATTTCAGCCGTTCAGAGTGGACGGACTACAAATGAAATTTCTGCAGCAAACCAACTTATTTGCATCAGTAAAAAGCTTAAAGCTTTAACCACTGTGAGGCAGAGAGCTCCACTTCGAGAGCTGAGTGTAATCACAATCAGTGGGTTGTATTGCTCATAACAGCTCTTAAACATTTCCCTTTATCACATTTTACAAAATCACTTATTTTTCCCCGTAAAAAGGACAGCAGTCATGTGAAAGAAAGCACTTTATTAGAGTTTATAAAAAACTTGGAAAATGCACAAATATTTAAAGTTTTGTTTAAAGGGACGTTGAATGGCTAACCATGAAACCCTACCAACGGGGCGGTTAGCTGCTATGCATTATGGGCCTTGTAGTTTTGCTACATCAGCCAAAGACTTGGGTAAAAGGATACATGGAAAAAGCAAATTCATGAAAACAAATGTACAAAATTCAGACAAAGCTACAATAACTGAAATCCTGCAGTTGTTAAGGACATATTTAAGTCCCCAAAAGTAGATAATTTAAACAAAGGACCTTTTAAGACCCAGCAGATAGAAGTTGTATAAAAAGAACTACGACAATGAGGGAAATTCACTGAATCGGCTCTGTTGGAGGGTCGATCCATTGTGCCCGTCAATTGGCCGCCGACAGTAAGGGCAGCGGGTGTGCTGCAGCACCAGGAGCTCATAGTCTTCACTGTGAAACATCTGAAAGAAAATACAGCAGAAAAAAAATGAGAAAACAGGCAAAATAAAAAGGAAACAGTTAAGGTTGCATTAAAATAAAATCTGTCAAAATTCTGAAAAATTAAAGAGGTGGGGGGGAATCTTTGGTTGCTGTTCTGGTCCAGACTAAAAAAACCACATCATTTTCACCACATTAAACAATGGATTGCACTTTGATTCACTTTTTGTAGCAAAGTAAAACAAATCAGGTAAAGGTTAGAGATCTGGTTTAATGCATAAATAGGAAAACTCTTGTAATTTTTCAATCTTCTGTTGGTTTCAGAACCGCCACCCCTTCAAGAATCTATAGAACTTTTTTTTTTCTTGGATGCATTACAGTCCTAAGAATAAAAACAACTACAATCACTCAAAGTCAGGGTTAATCGAACTCCAAATCTGTAGGTCAGAATTCATGAATGAATGCTCCATCAGGTTAAAAAACGTTTTAGTGAAATTTGCTGCACTGGGTATGTAAATCCAGTACCTTGAAGCAGCTGGGGCACATGGTGATGCTCACATCCGGCAGCAGGGAACGGAAGTATTCCCATTTGAGGGGCTTGGGCCAGCGTTTGATCAGGACGTCCCTTCTGCTCATGGAGCGCAGCGCCGAGCGGCTCACCTTGACGGGGACAAAGGTGGAGCCCCCTTGCTGTTTGGACACACAGGTGAACACAAACACATCCTCTTACCGACTCTGTCTTTTCATCGTCTCCAGCTGGCTCACCCAGCTGGCAGAATATTAATCACCTCATCTATTTTGTCCTTTCTTTCCTTACCTCAAAGCTCATTGTGGCTGTAAATGGATCCTCCTCTGTATAATCCAAACCGTCATCTATTCTCATAGACTGCATGACTGTTTGGCATCAATTAAGAGAGAATAACCTTTTCATTTTTACAAATGCTCTTTGCAGAGACACTCCTGATAAATTGGCATCTAAGGGGAAAGTTCTGAGAGACAATGTGTTTAAGTTGTGTCTGTCATTCACTTGATGGCCTTGGCGGAACACAACACACCTCTGTGCCCTTGAGAGTCGGCTGGCTAATGCAGGTTAATCCCTGGAGCAGGGCTGTGGCTATGGCTCTTCGAGAGTTAGTGTCATTAAGATGAGACAGGAGAGCCTCACTAACCCTATTAGTGCAAGGCCTAAGATGACTTAGTTCTGACAGCTTACCCACAAGCACAAAATCAAGGCCAGTGCAGACTAAACAGCTTTTAAGGACTGTCACAAGACAGAGGAGAGCCCCCTGCTTCAATTATAGGAGGTGTGCTGTTTGTAAGGCCAGCAGCTTAGTGAGCACTTAATAATTCATATACATCAAGAGAACAATCTGTCGCTTTGTGTGCAGATATGATAATGAGCCAGAGATCAAAGGATACCACCTCTGTCTGTGGTGTGGCCTTGTGCATGGCCCTCATCTGTGTGAGGAACTTCCAGGTCTATGAGGGACAGCGCCTCCTCGTCCCTGATACCCTCCTCCAGGTAAAACTGCACCAGAGGCAGCACCTCTGTGGCAAACAATACATAAATAAGTACTAAAAAAAATAAGGAAGAAAAAATTGTTGGTTGTATCATGTCTGAGTTACTGACCATATGATGAAGCGGAGTAGATGAAGGGCTGCCTGCAGTTGATGCACACGCTGCTCTGAAGAAGGGGGTTGTTTGTGGAGCACCGATAGCACATCATGTCCTCAATCAGCTCCTGCAGGAAACAGAAAATTTGACCGACGGGAAACAGGAGAGAGAGGGCCTTGGATGTTTCAGAAACAGGGCAGCATGAACCGCAGTCTTTAACCCACCTTACTGTCTTGGAAGGGCTTGAAGTGAATGGTGAGGCTGCCCAGCTCTACGGACTCCCTGAAACGTGAAGGAAGGTGCAGCTCCTGGAGCTTCTCGTATGCATACCGGGCCAACTTATACGCTCCCAGTTTGCGACTCTGCTTGGCCAGTGCAAACAAGGTGTTGCTAAGGGTCAGGTTAAGGTAACTGCACTATGACATGAGGAGATACATAGACCAGATTCTGCAGACTATGACTGATCACCAATTTTTTGAGGATGTCACAAGCTGAAAACATTTCTATCTATTAGTTTAAAGGGGAAATAAAAAATATATACTCTTTATAAACATTATGAAATGTGGATCATTATTGTTGCCATGCAGTACACTTAAGAAGCTTTTTTATTGTTATCTATCTATATAAGAACCAGAGGGAATGTCACACCATGTGTCAAAGAGAGACAGCTCTCTTATTCTCCAAAGATCTACAACTGAATTCAATTTCCATATTAGAATAATAATAAAAACTGATTAAAATGAATCTTTAAAAACCCTTATATCACACCATGTCTGAGAATTATATCCAATTCTTGTTTTTAAAATCAAATTACTATAATAAATGAAGTTATTGATGATGTCCTAACTTGTTGAAATGTAGGTGACTGGGAAAACATCAGATTCTAATTTCCTGAACTCCAAAGTGTAAAAATCAGCTTATTCTGGTGGCAGGCCTATTTCTCTGTGCATCTTTTATAACATTTATTCGACGAGTTTTGTTTAATAGCAGCACTGTTACATATTAGTAATTATAGAAAAACAGATTGTGGAGAGCAGCTCTGTTAGTGGAAAGCACAGGTCAAGGAGCTGCAGCTGCAACGGCTCCATATCGGTATTTTCTGTCTCTTATAAAGCCAATCCTCTCCTCTCCAGCTCCTCCTACTCACCCAGTTCTGCTACTCCTGATAAACGCACCTCCTTCTATTGTGTAACCCTGTTTAGCTCAGAGGGGGCTATTTGCAGCATAGTGTCTCTAACAGTTTGCACAACGTCCAACACCTTCCCACAAAGTTCATAAATCTCACTTCAAAGTTTTTTCTGTTAGGCCACAGAGGATCCCAACTGCTGCAGCGGATTTCCTCTTTTCAAGGCCTCCCCTTCCTTCCTCATACCAGCTTCTGTAGGGTTTGCTTTGTCTGCTTCTTACTGCGGTGGATGGCGTTTGTTAGAATTAAAACATATTGTTCACTGAAGAAAAGTTGTGCACAAAGTTCAGTAATCAAAGCGCTTGTTTAGCAAACCAAAAATGTGCCTTTTGCTGCCATCGTCTCCTCCCCATCATCATCGCTTTTCTTCCCCTCAGCAGTGGGGCGGTCTCCGCTGTGGCGCCAACGCTTCAGTTGTTTCCCTACTCCTATCTATTTTCCTCTGCTCCTGCTGCCAGTCTTGATTTTGGGGTGGTTTGTTGTAAAGTAACGTCCACCAAACTGTAACATTTTGGTGCGTTTTCATTGTGGGGAAAAATGGATACACTTTAGAAATTCCTGGCGGTACGTCCTTGGTGAGGTTGTTCAATAGGAACCTGCATATGTTGAAGAGCGTCTCTGGCATGTGGGAACTGAATGGTTCATCCTAAAGATTAAAAAAAGAATCCAAAATGAGACATGGCTGTGGTATGGATTATACAAAATAGCCTAAATATCTGATAACAATTCTAAAAGCTCCATTTCTTTTACTCCCACTCTTATTTCTATAATCTTTCAACCTGCTCTAAAGCAGCCTAACCCGTTGCTGCGTCTTATCCATCCTCAGAGTGCTCTGAAAAGCAATGACGAATTTTCTAAAGCCGTCACTAAAAGCATTTCATCCCCAGAGTTGAGAGTTTAAATCTATTGCGCCTGTCTGGGAGAGTTAAAGTGATAAATCGAGGTTTTCCTGCTCTGGTCTGGATCACAGACAGATGCCTCTGTTGTTGCGAGGGTGTGACCGAGCCTGAGAGACAGACAGAAAGAGCTGAAACAACAAACTGAGCCCACTGATAAAGGCCAGATCTCACACACAGAGCTCATAAGCAGGACTTGTGTAGTCTTGAGGCCAGTAAGACCAGAAGGGTAGGAGAGGACCACTGATGAGGTCGTCATGTGGTTCTATAAAGGAGCTTGTTACCCTGGCGATTTGGGTCAGGGGGGTTTAGGAGCTTAATAATGGGTGGGCCATTCTGCTTTAGTGAACTATAACCTTAACTTAATGCCTTCTATTCTCTCTTTTGTTCACTTCACCTGACACACTCTGAGCTTATCTTAATTTCCATTTAAAGCTAAATCATTCAGTGGATTGACATAATCCTTCAAAGCCAGATTCACTCTATGTGTATGAAATCACAGGTCACATATATGGACCGAAAATAGACCTCTATCCGCATAGTAGGGGCTATTTCTGGGGCTAAGCAGTTTAAATCTTACAGCTGCTCACCTGAGCTAAACATCTTTTTCTTTGTGTCTTTGAGTAAAGCAGAATTATAACCTATGAAGAATCAGAGCCTCACCGTGTAGAGCTGAATGGAGCGGTAGACATAATATAGCTCAGCAAGATGCTGAAAAGACTCAAACTTCTGCAGCATTTCCTTCCTCTGATCTTCCTTTTCTGGTTTGGATAAACAGAATCACAAGTAGGTGCAAAAAATAAGGGAGCTCTGTTTCCTTTGGACATCAGTGATGATTTTCCTCACCTCTGGCGATGTCCAAACACTGCATGGACAGCTTCCAGTAATAGTAGGCTGCATCATTGAACCTGTTCTCCACCATTGCATTGTGGGTAAGCTGCTTGAGGACTTTTACAGCTTCGTTATGAAGCCCAGCCTTGTTAAATGCTGACAAGTAGAAAAAAGAACAACAGTCAGTGGATCCTGTAAGTTTTCAAAGGGCTTTGCAGTTAAGCAGTACTTTAAACAGGGCATTTCAGGACACATACTTGGTTCCTAGCAGCCAACTTCCATGCAACTATTTCTCACATAAGCAATAGTGGGGACATTTAACTTCCCTCAGCTTTATCTTTAGGAGGATGTTTGCCTTGTTTTTGGTGATCTGTAGTTTATCTCTCTTCCAGTGACATTACAGCCACATTACATGCGATTAACCAACATAAAGCATTGCATAAGAGATTGAATAAAAATAAACACCAAAAACACATTGTTGCTGTTTTATTTACATAAAATTAATGAAGACAGCCCATAACTTGTTGAATTAGTATTAAACCCCACCCTTCAATACTTTGTAGAGCCACATTTCTATTCAATCAAAGCTGATGAGTTTTTAAGGGAGCATCCCTACCAGCTCAAAATGTTTTTATTTTCTTTGTAAAATATATCAGTTACACCAGACAGCATCTATGGGTTGGAATTCTGTCAAAGTACATTACAAGGATAGATGACCAAAGGCTTTTTCTAACAGCAGAGAAGGTGCGGCCCCTTTAACAATTCCTACAAATTCTCAATTGGATATAGATCTGGGCTTTGACTAGGCGATTCTAACAGAGATTTTTTTTTTCCCGCTGGAGTGTGCTTCTCCATCTGTTTTTATTTTCATTTTTTTTCAGCTTTTAATAGTTTGGTTTTAGAAGGATGTCCTATGTTTAGCTTAATCCAATTTCATATCAATATAAGCAAATTCTCTGTCCCTGCTCAAGAAACGCTTCCTACCTGCATGATGCTGGATGCACTATGCCTGAGGGGACGTGGTACTCTGGGTGCTCAGAAGTTTGGTGTTTTGCCTGAAAAGTTAAAGAGCTACACTTGGTTCCCATCTCATTCTGTAAAGGGCAAACCCATTAGTTGCCTTAAGGAGAGCAGCCATGTCTAAGTTTGCAGTTGTAGCTCAATGTTTTCGTATTCCATTGATTAAATGTACTGTGCCGCATCATATGATGAAAGCCTCGGATATATTTCAAATGCATTTAAAGGTTTTTTTTACATTTTCAAATTTTTTACATTTTGAAAAAATAGCAGACATATTGCGAAAGGTTTCCCCCTGTTAAAGGGGAGCTTTCCTGTTGCTACATGCATGCAGAAAAAAGGGACAGCTGTAAAGTCAAAGACTTACAGATGACATGTCTAGTGACTTGGCCCTAAACAAATGAATTGAAGTTAAGTTCTAGTAAATGAATTTTACTAGGCAATTGGGTGAACTTAATTTTATGCCCAAGTAGAAGGTGGTAAAGACAAATGCACACCACACTTTTCAGATTTTAAGACACTGGGAGCATCTTTTGCATAAAAATCCAAATGAAATAAATCTAACTGTAGTTTGATTATTACTAATGCCATACAAGGCATTAGTAATAAATGTATATATTTCTAAAGCACTTCCTCTTTAACGTCCACATAAACAAGAGATTATCCTTGATGTTCCTTTTACTGTGTAATTAGAAGCAACTCTTGGTAGTCGACCCCCAAATCTGACCCTGCCCCCATAGGACGCTGCGGGGGGTCAAAAATATATTAGAAGTCCTAACTGGACAGAAATCACTTTCAGCTGCTTTTGGTTACTGTTAGCGACAAGCAGCCCCATCCCTTCCCCCCCACCTTACACAATCACAAAATGCAAACTGACAAGTCTGCAGACTGTGCTCAGTGCTTTTCTATAGCGAGCTTGCTTGTGGAGACAAACAGATGTTATATTTTGGATGTTATATTAAAATAAAGTCAGTGCACACTAAAATAAACCGATATGCACGCATGATCATAACAATACTGAATAATTCATTAATCTAGACAGGTAAAGAATACATTTGCTGGAGGGACAGAGCAGAAGCAGCAGGTAACACAGTAAAATAAATATGGACAGAAACTCATGACTACAGATTAGCATCCAGTTTATGAGGATCTAAAGAGGCAGAATTATGCTAAGAACTTTCTGATCTCTGGTTTTTGTAGAGTTGCTAATGCCAGTCTTATTGAAGTCACTTTATTTATCTAAAAATACAATTACAGAAGTGTATAAACAAAACAATTTTTCTAACAGGCTTTTGCTCTTGTCACCCTAACTCTGACAGCTTTTTTTTCAAACCAACAGGTTTTAAAACAGATGGATGTTAAAAGCTCTGAAGGATTAAAAACTGTTTGCTTTTTTAATGACTTTCTAATAAATCTTTTTGAAGCTTTTGTTTTCTTGGTAATGGCATCCACACTCATAAGAATTGTTGTCAGTGGAACCTGGTATGCCCTACAGGTATTGCCTTCACGAGTTAAAAGCACAAAGCTAAAACTGAAGGAATGACTCAGCTGGGCTGCATATAACGTCAACAATGTTTCAATTATCACAATATCACTATATACAATATCAATATGGGAACAAATGAGTTTGAATGCAATAAATCATATAACTATGCAAAAAAATTAAAGAAGCTTCTTTGTCCTTAAAGATGGTGGAGCCAGAACTCCTCAAGTGTCCTTTCTGAGCATTCAGTTGAGTTTATATGAGCTGTTTTAGCCATTTACAGTACCGGTACATTAAAAATGTCCAATAATTGTAATTTTATTATATGATAATATCTTAATATCTCAAGAGTATCTTTCAGGTCAAAAAATCAATCACTACATTAATCGTTTACTGTCTAACTGAGATATGCAGCCCTACATATCATGGAATGACCAATGTAACCTGCTTTCAGGCTTTTTAAGGATATAAATATTTGTTGATGCTCGTTGTTTGATGCAGCAAAACATTTATTAGGGAGCAAATGAAGATCTTCAAATGGCACCGTTAAGAAACAAAATCCTTGTTTTTTCACTCTCTAACAGCAGCTAGATATAACTTATAAAACCAACATGTTACCAAGATGAAAATAAATAATTGATGTCATTTGTTTCTCCAAAATGGACCCTGTTCACTTACTAAGGTCCGGTTTTGCTTAGTTTTATTTATATCCCTAGTAATTTATATGTTTATTTAAAGTTCTGTCATCTTCATTTACCAACATAAAGAAATTCTGCTTGCGTATTTACTTGTCAACAAATTCATCAAAGCATCTCTATAAAATCCTTCAAAATAAACTTCTGGGGGCTGCAGTTGTAAAGTAAATGTCTTTTCAGTGTTTCATTAGTCTGTTTACTTTTTTAAAGGACCCTAAAAAGCTTCTTTAAAAATTATTTGGATTGAGTATCTTATGTGAGGTATTTTGGACCCCATATTAACCTTTCTTATCAGCTAAAAAAAATTTTCTCTCATTGAAATTATGACATATAAAAAGTCACAAAAAATAAGAAAATGTAATCATGACTAGGCCTCTTGGGCACATTAACTTATTAATTGATAGGAAAAGGTACATAATGAATAGAAACATAAGAAGTTGATAATTGTGTAGCGCTATTACTGTGAAGTTAAAACCACCCATTTTATTACATTTTAGAGATCAATCATTCTACATGAAAAGCCCCAGAAAAAACCCCAAAACAAAGCAGTTTAGCAGATCTAAGCCATGATAACCCTTTCTGAGATTGACAATGAGAAATAGCAGAGTACTGAGCGTAAAACAAGCCAGAATCTGAGACATTACAATCACTGTAACACAATACTGCTTTAGTGGCAACCTAAAACGCACACAATTACCTAAACGCCTGACTATAAGCAAGCCCAAACACAATCAGCCATAAATCCCACATTGAGACGAGTAGAAGAAGATTATGTGGGAGAGGAAATATGCCTGCTGAGATTATAATTATAAATCTATGAGCTGATTATGACTATGGTTAGAGTTGGTAATCATCATCAGAGCCGCTTGTAGCACTGGTGATTAGAGCCAAGCAAGCGTGTCACTCACTGAACAGCAGCCGAGCTGTGTCCTGCTCTGCTCCGGCAAAGAGGATCATGTTTTTACAGGGATATGGAAAATTTTAAGGAAGTAGTGAAAAAAAAAAAGTATGTGTTTAAAGCCAGACGGGCTTTATCACTTCCATATGTAAACCAACTTAAAGTAGACTCTATGTTGACTGAAACATATTCCTGTAGGCGTGTATTATATGTGCTGTATAACAGAAACAAATTTGAGCGAGTGAAAGTGACTCTGACCTTCTTGCGCCTCATCAAAGTGACTGTTTTCTGCAAACCAAAGGGCGAGAGGGAAATAGACGTCATAATTGAACTGTGGGTGCTCCTTCACCAGGGAGATGGCCTGGAACATTGAAAGGCAGGAGGACAAAAGAAGAAAATCAGTTAATAGAGCAGCTAGTAGGTAGAAGATCTAAAACAATGTTAAACGGCCCCTGGGCAGGTAAAGGCCCAGCTGCAGCTCATTAGGGAGATACAAGTTACCACGCATTTTCCATAAAACACACCTAACCTCAAGTCAAAACATTTCAACAACATTATCAATTAACTGAAAACGAAGGCAAGTGTACGATGAAAGCTGATTTTAGGCTCAGTCGGGACTACAAGTGCATTGCTGTTTGATTGTCAGGACATGAAGAGCTGCTGTGGGACCCTGTGGACAAACATTTGCCGTACAAAGTGACTAATTAAACTCAGTGTCCTGTGGCATAATCTGAGTCAGAAACACTTGATTGAAAACAATGATTGAAAACTCTCAAAAAAGTCTTTTAAAACTGGTGCTACTGAAAAATGGCGTCCATATGCTGGAATTAACTTGGTGCATACCTCCCTCAGAGAGGCACATTAAGCCAGAGTATCCTCTACACCTCTGCCACCCTCCTCTATTTTTTCCTCTATTCTCTCTCTGGGGATTAAGAAGATACTCCAGAACCAAATCTTTAAGATTTGATGCTCTGTTTTTGGCTCTAGTGATTCCAAATGCTAATCAGCCATTAGAATCTCTGCAGTGCCTCTAATTTGATTACAGACCGCAGACGGATTAAAAAAAACACATTATTTCCCTTCCATACAAGCGACATGATCTGTGGTGGCGGGGAAACATGATTAAGAACAGAATACAGTTATAGGCTGATGCTCTTTCTATGCAATATATCTTCTTTTTTTTAACTTTTTTCTTGAACTCGTCACATTCTGGGCATGGACTCAGAGCAATCAGAACCTTAACGATCAGGGGGGTGCTGTGGTTTTATTTGTCAGTAACTGAGGAAATCGGGCAGACATGTTGTCTTGTTGTTTGCATTCAGCTGTGGTTACTGTGTCAATCTCACACAGCTATTTGTTGGGGTTTCCTGCCAAACCAAACAAGCCATAAAAGCTCACGAAGGACTTTATTAACAACGGTTTCATGTTACTGTATTTCTGGGCGTTTATAAAAATTTTTCCAGTCAAATATTCCATACTTTTCAGACTCACTTCTGCATCTGACCTCGGGTCAGTTTTGTCCCATTAGCATAGTAAAGAATAAGTTAAATCTAATACAAATTTACAGATGGATGGACAGACGTACATGCCTTGGGGACTGGGGTTAGGGAACAAAGAACAATGTTATTTTAGTCAGTAACTGTTATTATTGTAACATGCATCATTTATCTAAATCAAAAGCAGGGAAGCACATTTGTTGAGTGACCTATTATAAAAAGAAGTTAATGTGAAAGTAAATAAAGCCTGAATAGTTAAAAGAAAAGATGTAAATAAACAATCCTTTTCAATGTATTTTCTTTCCTCTATTCTTTTCCTAGTTCATAACAATATTAAATGTAGTAAATTTCCAATATCTCTGTATTTATTTGACTGTGTCAGGACATTTTTGTTTACATACATTATGACAATCAGATTTAATATTAAAAGCTAAATAGTTGTCTCAGACCTCTTCCCAGTGACTCGTCTCCACGTGTAGTTGCAACAAAGCCTTTAAGTCTCCCATCTTGGAATAAGTCTCTGAGGCATAGCCATGGTGTCCCAGCTTCTTGAAGTACACCGCACACTTTGCCAGTAGTTCACGCTCAGCCTTGTCCAGCTTACGTGCAACGCCAATTAGCCTGCATAACAAGAGGGAGGCAGGTACACAGGTAGGGTGGGTGAGGTTAAACCATCAGTAGTTTGTCTGGAGGACGTTCTCAAGACCCAGAAAATAATTTCATCATTCAGAGTCTGAACTTTTATCTGATTCCAGTTAAAGGGCTCTGACTGTTCCGAGTCCCTCTGATCCACCTGTAGTAACACAGATGAAAGGATTGGGGCTCCCAAAGCAACTAAACAGAAATCTAGAGGTCTACCCTGTTACATGAGTGTCACTTTACAGACACTTTACAGTGTCACTGACTGCACACCATAACCTCCTGTTCGTCTCTTAAAAATAATTTAAATTAGACAATAGTAACTCTTTTTCCAGAAATATATATACAGATATGTTTATATGTATTGATTAGAAAACAATATTCTTCAGGGAATGAGAATATCCCCCGTAGTGAAAGACACTTACATGTCAGCCCAGCCGTGTTCTCCGATAATATCTATAGCTTTCATGTGTTCTCCTGCTGACAGATACATCTCAGCTGCTGTCCGGGGCTCCTCGCTGCTTTTAGCCCAATCTGCCTGCTTTGTTATTAGCTTGAGGGAGACCTTTGGGTCTGTAATACCCGCACACTCCTGCAAACAGAAATCAAAAGGCTTAGGCAACATGATAAAACTGAAAAACCACTTATGATACATGATTTCAGAAAAAAACATAAGCAATTAAAACACCAAACTGGTTATTAGGAGATTAATTGTGTCCTGTACCAGAGGAAAAACCAAAGAAAATGTATGGTTAGAAATGATCAGATCATGCAAACGAATCTATATATCCTTTTTTTGGTTTTAATGAGTGACTTTATAGATGAAAACAAATAACCTGTTGAACATTGTAAACATTTTGTAGTTATTTTTACAAACATCATTAGAAATACAGTATCACAGACCCTTTATAATCTAGATCAACCCAAAATATCAACTCGATAGAAAATAAAAATTGTCTCTTTTTAAATAAAGAAATCCTTATTTCGATTAGGCAGGAACATGTACATGTATTTATATGTATGCATACTGTTGTGTGTGTACCAATATTTAATGTATATGATGCCTGGCATTCACTTCATCCGAAAAAGAATGAATAATAAGAAAAAAGATCAGAGTTGTGGCCTGCATTCATATTCCCTCTAAACCCCTCAAAAGACTCCAGCTCAACCTGCACAGGACAGCTTGCATCTACAGGAAACAGCAAACATGGAGGGTGGTGCTTTGGACAAATGACACTAAAATGCATGGTGGTCTACATAAGGAACACTGTGAACCCATGCACACAGATGTACCCGTGGCAGCATCATGTTGTAGGGATACTTTTCATCAGCAGGGACAGGAACACTGGTGAACATTGATTGGAAGGATAGAACTAAATGAAGGTTGATAGTTGTTATAGATTGCAAAATGTTAAAGATTGAGGCATAGGTTTATCTTTTAACGTAAACTAACATAAATACTTTATTGCGATGTGAGAACAGCCTTGTCAAAGTTAAGGCCAAAATCCAATTGAAATCTGTAGACTTTGAAATTGCTTTTCAAGGACACTCTACTTTCGATGACTTAGAAGAAGTCATTTTGCTAAGAAATATGCAAAAGAAAGAGCAAAACACAACTATATAAGGGTCCTTCTTTAAATGTGGTGCCTTTAGGGTGTCATGAACTGCCAAAAAAAAAAAAAGAAATCCAAAATTTTAAGATTTTTTTGAGATATAACAGGACAGGACAACATCATCTGCAAACAGCAGAAATTATATCCTGAGGTTCCCAAACCAGACACCCTCCAGTACCTGGCTGTACCTAAAAATTCTGTTCATAAAGGTACTGAACAGAGCCAGGGACAAAGGGCAGCCCTGGCGAAGGCCAACATGCACCGTGAAGAGGACTGACTTACTGCCGGCAATGTGAAGGAAGCTCCTGCTGCGGTCATACAGAGAGCGTTCAGCCCTTAATAGTGGGGCCCGGACCCCATACTCTCGGAGCTCCCCCCACAGGGCACCATGGGGGACGCGGTCGAAAGCCTTCTCCAGATCCAAAAATCACATGTGAACTGGTTGGGTAAACTCCCACGAACCCTTAAGCACCCAATCAAGGGTATAGAGATGGTCCATGTGTGCCATGACAGGCCCCGGTCACACCGACTGCTGTATATATGTCGTATACACCAATCATATACGTATGTCCGGTGTATACTTATGTCCACTCTGTTAAGTAGGTGTCCACCATGTTAACCAAATAAGGTTAACATAGTTAACACAGTGGACATTTTACAATAAAAATTACTCTAGCTTGAATTAGCATTTTAGCTAACAAGATTTTGATAGTTGATGAGAGTTGTACATTTTAACATGAGAACCTTTAAAGATTATATAATTTGATTGTTTCCGCAACAAAACAGGGTCAACACAGTTGAAACCATAAGATTGACCACACTAAATCTACTTCATAAAACAGCTAATGAAGACCTTTTAACACATGAAAAGTGTGAACCTTTCCCAAAACCAAGGCTGAAGTCGAACTTACAGACTGCATCTTCCAAGGACGCATCTATCTGGCCTGGGTCCTTCGAAGTCCATGTAAATAAGGAGACTGGAAGAGTTTTGGCTGTGCATTCAAACATTTCTAGCCTTCAGTTGCTTTAACCAGTAAGCTCTGTCCCTTAGCAACAATGACAGTTGACACACAGAGCAGGAAAAGAATGAATACCAAACTTTTCAAAACTGTTTCTTTTAAAAAAAATTTCCTTTTTTTATTTTTTAACAAAGATTACACTCGTGAGAATACAGAGTGGAATAAAGGTGACAACCACCGGGATATATTTGTATTGGTCTATTACTTTTTAAAAAGTTGCAAAATACATAAAAATTTACTTTAGAAACATGAAAAAAATAATATTATTTCAGAGGTATTGAACTTAATTGATCACACATGGGAGCATGTTACATTGGCATTTAACCCATCCCCTTGGTGATCAGTGGGCTGCCCTCGTGGGGCATCTGGGGAGCAGTGTGGGGTTAAGGGTTTTACTCACAGACCGAGAGTGGCAGTCTGTTCGAGTGGGTTTCGAACTCAGAAATTCAGGATTCCAAGCTCTATGCCTTAACCACTAGGCCCTCTTACGTATAAAAGCTTCAGCAAAATCCTGTAAATAAAAATTTCTACGCTCTAACAGTACAGATACTAAATCCAGACGGGATCCTTTTTCCTTTGAAAAATAATGTCACTTTCACTATCTTAATTTTAATCTTTACAGAGAGCAAGAAAGACTAAACATTTGGAACTGTAGAGGTCTGAGGAAGCAGGAAGACAGTCGGACAAACATCAGGCAGAAACTCGGCCTTTCCCTCTGGTGTCCTTCCTACTTAAAACAAACAGGCTGTGCGACCAGATGGCCACACAACAAGAAAAATACACAGCTGCCACATCACACAGATACAATCTGATACACACATGCATGCAGAAATATACATGAATAAGTCATGTAGAGTATATCTATATCTATATATAGATATAGATATATATATTTTTTCAATCTGCAGTTTTAATATTAACTATGTAAGCTTTTCTTTTGTTGTGCCATGGTTTTTGTGGAATTTTGTGGCATCTGTTTACTACTCAGATGAAATATGATATAATTCCTGGTGATGTATGAGGAGAGGAAAGAGAGAAGGCTAAAGGGGTTGTCTGAGCACAGCACAGGGCCCCAACCTGGCATTTCTCCACATAATAAAGAACAAACATGTGTTCTCGACTCATAAAGTTTGCAGGAGCCAAACAGGGGTTTTTGTTTGTATTTGTAAAAGCTGAGCTGCATGTGATTGGACATGTTTTTGTCAGTAAGCAGTTCCGTTACCTGGGCGTGCTCGAACATGCACAGGTCGGCGTACATGTTCACAGCTTTCTTCATGGCTGGTTCGTGGCCGCTGCGTTTGTAGAGCTTTGCAGCCTCGCGGAATTTCCCCTGGAAGGCATAGACGTCTGCCAGGAACATCTCGTTGTCGTTCTCGCCCCGCTTCTTCCTCGCCTACAAATCAGTCAACATTAACACTGAGTGGACACACAGTCAAGTGCATGTTCAAACATCCACACTTCAACCGCTACCAACACAGTGCGTATCAAATGCATTTTTTCCACATTCTAAGTGTATACCCACAGCTTCAATGAGTTTTATAAAATTATGAATGTTTCAATCAATATAAAAGGTGTACATAATTGTGAAAAAGTAGGAAAATCTATAGAGTTTGATGTTTGAATATGTTAACCCTCTTCACTTTGATAAGTATTAAAATTCAGGTCAATCAATCTCAATCAATCAGTCACCTAATTGGTAAATAAGAACTGACATCAGTGTAATGTACCCTTAACATAAATCCAGTTGATCACTGTTAGAGAATCTAAGTAAACAAAAACAACTCTTGAAATCAGGAACTAAGCAGGAATAAAGTGGTTGAAAGTTTTAAAGAAGCTCTGAATATCATCACCGAATATTGTTCAGTGCCTCATCTAAAAATGGAAAAGTATACACCTAGCAAGACATGACCACCCGTCAATGGAAAGGCATGGCAAAGAGAGCGGCAAGAGGCCTATGGTAGCTCTGAGAAAGTTTAAAGATTCACAGCTCAAGGGGAATTATGGGTTTGTAGGATAACTATTAGGTTCACACTAATCCGGTGTTATTTAAGAGTTAAATGAGAAAGCTAAAAGAAGATCTGTTTGTAGTTTGTCACAAGCCATGTCAGAGCAAACACCTGGAGGAAGGTGCTCTAGTTAGAAGCCATATATAAGCCTATAAAAGCACCAAGTGATTTGGAAATGTTAGACCATGCATTACCCATGAATTTTCCCATTTTCATGGCGAAATGTGGTAATGATAGTCACGCTTTTTTCTTTAGCAGGGACATTAAAGCGGGTCACAACTGATAGGACTACGTATAAACTTAAACAGGGAGTAATCCTGAATTACTAAAAAATGGAGTGGACCTTCATTTCACAGGGGAACAAGAACTCTATTCAACAGCCAGAGGAATTACTAAATAATTTAGGTCACATTTAGAATCACCTAATCAGCACAGATATTAAGATAGTAAAGAATGTTTGACAAGGCTGAAAAAGTAAGGTTAACAGACACTCGGTGTCCAGTCTGACTGAGCTGGAGCTATTTTGCAAACATGGGTTTCTAGTTTAGATGTCGACACAAAGACTTGCAGCTGTGACCAGATCACAGTAAATTTCATTTCTGTTCAGAATTTAAAAACCAGGCACCTTCTGCTTTCCAATCTACAATGATGCAATACTTTCTTAGTCTATAAAATAAAATCCCCATAAAACCTATTGAAACCTGCAGCCTTAACATGAATGAATGTGAGAACGCTAAATGGGTATTAATGCTTTTATATGGTGCTGCATGAGTTAATGAAAGGACAGGAAAAGATGATCTTTGAATAGTTTTCTTTCTGATAAATAGACATTACCTCAATGCTGCTGATCAGTTCCAAGTAGCGCAAATCTCGGATTCTAATGAAGGCCTGAAAAAGAAAAAAAAATAATAATACACAGCATTAACTAATATTTTCTTGCCATCTGATTTAATTTTGGTTGCATAGCCAGCCTCAGCTTCATTAAAATCCTGGCTAAGATAATAATTAACCTCTAAAGCTACCGACTATTTTTCTAAATTGTCCACTTTAAATTCCTCGTGAGACTCAGTCAAAAACAGCTCTACAACCAAATTTAACAATTTGGACTGCATGGAACCAAAAAAAAAAAACAAACAAAAGCAAACTTTGGGAAAAGCTGAATTACAATATACAAACTTAAGGGTTGGCAGAACATAAGAACCCTTTTTCTTTCTTTTCTTTCATTCTTTCTAAACAGAACTGTATATTATAAACAACAGTGCGATAACAATAAGTCACTTGCAGTGATATGTTTTAAGAATGTTCTCAGATTTTGTAATGGAGCGTAACCAGTGCAAATAGTTGGAGATTTTTTGTGATGGATGTGTCTTTCTAACAAATACAAACTAAATCAAATATGGGAAGTTTAAAAAAAGGGGCTCAATGTTTGCTTGGCTGCTTGGATAAAATCCACAGCTTTCCTTTAACATCTTACAGATAAAAAGAAATCCACAGTGAACGGGCTTACATCATACATGTTGATCTAGTTTCACTAATTTAAGTAAAAATTACTAATTAAGGGTGGGATATTAAGACTTAACCTGCCAATCTGTGTGTCTGGCTCACCTTCTTGGCTGTTTCAAAGTCAAGTCCCTCGAGAGCTTCTGTGGCCAAATCCCTCCAATCGCTGTCTGTCACACCCAGACAGGCGATCTGATAAGCTTCCTTAAACATCTTCTGCTCCAGGTATTGGTACATGGGTGCTGACTGGGCAGAGAAAATGTAACGAGGTGAAGTAGAATTATACATTTGGCAATCGTAAGTCACCTAAATGATGTCTGTTTGTGTGATTTAATTTTAATATTTATCCATCTGCTCTGTGAAAGCCCCAGTCATTTGTTAGAGTAGGGCCAAAATACCTAGAGAAGTTTATTCAATAGAGCGGTCAAGAAGAGGGGAAACTTAATCACAGAAGAGGCCAAGAAGCTCCAATAAGCTGCAGAGGTGCATAACTAATGTTGGAGAATCTGTCTCTTTTTCTTCCTTTTTTTTTTTTTTTATTTACATAAAGCTTCACATAATTTTCATTCACTTGATAATTGTGTTGGAGGTGGGATTGGTCTAATGCATAAAACCTTGATAAAATGTCACATGCTGGACTTTACAATGTGAAAAAAATCTGTAAAAAAAAAAAAAATACATCTTTAAGACATTCTGGTCACTAAAACAAGGATGTGCTATAAAACCCTTTATCACATGTAAAGCCATCACTACATCTAGGCTATGTATAACATACCTGAGGCACCTCGACAGCAGACATGGAATAGACGTGGAGGCAGAATATTTTCGAGCCGTTGTAGCCCACTATAAAGCCCTGCATTTTCTGCTGGTGCACTGGAAAGTTGCTGGCCTTGATGTTAAGGTAGCCGTTCCCAGAGAAACACAGCATGTCCTCACACTGGGTGTTCCAGGCTACGCTGTTAGCGTTAGGCTCCTACAGAGAAAATATGAGAAGATATACAGAAACAAAGGTGTGGAGGTGACAGAGGAACAAAGAACAGCCAGGAAGACACCATTTTAAATTGAATTCTTCCTGCGGTTTATGCAAATCTGTAACAAGCATCCATGTTTCTTTTTCGCTCTGACTAACTGATCCCATGAAGTCCTTTCAGAAATCTTCCTTTATTTAATTTTTTTTTATTATGAGAAATCTTCCAATGTACAATCCTTGGGATGTTTTCACTCCTTCTTTTTACAAACCTGAAAAAGCAAGTCTTTGCTGTTGTTGTCATAGACGAAGAGAGTGTTATGTTCATCCACCACAGCCAGTTTATTGCGGGACGCGCTCATATCGAGGCAGCGCACTGATGTTGACAGCTTCAGCAGCGTTATTGGGAAAGGATTGTCGACAAATATCTTCAGGATCTACATCAAAAAAATCAGAAAGAAAGATCTGAGCAGATGGAGTGTGTTTTACGATTTATAGTGTCTTGCAAAAGTAATCAAAACCTTAGAGCTTTTAAAACATTTGACATTTTTACAACAAATTGACATTAACTGGAGGGAATAAAAAAAAGGTGAAGTTTTAAAAATGATAGTTTCAAATTCTTTGCATTCATGAACATTCAACCTACAAACCATGTAGGAGACACAACAAACATGTGGAAGAAGGCTCTAAGTGTTAAGCTTTTCAAAGACGATTAGAGATATTAATTAAACCCAGCTCCTTTTTTAACTATAGAATAACAATAAATTACATCTCAAGCCACTTTATAAGTAAAAAAGTCTAGTTTATCAATGAATAGTCATGGGTTACAGTAGTCTAGGTAAAGGGTACCATATAAAATGATAGCTAGAAGGACTATGAGCAAAGTAATTGTTACATTGTAAACTTGATTATATCTTGTATGTGTCAGAAAAAACCTGAATAAATAAAAATTTCTGATCCATATTAAACTGAGAACCTGTGGCCAAACTTGAAAACAGGTGTTCATGGTTTGGTAAAGAGGAATAGATAGAAAATCTGAGTGTCTAGATGTGCAAAGCTGCCACAGACAATCACCTAGAAATTGTTGCTAAATCTGCACTTAAGTGTTTCTACAAAGTATTTAGTAAAATACATTAAATAAAAATGCATAAAACATTAAAATTCCATTCATAAAAATGAAAAACCAAGCATTTTTCCCCCTTTTCTGTATCATTACGGCCTCTTCTGTATTGTTCTATCACAAAATAAAATAAAAAAATGTAAAAATCCCAATAAAATACATTAGATTTTGTAGCATACCAAGACAAAACAAACGTAAAATCAAAGTTTTAAGGGGTGTGGATACTTTTGGAAAGCACTGTATAAGAAGCTGTATTAATTATGCACAGAGTTCATTTTGCATTTCTCCAAATTCCTAGAGAAATAACATGATGGAACTGTTACTGTTTCCAAGTTTCTGTGAGGGATTACGTCGTCTCTAAGTACTCACAGCTCCGTTCTTTAAGCCCACCAGCAGACCCTCCTTGCCTGGCGGACCACCGATCACTTTGATGTAACGAATCATAGATTCCATCACCCATTCTTTTTCCTTGACACCGGCAAAAGACAGGCACTGGAGTCTCTTCTCCTGTGCAGAGCGGAACGAGTAACATGAAACCACAATCATATACAGTACCGACTAACCGTTTCATTATGGAAAAATTACAGTCTTAGGTCCATCATTTCATGGGCTGTTAATCGTAGCAAAACAAACTCATGTAAGTCTAATAACTTGCAGCATGTTGTTCTTTTAAACGCCGCAAAAAGGGTGTTTCAATGTCATGAAGCAATTTTACAAAGATAAACAATGATATAATCTACCAGAAGCATGCACAGCCCATATATAAGGTCTAAGATCTGTCTGGGCCATGAAACATGAGCATGTCGAATAGAGAGATCTAAAGCACCTCTGTGCTTTAGACAAATTTGAAAGGAAATAACCTCAGTGCCGCCCCTCCGCCCTACCAGACGCTGTCAAACATACAGACGAAAAGCAGAGGGATCCCCCCACAAAACACCCACTGCTTTAACAGACCCCAACCCTTCCAATCAATCCAAACTGTCTTTTTTTTATCCAGTTTGAAGAGGATTGCAGAAGGGAGAGAGAGACACGTGCTGCACATGTATCTAGGAACACACGTACAGCTGGGGCCCTTGTGCAAGATCGGCAGAAACATGTGGGGAAGCAGCAATTCAATCCTGAGTCGTGTAGCTTTGACTTTAAATGGTTTAACACTGATTCAGTCTGATTTCATCATCTTAATGGTGTCCTAATGTCTGTAAAGCCACTAGGGTAGGAAGAATTTGGTCTGAGCACAAAAAAAAAAGCTCAGGAAGGGAACTTTTCATTACAAAAGAAGCAAAACTGAAAGCAGATGGGTCAAAAAAAAAAAAGCTTTATGAAAGATTTGATTTTTTTCTGTTTTTTTTTTTTTATTCAGTTTTTCATGGATTCTGGAAAACAGACTTCAGACCTGACAGAGAATGATGTGCTGGGAGCAGACCACCAGCAGGTTGCATTCAAACTTCTTGCAGATTCTCTTGCTAATGCTGTAGTTCAGGGTGGAGGAGTTGTCCTCCTTGAGTTCACAGATGTTGATCTTCTCAGGCAGCTGAATGGCGAGGCGGTTTTTATAGATGGCTATCTTCTTTACCAGTTCACAGAACTTGATTCTCACTGGGGAAATATAACAATGTGGGAAAAAATGTTTTCAAAACATATATTAGAAAGCATTTTTTAAGACAGTGTTTATATCCTGCACATATATTCCCACAAGTTTCCAGACTGATTTTACAAATATCCATATTAAATTTTTAACTAGACAGAGCTACATTTCTTTTGATTTTTCCAAAAACATTTGGACTGAATAAAGTTCCAACTTTTCCAGACCGTGTAGGAACCGAGTTGGACATGAAAACAATGCTATGCAATAAATAATTTTCAATTAAATTCAAATTCTTTTCAAAATATTCAGTTGATCCCAAAAAAACAACAATCTCCAAAGATAATGTATTGTGCGGCGAGTCTGTAGTTATGTCTCCATATGATCGAGGTCACGCACCCTAAATCACATCCAACATAATTATCTAATACAGTTTCCTAACATCACTTTAGTCACAAATAACAAACAGAACTTTACGTTTTTGCTCAGTGATGAGGTCCTGCACGATAACATCGGTCATGCTGTCTCTATAGGCATAGCAGTCTTTGTAGAGGCCATGAACTGTGGTGAAGTTAAGTTGGTAGCAGTAGATGGTCCCATCCTGGCAGCCACACACCTAGATAAGAAACAACAATGTAGCGGTACATCCTATTAACACCTCTAAGAAAAGACTGAGGGAGTGGGAAAATGTTCCTGTTGTTAAAGCCTCTATACTACAGAGCTGCGAGAATCTGCCAGGAACCAATTCTCTCCTGTGTGCCTCATCACTTTCAGTTAAATATAGTGAGAGGAAAAGCTGTAAAAGAGGGACTGTAAAACGAAAAAGATTGTGTATCTGTGTAGTTCAAAATGGTGCTTTCACAATTGAAAAAATAAAAAGTATCTCTTTCACTGTGACATGCATTACCACACAAGGGCAGGGAAGGTTAGGCCTCGTAGAGGAATCATGTGCTGTGGACCCACCACATAGTTGGAGTCGGGCTTAACTCGGCATGTCCACACCCATGCTTTATGTTCTCCGATGGTCCCTAACCGCACTCCATCTTTAGTGTAGAGGGACACCTGTTTGTCCGAGCCACCCATCACAATGTACTCGCCCTTGGAGAAGTAGCTGATGCAACAAGGGTCATAGTTTAGAGTTTTGTCTTTTCGAATCTAAGGAGGACAGAGAGAGAGAAGCACTTTAGAAACAGGGATAAAACGAGCATGTCTTGTATTTATTGCTCAGAGTCCGAGCTAGCACTTCCCACTGTCTGGGCTGACAAACTTCAAAGTCCTCAGTACATTCAACTACCCCTTTGAATCTGATGAAAAGGAAGACAAAAAAAAAAAAAAAAAGAAGAGTGTCTCTGGTTTAAAAAGCCTCTATTGTATTAGAGTTCAAAGTCAATTTGCGCAGCATCCTATCAGCTCTCTCCATCCTATCCATCTGTTTTGGTTTTTTCCCCAGTGAGCAAAAAAAGACAATCACAGCTTATTTTCTGCATTGTGAGCAATCCCTTATGTTGCAATCATAACAGAATGTTCATTTAAGTCGATAAATAAGGAGACAACAATAATAAAACCTTATATTGGAGGAAAACAAACAGTGCAGATTAAGTTCATACTGACCAAATTAGCTACAAGGAATCGAGGAGGAAGCAGTGATTGGAAGTAGGTCAGTAAACCCTTGCTGGGTCACCTCTAGTGTATAGATACACTTTCAAAAGACCCACAACAGTCCGATTACAGCTGATTCTAAACTGTATTAAAGTTTTTCTATGTAGTAATCTCTGACAATGTTGAACCATGTCAGATATTGTTCCAGATCAGCTAAAGATTGCCTGTATTTTTGTGGAAATGTGGCCAGTACAAATATAGATCATCTGCCTCTGAATACGCAGCATGTAGAGGAGCATTTCATCAAATTTGATTTCATAGAAAAGTTCAGTTGTTTGACTAAAATTTAAACCAGTTAGGCATAATACATTACAAACAGAGGGAATCATTCATGTTAATTTGGATTATTAGTATTTACAGCTAATACAAAATAAATTAAGACTTGTGTGTGCAAAGCATTCCATAAAACCCTTAAAATTGTTTTCAAATATAAAAATTCTATATTATACATATGTGATAACAGATGGAAAATGAGACACAAAAGATAACTGCTAAAGAAGCAGGTATTTTACTCGGTGCAGCAGCAAAGCTTATAATGACTTCATGGGGAGTGGCGGCCTATTGGTTAGGGCATAGAGCTTGGAATTGTGAGGTTCTGGGTTTGAGCCCCATTCCCACAGGCTGAGCAAGACCCTTAATCCCACACTGCTCCCTGGCCACCTCACAATGGCAGCTCACTGCTCCCTAAGGGGATGGGTTGAATGCAGAGGTAAATTCCTCCAATGTGAGATCAATAAAGTTAAAAAAATTATTAAAAATGATAACTGAAAAGTTGAGTGAAAGAAAAAAAATGTATGAATAAACTGTGCACCAGCAACACAATAAACACAGCTTTAAAAGGAGAGTTAAGCAAAGGCTTTTTAAGCATTTGGGTGAAAATCTATTGTATTCCTTGTGTTTTTGTATCCACCCCTAACCTAGAGATGTGTCAGAGGTGTCTTACCTGGGTTGGATTGTTGCTTAGAGGACAATAAACCATTTTGTTCAGAGTAAATTAACTGTTGCATTTAATTTGACTATTAAGGTCACTTTGGACTAAGACTTAGACAAATTTTATTGTCATGTTGTATACACAGAGTGTATACAAAAAGACATTTCGATGCATACAGCTTTTAGACAGTGAATGAGCAGCTTACAGCAGTGAAATGAACATTACAATTTATAAAATGCAGCAGTGATCAGGAATACAGACGGTGTAGGAGAAAGGGAAACCCAGTTTAAAGTCATGGTGCAAAAGGCATTGATATGGAAGTTTCAGTGCAGTGCAAAATAAATAAATATGGTGCAAAATGCAGTAGAACATTGAGTTGCGTTCTATTTAAAGGGATTATGAAAAAAAAATCAGCCACGTTGGTGGTGCAAACTGTAGATTTTAACTGTAAAACCTGTGCTGTGCCTACAAATACCTGGTATAAACACCATAGAACCACTGTACTTTATTGGCTGGCAAACTCTCTGGACATAATCAGGAAAATGAAAATCTATAAAAAGCTGCTGGATATAAAATAAATCAATGACAGAAAAAAAAAGGCATGATTTTTTTTTTTAAACCCAATTACTGAAATGCTTAAATATCATTTTTAAATTCAGGTCTGAACTATCAGGTAATTATTAGTAATTAAGGAAAGGGTTTAACAACGAAGATAGCTGATATTCACCTGCTGTCCACTGAGTTTGTAAAAGGAGAGCTTTTGACCCCAGTCTGCCACAGCCAGCACGTCATTGTGTTCATCCCTGTGAAACAAAAACAGCTTAGCCATAAGTGCTAAGGATAGTCTTTTGTGCTGATAGGGGCTTTGGTTAGTTAAGTAATGATGACACTGAAAACAAGTGCGGCCAATTTTCATTCGAGATTTTCCATTGTATGCGACAGTCAGCAATGGGGAGCTTTGTTCGGGTTTCAACTTAATAGCATTATAATGTCAGGACACAGTTAAATACGGCATGGCATGATAATTAGATCTACCGTAACATAATGTCAAAAATGTGCTCTTTAATTCTAAGACAACTAAATCCCTTCCCCAAATCAAATCCCGTGTTCACTTTTAGGTGAATTATTATAATTCACATACTTTATGAATTCTTGCATTGTTAATAATTCTGGTGCAATCCATCACTGAATACTTTAAATGAACTTTATACATTATTTATTTCTGCATCACTTTATTAATCTCTTAAGAACCCAGTAAGTGGATTCCTCCTGAGTTTGGCAAAGGGGGGTGGCAGAAAATTGAGACACATCCAAATGAACATCATAATAGCGCACAGTTCAATCACTCTTGTGTCAACTACTGCCATCTGCTGGCCTCAGCAACAACATATAACTTTAATCAAATTAATCCACAGTATCTCTAACACATGTCAGCAAAGAATGGATGAAATATAAAAGGAATAAACATTTCTTACCGATGTTATTTTGTAAAAACTAAGAATTACTAACTTGGAGGGACTCCAGGCGATGGACCAGATAGGGGATAAAGATCCTCCTGGACGTTCTATTTTAACCTTCTCCTCTCCATTCTTGTTCCGTATGCTCACCACACCATTCATCATGCCAAGGGCGAGGTACTGCCCATCGTTGGTCCACCTAAAGTTTAAGCAAACTCTGGCTGAAGCACAGTTGAAATGCAGGAAAATGTAAAAAGTGTTTCAGGACGGTAGATGGACTACTTACCCACAACACGTTATTCTGCTACTCACTTTAGTTTTGCTTACAGATTTCTGTTCTGGGGACCACAAGCCTAAAAAAGAAATAAACAGATCACGCTCTCTTAATGATTCTCCTTCACATATCAGTAGGTTTTATTTCAAGTTAAAGTAAAGTTATTTACTTTAACTTGAAGTACACTTACCAAAGTCACCAGATGAGCAGGAAGCAAGCTGGTGAGTGACTGGGTTGTAAGCGACACACTGGATAGCATCATTGTGGCTACATAGAAGGTCAACAAAATAGGAAAAGTGAATGAGAAGAATGCACAATGTACAAGGATATAAAAGCAGACAGCCAAGTTAACATGTCAAATAAAAAATAAAAAGTATTCCTGTATAATCAGATCTATGATTCCTTTCATGGAGACTAACTTTCCTCCATATTAACACCAACACAGGCTTTTAAGTTGTCTGTGAATAATATAACCTAATTTTCTGTTTTAAATGAGCAAGCAGAAACAGAACAGGTTAAAACATGAGTTGGAACATGGGTTATAAGAGGATATTCAGCAGGGTTTAGGTAGTTTTCCGTAGAGTTGAAATAAAGCTTTAGTGAACATTTCTCAACAGCATGGCTGGATTGTGATAAGTGATAATGTTATTCCAAGGTCCTCCCAAGGCCATGTACATATACCTGTTCCCTAGGGATGATTGCCACACATTTAGTGCCACCTTAAGGCTCAAGGGAGTATAAACCAGATTTTTAAAAATTGTGGACCTCTCATTTTGATTTTGATGTTTTAAAATGAGCAATCTTTGAACTAAATCCCCAAAGGTTTTGTCAGGATAGCCCTCTATTTAGCTCCATCTTTCATTTTTGCTGAAGGAAGAATATCAACAGTATAATGGTGGAATTTAAAAGAAGGTAAGCGAAGAGAGTTTTTCTTCCATGTTTTGCATGAATGCCATAAAGTTATCTAGGGTTGGGCAATATAGCTTAAAAATCTAATCTCAGATTTTATTTCCCCTACCAAATCCAATTAAGGTAATCATTTTTTTTCTCACTTAAGTTTCATTAGAAAAAATATAAATAATAAAAACTCGCTTTTATTTCAATCATCCCCTCTGGGAGGTGAACCTAATTTAAAGGTTAATGAAAGGTGTGAAACAGGCTTGAAAAACAAATGAAGAAACAAGGAAAATAAATGTTTGCAGCTGGTGATATTACTCAGGGAGCTAGTTTATCAGTTATAAGAATGGAAAGTGATGAACTAATCCCGCTAGGCCTGAGTTATGGAAGCCAAAAACGTGGATGAATTTAAAAAAAATCTAATTTTTTTTCCCCAAAAATGTTTATTTTCATAAGAAAAAGAATGTGATTAATCAATAAAAATCCATTAATTGCCCAGTCCTAGTCTCTTCTGAGCCAGGCACATTATTCTAAATGTTTTCTTTTCTGCTCTTCATAGTTCATAGCAAACAGTACATACGAGTCCTTATGTCTTTCTTTTAACAATGGTCTTCTTCACAACTTTTCTATATAGGACAGATCTGTACACTACATTAATAACAGCGTCCCTGTCTGACCTGAGGATCTCTGCAGCTCCTCCATAATTAGCATAGTCCTATTTATTACTTTATTGGCCATGCCAAAAAAAAAAAAAAAAAAAAAAAACACCTGAAAAGAGTAATTAGTTTCCATTTAAGATTAAATAAATATTCTTTGTCAATATGTTCTGTCTGGAACCTGGTGTATTTTTTAGCTTTCCCTTTCAAATTCTGTAAAAAAGGAAAAATCTTAATAAAACTTTTGCAAATTTATTATTAGAATATTTTTGAAGAAAGCAGTCAGACTGATCAATTTAGCAGAGTAGCCTTTAGATAGACAGGCAAACAGATGACAGCATTAATTAAATTGTAGTGTTGTCAGGTTTTTTGTTTTGTTTTACCCTATGTACACTGTACAATTGCTTTCCTAGATTTTATTTAGCAACATTGCTGTGAAGGAGGCTGAGTACAAATGAGCACATGACTTTTCAGTCTGATTGGAATTTCATTGAGTATTTGTTTTTATTCAACCTTCAGTGTTAGTCTATTTATATTCCAATAAAACCAGAGGAGGTGGCAGTTCTAACCTGACTAAATGTGAGGCCAGCTGATAGGTCAAAGGTTACCATCCTTTCTTCACGTTGTTAGATAATTCTTGAACCTTTTGGCTACATTTCAACTCAGTTTTATTTGATATGAAAATAATGACATTATCTCAAATGGAAATTAAACATAATCTAAATCTCCATTCATAAATGTACGGCTTTTTTTTTTTTATATACAGTCGTTAACTTTCGTTGTCTGTCTTTAACTTCCTTCAGCGTTATCTCCGTTGAAATCTGGCTTTTTCAAATGATCAATAGATTATTTTATTTTCGCAAGATTTTAAAAAGCAGATATAAGCTATTATTTAGAAAACAAACTCACCTTCTCCATTTCTGCAAGTCATGTTTACAATGTAGGTAGATACCTGTTTATCAACTGTAACTTAATGATAACTGAACCTGACTGCAAGTCTGAACTGTATGGAAATGCATCAGGTTTATTTAAACTTAATTTGGATTGAAATGGACTGTATATTAAAGACATGAAAAGGAATCTTATTTGAAAAAAAAAAAAAACATGTTAATTGCTGGGGTATAAACAAACTGAAATGAAAAGGTGCTCATAGGTTCTAAGTCAATGACCCCAATATAAATACATTAAAACAAATGTAAAATGTGACTACTTACAAATATAAAGAACATTTTAGAGTCTAAAACTCACTTACGTATATCTTAAAATACCCTCCAGTTTTGAAGTCCATATGATGATGCTTTTGTCTGCAGATCCTGAGGCAAACCTTTTACCTGCAGAAAAAAACAGGGCTTCTAATGAGATGAAAGTAAGTAAGATGCATGAAGACTTAGTTATACAAACTAAAAAGCAGCCAAGTACCATCCTTCGCATAGGCCACACAGTACACTGTGCCATTGTGTCCTTTTAAAGGCTGGATAATAGTTCCATCTTTAGCATCACAGACCTGCAAACAGAAGCCATAATTTGTAATAATAATGTATTCTGCAGAGATATCCTTTGCAAGCCAAAGATAAAAGGTGAGATTTACCAGCACACGTTGTCCTGCAGCTATAATAATTTGGCTGCCATCTGGCTTGAATGCAAGGTCATAAACACTGCAAGAGAGAAAACGGTGTTGACAGTTTATTTTTAGCAGATCGATTGGTTGATCTGGAACAGTGGTGAGGTGCCATTTATCACATATATTGCAATTTTAATGTTAAGAAGGACACCTAAAAGACCCTGAGAATGTTTTGAGCTTATTTTCCGCCACTGTATGTTGAGCATGCAAAGAAGCAATGTAAACATCCTTACTAAACAACCCCCCCAAAGAGTTTAAACCAGAGGTTCCCAAACTGTCATCTTCTGACCCACATAACAGTAGAATGGACTTAAAACACAAACTACTGGTTGAAAAATAATCTCTAAAACATCTTTTAAGCTCTGGTATGAAGGTAACAAAAAAACCAAGAAAGAATAAAAAGCTGTTGTATTTAGTTATGTCTATTTACAGCTGATTTTTTATCTTTAAACAAAAAAATTGTTCACTGACAATTTCACTGTTTAGTTTTAATTTCTATTGAGTATTCAGGACCCCAAACTTGTTTATTTCCCGACCCCATATGGGGCCACAGCCCCAACTTTGGGAATCAATGGTTTAAACTATGAATGTTCATTTCAGGATGCAGCCCAAGTCAATGACCCATTTATTTCAATATAATTAAGATACTTAACAAAATAGCAGAAAAAAATGTGATATAATTTAAGTCTATAATGAAATTCTTAAACAGTTTTATAGAAAAAAGATGAAATTAATGGAAATATGCCAATGTAAATTAAAGCTGGGTTCTTATTGTAAATAAAATATGTATCTATATGAGGGTAAATGTAAAAAAAAAAAAAAAAAAAAAAAAAAAAATTCATTTTTAAAGATATAATTTGTGGTTTTTGTGAGACAGTTACTTAGAGAATTTCCAAAATGGGGAATTAGGGAATAACATCTGACTAGATTTAAAATAACAAGAAAATGGATTAAAGCTATAAACCATTTAAAACACATCAAAAATAGATGAGGGGTCATAATCTCTTTTATGGTCTGGAAATAAAAACGTTTTCCAGTGGGGCTGCAGCATTTGCAGACCAACATCAACATTTTGGATAAACATTTAAACTTAGGGAAATCACATGATACATTATATTTAAAAATGTAATTTCGCAGCTACGTAGAAATAAACCTTACAATCCCAAAAAGCCATCTAAATTGCCATGAATGGTTCCCATAATTTAAGAAGTCTCGTTGAAATAATAGCCGTGGCAAACAACACGTCTCCATTAGGGATTATTTATAATAAACATCATCTTCCTTGGATAAACGGCTAGCTAAGATGCTAACTGGCGTTAGCTGGAGTTGACATAGCAACCACCGTTGCTATGCAGCTAGCATTGCCTGCCAGCTATCGAGCAGGGTTAAACTAAATAAATAAAAACGTAGACCCCCTTACCGTTCACGAACCGACTCTTTCCATTTTTCATGTGGCCTCATTTTCAGATTTTAAGCATGTGGGAAACCAAATGGCTTTCTTTAAATCAACAAGTTATTGCAGTTGGGATTTGGTGACGTCAGGGTTTGCCCTCACTGCGCAGACTCAGACCTGCTGACGACTTCCTGCAGACGCTTCCTCTCCACACTGTCTGCATCAGAAGAGATTGGTTTACATTGTTCTGCTCGATTTTACCTTTTATTTGATGTTCTGGTACAAGCAGCTGGTTTATATAAAGAGGGTGGAGGTGTCTTTTGAAATGTATTATTTGCTGTTGCACGACAATAATAGCAAAATGCAAATAGATTACGTTTAATGCAAAAGTGTTTTTGCTTTCATTTTAAGACACTTGCAAAGAAAATGTGAAAAAATCCTCATCCCGGGAGTCTCTGTGAAAATGAGCTGGAAATCATGGAAGTCCAGGAAAAGCAGGAGGAGCTGCCCCATGGATGGATGAGAGAAGTAAGGCAGAGGAAAACAGGCAAGACTGCAGGAAAGCTGGACGTGTACATGATTAGGTGATTGCTTTGTCCTAAATTCATTTCACACACTTGGTGGATTAACCACCATTTAAAATGCATCTCAGCCAACAGAAAAAATTGTATACATTTATTTCAAGAATTGTATTATAAAGGGCTGCTCAGTGAGGCAGTGGGTAGCACTACGCCAAGAAGGTTTCGGGTTCAATTCCCTGTCTGAGGCCTTTCTGCATGGAGTTTGAACGCTTTCCTTGAGCATCCGTAGGTTTTCTCCAGGTACTCCGGCTTCCTCCCACAGCCCAAAAACATGACTGTTAGGTTAATTGGCTTCTCTAAATTCTCCTTAGGTGTGTGTGTGTGTGTGTGTGTGTGTGTGCATGAATTGTGTGTGTCTCTGTTTGAGTTTTACTTGGTTTAATTTAGTGAGAGGTCTTCTTTAAAGAATCTTTGGCTATCCGATTGTTAATCGATAAAATAATCAAGAGATTAATCGATTTAAAAGATGTAGCCCCGCCCCAGTTATATCCACGGATACTAATGGACAGTTAACTGGTGTTAAAGTGTGATTTGAAAATGTGCACAATAAAACATACCCATGAAAGCTTGTCCATTAGCTATACAGTTAATATGAATAACTATAAATGCTGTTTAAGTGAAGGTGATCAGCTGATTAATGAGGATGTGCTTCATTGGTTATTTACACTTAGGGGTGTAGTATTCTCATCTTCTTGTTATTAACTGTCAGCTCAACAGCTGTAAAGCCGATAGTCCTTCCTATAACAGTTGTTTGGCATAACTAAAAATTTCTGTAATAGATTATCCCTTTTTATCAGTGTTGTAGCTGCACAGGTCCAATGAAATAATGGCTAAAAATCAAACTGGTGACTTTTTTTTTACTTTTTTTTATTATTTGTGAAACTGTGAAAATATTGAAAATTGTATTCAAATATTATCAGTATTTTTTAGATCCTTCTGTTAGTGCTTACTTCTAATCAGCTTCAAATACTTTGGAAGAACAAGAATACAGTGAAATGAAAATAAAACAGCAATGACTTATTATTATATTGCCCTTCTGTAGATGTATACATTTAAATGGTAAAACCAAACAAATGAAGAGTGTGCGCCTCTTGAACTGCATGCAGAATAAGTTTCGTTAATATCTACCTTTTTTCTCTCTTTGGCCATTGTGAAAAAAAACTCATGATGTAGCTGTGATGTATTCAAGAGAACAGTGGTAAATGGGAAATCACACGCTCATGAACCTCTTTCACGTGCTTATTCATTTCCATGTATTTTCTTTATTACTTTCACACCTTTCTTTTTATTCATCTTGTATTTTACAAACCTTTAATTTTTTATTATAGACAAGTATTTAGAATCTTATTTAAGAATAAAATATTTGAATAAATAACAATTTGGGTTTTCATTGCTGTAAGCATTGATTTTCAATATTAAGAAAAAATAAACATAAAATCACTAAGTGTAATTAATCTATACATGTGATCCTCTTTTAAAATTTGAATAACTGATATTAAATACGTTTTCAGTTAAAGTTTAATTTAGTGATTTGCACTTTTGTATAGTCAAATGTCTAATCAATAGTTTTGTTTTGTTTTTTCAGTCCCAGTGGACAGAGATTCCGTTCTAAAGTATCCCTTCATGCTTACTTGTTAAAAAATGGATTGGAGAACCTGGAAAATATGTTTGATTTCACCTTATCCAAACATAAATTCACTAGCTCTGAAACAGATCACTCCAAGAAAAAGAAAAGGACACAGAAGAGAAGGCAGATAAATGGACAGGAGGATCAAATGGGTGAAAAGGTGAAATCCCCCAAAGGTAAATCTCAAAGAGCCTTTTCCTCTATAAGCTGTAAAGCCAAAGACAGGAAGGTGAAGCCTACTGAGGAGGCTGTTAGCAGTGATATTTTGCAAGAGAGGTCAGATGACATCGCTGACGGGGCTGAGCATCTTTCTTCAGACTTGGTGGATAATGATGTGAACGAAAAACCTCGGAGGGTGGGGCTGCTGAGGGAAAAAATACTGAGACTCGCTCCTGCCAGTGATCAACAAAACACCTTTCCTGCTCAGAGGACTCAACAGACGAACCCACTCCCTTCAGGCTCAACTCTGAGTGTTGAAGCTGCCAATGAGAGCGAGAATAAAAGCGAGAACGTGGCAGACACAGATGCAGCGCCGCCTCACAGCAAAAGTGACAACAAGTCTAATTCTGTGGTAGTGGATAACGCTGACGGTCATGAAGAGGAGGTGCTACTTGACAGCAGTGCTGGAAGCTGCACACCTGTAAGAGATTCCCAGAATAGTAAGTATGAGCTACATGAACCCACTGTTAGAAAAATGTTTTTAAGTTGAGGCCTTTATTTCTTCTACTTTTAAGTTTGTTTGTTATAAGTTATTACCTTATCATAAATTGTTTTATCATAAATCAGTTTCTGGTTGCTTTTGCCTTTTCCAGTCATAACTGCTTATAAGTTAAAGTTGTTAGAGATAAATGAACCATCAGTAGTTTGTTGATGTGTTTGATTTAAGGCAACCTTTTCCATCATACACCCTACAGAAGAAAGGAGCAGCAGCCAGAAATGAGTGTAGGCCATTCAGGAAGTGCAGTTTTGGAAAATTCTAGCAAAAGAAGTTGGGCTGCAACTACCGATTATTTTGCAAATCGATTAATTTGTCAAATATTTTTATGATTAATCGATTAATAATCAGTGAAAGTTTCCTTTAAGAAGATTTTACCAGGTGAAACTAAAATATTTCCACTTAAGGAGTTCTGGATAAGGCATATTGACAGACACAAAGGTTTCATCTTAAATGCAAAAATTTTCTGCATATTTTTACAATTTTGATATAATTACTGCTCTAATTCAGTTGCTCTGTCAGTTATAGGCATGTTTTAGAGTCTCCATGCTCCAGTTAACTGTTAATTGATTACTAAATTAGTTGACAATTATTTCAATAATAGTTTAATTTCAATTAATCCGATTGTTTCAGCCCTAAAAATAACCAGAGATGATTATGGTGTCCGCATTTCACATTCAATGATCCTGCACCTAAGGATATATCTAAATGAGAATTCAGGAATTCTGCTGCCTGAAATGGATGTGGGGAGCATCCTCCAGTTAAGTAACGACTTTATGTAGCCTTAAGGAGGTTAAAATGTAATTTACATGTGTAGAGTCAACGATTTATAGTGCAAAGGAAAAGTTTGTTAGATCATTTTAAAAAACAGCATCATGTAGATCAAGAAACACAACAGACAGGTCAGGGATAAAGCATTGGAGATGCTTTTCTTATTAACAATTAACTGTGGAAGAAATCCACACCTTGTGCAGGAGAATCTATTGACAGGACAACCAGTGAGGCACAAGTCTGACCTTTATAAAAGATTGACAAGAAGAGCACTACTGTCAAAAGAAAGAAGATGCCAAATTCAGACTAGACTAGAACTGAACTCTTAAGTTTACACTGTGTTGCCACACCATCCACATAGTGAAACATGGTGGTGGGAGTATCATGTTGTAGGAATAGCTTTCTTCAACAGGGAGAGCTTAGCTCAGGCATGTCCAAAGTCGGCCACTGTTCTGCAGCTTCTAGAGGTTTCCCTGCTTCAGCACAGCTGCTTTCCATTGATTGCAGATTAACAGGCTTTTGTTGAACTGCAATAATCAGAATCATCTGTTTAGAAATGGTCATTGCATGGAGACAGTGAGTCTAACTATTTAGGGATATGGCTAGAATAAAAAGGAACAAGGAAAACACATATTGACAAAGTAGACATAAAATGTAAGAAAATTCTAAATCTAAAAGTAGCATTGGGAAAAGATTGGGGAGCCAATAAACAATCCCTGATGTATATTTTTAGGGCCCTAATGAGATTAAGAATAGATTACAGATTTTATGTATATGGAGCAGCAGCTAAAAGACATTTAAAGAAAATCGAAAGGGTTTTCAATGAAGCCCTAAGGATTTGTACCAGTGCGATAAGATCAATACCAACTATGGCAATGCAGGTAGAAGTAGGAGAAGGGCCTTTAGATTTAAGAATAGATAAACTCAAGCTCACACACTGGTGCCGTTTACCTGGTTGTTGGAATGAAAATCCTGCAGACTCTACTATACAGGAGTGTTGAGGTATTTTGCCGACTTCAACAAGTTTCTTCCTGAATGCTCCTGCATTTGGCTCCATCCATCTTCCCATCAATTAACCATCTTCCCTTTCCCTGCTGAAGAAAGGCAGGCCCAAACCAGGAAGCTGCCATCACCATGTTTGACATTGGGGATGATGTATTTAGGGTGATGAGTTGTTGCTTTTATGCCAAACGATTTGCACTGTTGGCAAAAAGTTTGATTTTGGTTTCATCTGACCAGAGCACCTTCTTCCACGTATGCTGAAGAAAGACTTTTTTTTTTTATATCTTTAAGAAATTATTTTCTTCCATAACAGCAAGATTTGTGCAGCATACGACTGATTGTTGTGCTATGGACCGAGTCTCCCACCTCAGCTGTAGATCTCTGCAGTTTATCCAGAGTGATTATGGGCCTCGTGGCTGCATCTCTGATCAGTCTTCTCCTTGTTTGAGCTGAAAGTTTAGATTCCCACGCCTCTGATATGATCTGA